AGTCGTGTACATTGTTTTCTTTACAATTATTTAAAACATTCAAATAAACTTAATAAATGACAAAAAGCCTTGAAAATAAATCTTCTCAAACTGCTTTCCAAACTTTCCGAGCTGGTGATATCAATTAACAGGTAGTAATCTAGATTTTTCCAGTTTATTTGGAATTATACCATCATATATTAATATAACACAAATCATGACTTACGATTTACCTCCCTGCCCACTTACGCCGTAGAAAGCCCCAAATAGGCAAACAGCCGCCGAAATCAGTATCAAATATCGCATTTTAATTGAAATGTTTTCAATTATATTTACTGAGACCAAATGGCATGTATTTTCATATACTCATATATATATATATTTATACAAGAATATGAACGTATATGAGTAATAGTTTATCTATACAGAACTAGCTGAACAAAGGGTGACTAAAAAGGCCGTTTTGATGTTGTTATTTATCGTTTTTATTAATTGTATTTAACAATGGTTCGCGTGGTGTGCGATGGTTATTGTTGATTCACCATGATGTTGTTGAAAACACGTATAAGTTAATATAAAACAAAACTGACAATGAATACAAATTATTCATTGATATTTAACAAACAAATGTTGTAATAAATATGACTCGTCAATAAAACCGTTTCCCTCGTAGTGTGGCACTCGACCTTTTGCTGATTAAGAGCACCAGTCAGCATATTCAAATTGTTTACTTCTCAAAACAACCCTCTTATTTATTTGTGTTTATTGGGTTTTAGTGATCATGCAAGTCTATTCTTAGAAATTCAGCATGTATAAGAATGTTTCTCGGGGAATTTTTAATGACTCAATCGGCAGAAAGGGTTGAATGTGATTTATGATTCAATTTAGTGTTTTGTACCACGCGACCTTAACACATCACGTATGATGAGAGTTGTAATGGCTCTGCGACGTCAATAACCAATGTGTAGTTAATGCAGCGCTTGTCCAAACATTGATAGAAAATATTTCTAGTTCTAACCGCTCTAACAAAGAAGTATAATGTCCACCCCAAAAAGGTCCTTTAAACATAATATACATATACATTCAAAGATAGCTGTTGTTTGTGCGCGAGCGTGTCCATGTAACATCCTAGCCTCTTGATTTCAACCACATCGGAATATTTTCTTTCCTCGTTAACTCGTAGCAGTTTTGGAGAAAAATTGAGCTCCGCCGCTTCCTCATCATTAATTCCTTGGCGTTGATACTCTTCAAATTTTGCCTTTGTATTCGTGAAGTACCAATTCACAAGATCACCATCTTCGTTCAGATCATGTAACTGTACCAATAGTGTGTCTGAATGTTCAGCGATTGCATCGATGTCAACATTTGTACATTCCTGCGTACATGTATTATATCCAGGCGGGACACTACTTAGTGGTATATCGTTGATATTACAACAAAAACAATTAATCAGCATCACACAGATTGGTAACGCCATGTTGATTATTCAGGTAAATGTTACTGCAATAAAACTATCGATGTTCAAATTTAATAATATTAGAACTGCATCACCGATACACCCAAATATAGTGTTTTATGCTGATAAACACTTAAATTTTTGTTAGTTTGTTGTCAGGTCAATTTTAAAGATCTAATAGCAAAGGTTTTGCAAAAATAAATCAATGTAGTATAAAACAAATGTATGTATTATGAAGAAATAAATATACAATGAAAAAAATAGATATGTGTTTGTAATATTGGTATAAACTTAAGATTAAAAAGTGTCACTATCTCTTTCATTTTTCAACAAATATAGGCTCACGTGACATGTGACGCGGGGCAGTCAATTTTGATCTATCGTAGACCATATCAGTATCAAATTACTGATATTTCAACCTCGTCTTGCGAGGCCATTTTGATTTGAAACATCTTGAATTTGGTGTCAAAATGAAGCTGGTCACGCCCACTTTCAGAGTTATCAATGAATCATTTACTACGACTACTATATTCATTTAGGAGGCGTGTAAAGCTAACCAATCAGAAAGACAATTGTTCCATATATGGCAGTTCATTAACATATTCAGTGTTTACTACTGCTTTTCACGTCATGACAACACGAGTAGTAACCAATCAAGATGCCGTATTTTATCACGTGAGTTCAGAGTGACACGCACGCGACATGTTGTCTGGTGATCGCGATGTTGAACAATTTCTTCTCGGAATTTGTCCAGAGAAATCAGCGATTCTAAATTAAGGTAGGATCTGCCATTTTTTCCTGTACAAGTTATAACTTATCTCTATCGAATCCTAAAGTTTTGGAAGAAGATATGAAGCGTAGGTTTAAAAACGAAGCGATTAATTTGACGATCTGATTTTGCAATTTGCAATGGCCAATTTACTGCAAGTCCAGTGCATGTATTTGACAAGAGATAGCGCCAAGTCTGGTATCTAAATGCTTGTTAAGCCACTCAAAAACAAGATCCATATCTTCTAAATTTGATAACTTTGCAGAAAACCTGTTTTCATAATCTGTTTTCCGCGTCTAGATTCAAACTGAGTATGATAATAGGATCGCTGGAATCAACAGTCGCAACGGGTCTTCATTCCAGAACTCACATTTTTAGGCTAGTTAATTCTCCGTCATAGTTCTTGTTTAAAGTCCCCATACCTGCTCTCTTACTGCCATACTTGCACACATTTCCCCTCCTTAAATTGTCTTCATTCAAATTACACCCTCTCGCCGATTTATATATTCATTTCCCAGAACCCGGGAATCAGAATCGCTGATGTTTGCCATGAACATATTATATGTACTGTAATATCTGTACATTGACTGCTACGCATAATGGTCACGTGACTAGCGCGATACAGGAAAAATGGGGAATTTCGAAACAACAATTTCTGGGCACTTTTATTGCAAATTTCAGGTATTTATAAAGTGTTTGTGGTAAAAAATATAATCCACAGACATAAATGAACATCCAAACTACATATTTCATTAAGTTTTGGAGCCTTTTTTGCTCTTAAATCAACATCTTTAAGGAGTGTTGATGTGTGTTGAACCGCTCGCTATACCACAAACTGTAACCAGCCGATACAAACCGATACAAAGTGAACCTGACGTAAGAAAAATAGACCCTATATCCTAAAACATGAAATGAAATAATGGCTAACACCCCCTCAATCGAAAACTAACGTCGCATCCAGGATCAGAACAAAGGGACATTTCATTCATGCTGAAATTATTGCAATACTTGTTGAAGAAAAACTTGAAAGCCAATCCTCTAACGTTAAAAATAGTTATAGATACTATAGTACTCATTAGATAAATAGAGCATTCGGTCTTAGATGATGTGGGATAGATGAAATCCAGTCTTAAAGTCCATGATAGGCAATTCAACATAGCATATATTGATATGACCTAGGTATGAATGAAACGTCCCTTGGTTTTACCCGTATGGTCTTTCAAATTGTGATTTTGGTACCTGAATGGTAGGAGGGGGGGGGGGGGTGTTAGACTTTGTTTCTTTTGAAGTGTTGTTATGATTTTATGTTATGATGTTGGGCTTTCTTTTCCTTATGACTGGTATACTCTTGGATGTTTTCTTTTTTCTTGCCGTGTTCTGTAACAAGTTGTGGCCATTTCCTTTTCGCACTTGTGCAAACATAATTACATCTTTCGATATTACTTACAAAGGCGCGATTCTTCCTAGCTTACCAAATTCTAGTCAGGAGGATTTTATGTAATACTTTATCCACATGCCGTAACGCCTACGCAGTTAGATAATGTTTGGAAATTAGATGTGGTCACGGTCAGAAAACACCCTCAATCCAAAATATATATGTAATCCACTGCACTTTTTACCATTGCCTTATTACAGAATAATTTATAAATCAAATTTATCACACAGTGTTGAGTGAGTCTCACATTTGCATGTATATTTTGCTACTATATATTCAAGTGTCTCTCCTGGGTATACTATTAAACCTGTAAACTCATTCTGAACATGTTGTCCCTCTTTTGTGCGTTTACAGCGGTACATTTTGTGATCCTGCCATAACCAGACAAAATTCATGATGAAAATACAATATAACTAGATTGAATTGCAAGATAAATATAATATTTTTTATTTTATACATGAATTGATTAATATAAATTATTTCCTTTTGTGCTTCTGTAGATCTACAAAATCATAAGGTTCAGCGAACACTGTCGTTTTGGCTCTAGAACAAAAATATAGTTTTAATATGTTGCATGTTTTAATCGATTGGCTGTCTAAACGATATTTTGTAAAGAAATTTAACTACTGGTATTTAAATTGTGTCAAGAGAAAATCATGTCTGATAAGTTTTAGTAACAAGCAAAAGGCGTTGGAATTAAACTTCATTCCGTTATGACGAGGCTCTGAATCAAATGAATTAGAACAAAAACGGGGACAAAAATGAAGAGGAATTGAGATATATGAACTAATTCAAGGGGCTCAAGATTAATCCGTAGTTATTTGTATTTACCTATTATCCAGTACACGCCATCAAGGTACACAATACGTTGCCTTTCGAGCAAGAGCATTTATTGCAGCCGTCAGTGGCATCGAAGTTTGCTCCTTCAGCATAGTAGACTCCGACATAAAAACAATCTGCATGTAAATATATGCATATAATCAGATTTTGATAATGCTGAAAATATAAAAAGTTATTAAAGAAAAATTGACCCTTGAACAATTCTGTCCGGGCTACTATATATACAATGTGTATATTGAAATGTATTAAACTATCCATGATACAATATAGCATAATAACTTCCTTTTGAAAACACTTGTAGGCTATTGAGATACACACGGAGATGCGCTGACTATATCCGATGGTAATGAATAATGAGTCACATGTATAAGGGTTTGATATTTTTCACTCACGAGGACAATCGTTTTTGGTACAGTCGACATTTCCACCACGACACGTACAGGTGTTACATCCGTCACCACGAGGGAAGCTAGACCCGCTCTTGTAAGTTATTTTATTGTGGACACAAGGTGGACATGCCATTAATGTACACAAAGTTTTGCCATTCGGTGCGCAGGAACATTTGTTACAGCCGTCTGTGGCGTCGTAAGATGCTCCAACAGCATAATAAACACCGTCATAAAAGCAATCTGAATACAAGCAAAATTATATTAATTTAAATAAACGAGATTTTATTGTGTCTATTATTCCGTAGCTAGCATGATATTCAAAGGATAACATGTCAACATAAAAACGGTATTTTTGTAATCAGTGGTAAAATATGATATTTTTGACAAATTTTCACTTTACTATAGCATACGGTGTTTAAGCCATGATATACGGCGCCGTATATTGTTATGAATTAAATCAACTGATTTCCGACGATTCTGATGATGACTTTAACTATGGAATAAAAAGAACATCTTATGATTTACTCGTGATATGATTTTAATCCACTCATGGATATTGATATCTGCACTCTCTCGCTACGCTCGCTCGTGCAGATATCGTATCCATTCGTGGATAAAAATCATATCACTCATAAATCATAGGATATCCTCTATGTATGTGAGTCCACAGTTTTCTATTGCAACAAATATTGAAATATACCAATGTTAAGGATCCGTTCGTGAATACAAACCCCTAATATACTGAACTCCGAGGTGTATTTGATTGAGGAATATCGATGCTAACGTATAATGACGTGTCCAATTTAGGTTGTACAAATTTTCCATCGACAATTATTTCATTGACTAAAGCAAGCCTTTCAAAAGGGCCAAAATTCTAAAGCCAAAGAGTAAGATATGTCAAATTTTTAATTAGCAAATGCCTAGTGTACTGATATATTCATATGTAATGTGATATTGTATATAATGGACCACATTTGCACATATTATAGACGTAAATGAAGCTGCTGGAAACGACGGTCGAATGATAGATTCATCTAAAGGAGAGTGATATTTCATTTGTAGTTTTGCCGGATCTCAGAGCTATAGAGTATGCAGAGCTCACTAACTCACGTGGACAATATACTTTGGTACAAGGGACAATTCCGTCGGAACAACGACAAGTGTTACATCCGTCGCCACGAGGGAAGCTAGTCCCGTGCTTGTAAGTTATTTTATTGTGAACACAGTCTTTCTTGGGACAACATACTGCATATGCATCGACGGGTGATATCACACATTCGGATCCAAGGGGACAGTCTTGTCTGCCTGGCCCACGTCCACAAAATATTTGCTGTCCGTAAGCGGTTTGCACAGGAGAGCAAGGAAGCTTGTTCGGATCATCTACAGAATTAAAGTATCAAGTAACAATGTCGCACGGATATATAAGTGTCACATGTGTCGTATGTACAATATGGTCATATTTCAACGCAGTAGTCAACACGTAAATGTAAATTAGATTATCTAAAGAAAACCATCTTGCTTCATCAAGCTTCGGACCTATCCTCATAGAACGTAGTGATTGAGCGTGGGAACAGACGAGGAAAGAAAACCTCGAGTAGGTAAATGAGAGAACTTTCTCACTAATGCCTAGGTCACATTTGCGCCTGGCCGATTGAGTATTTTGTTCAAAATTGAAGTTAAAACAAGCCCACTGTGCCACATACCAACACGGGGCATAGTATACTGGAGCTCTCTCTCATAATATATAACTTTAATACAACCAAACTCCTACATACCTTCACATATAGGATCACACGGGGCCTTAATACATTGTACATTCTTACATATCTGACCAACTGGGCACGTTTTACTCTATAAATATATACAGGGTATACCCGATGTGACGTTCGATTCACCACCAGGTGGCTCGTTCGGGTCAGATAGCACGGCGGGTATAGTAAAAAGTTCCCTTTAACTTAAATTACATCTATTTGCGTGGTTCAATTTTCACATAACCCTTATGTATCTAATAGTTATTCAAATTAAAATATGTCCAGTAAAAGAAAATGTTATCTGTCCAATACAAGAAAATATAATTCACTTTTTGTGGTTTTGTAACATGGGGTGCATGGGGAATCAACCCGAACAAGAAGTCACATTTTCAAAAAAAATTAAATTTTCAAAGTTGATAGACAATTTTCGAAACCATATTTCTTGATGTACTTTTACATGCAGATTTCAAATATGACATCACTTTGACTGAATTTTGAATATTTAATGACGTAAATCAAGATTATTTCTACTCGCATCTAGTCTATTGAAGTCCGCTTTGAAAATAGCCGTAGTTATTTGTTGTATGTTTGTATATTACAGCTGCGAAAAACTATAATTTAAATAATTTGCATGTGATATTGATTTTGTCTGATACTAAGCAACTAAAGTTAAATTTCAAAATATGCGATTCAAACTGTATGATCAAGCATGTTACCAAAATAAAACATTCCCATTCGTATCATTGCTCATAACCAGGATTTTGCATCCCATATATTTTTGGGGTCGTTATTGATATTGCCATTTCCAAATAAAGGGTAAAGGAAGCATTATTGTTATGCATTATATGTACTGTATCAATTTTTTCTTCCCACCTTGCATGGGTCATCTGCACACGAACATATATCGCAACCGTTGGCATCCTTCTTGAAGCCAAATTCACAGAACATCGTGCACATAATCGGACTGCATGCTGAAATATATACCATAAGTTACAGCATTAGTTGTCATCAGGGACTTAGTCAAGCATTCGATGCATTCTTGGCGTTATACATTCTTATATCGCATAATATAACTATACATCCCCTGCCGACACGGCAGTTACTATGCAAGAGTTCTCACACAATAGAACTTCGTATCACCTGCCTATACGGTACATTGTTTATGAGAGCTCTGTCTCATACAATAGAACTAAACATCCCCTGTCTACACGGCATTTACTATACAGTAGTTTTATCTCACACAGTAGAACTTCGTATTCCTATATATCTATACGGTACATTGTTTATGAGAGTTCTGTCTCATACAATAGAACTAAACATCCCCTGTCTACACGGCATTTACTATACAGAAGTTTTGTCTCACACAATAGAACTACTAATGTCACCTACCTACACGGCGTTTATTATGCAAACTATGAGTTCTATCTCATACAATATAACTTCGTATCGCCTGCCTACACGGTACATTGTATGTCGTACTGGAGCTCTCTCACATTATATAGAATTTTGATACAACTAAACTCCTACATACCTTCACATATAGGATCACACGGGGCCTTGATACACTGTACATTCTTACATATTTGGCCAACTGGGCACGTTTTACTCTACAAATATACAGGGCACTCATTGTATCTCACTGTTTATTTCAAAGTCATACATTTTTGTACACGTGGTATCACTAGCATTTAAACGTTTTTAAACAAATAACAATTTAATTAATATGTGATATAAATAAATAATGTGTGATACAAATATTAAACATTTAGATATATGATGTGTACAATTTAGTTATATATCTGTTGACTTGTGAATACAATTGATTTGACCATTTGATTGCATAGAATAATAGATTTAGTCATTTATGTACCTGAAACACGTCAAAGTATGGAATAAACGTTATAATTATGCATCATTATGTATCATTTTTTCTTCTTACCTTGCATGGGTCATCTGCACACGAGCATATATCGCAACCGTTGGCGTCCTTCTTGAAGCCAAATTCACAGAACATCGTGCACATAATCGGATTGCATCCTGAAACATTATAGCTTAAATTAGATCTTCAGTTATCACCATGGAATTAATAAACATTTAATGCATTTTTGCCGTTGTGCATTCTAACCTAAAAGATTTAAAATCCAGTGCAGCTAATGTAAACATTTACCTTTACAAACAGGACAGCATTGACCTGGCATGGTCACGGGATTTTGACAAGCCGGTGGCGGACAACCTTGAATTGCACATATGATCTTTGCATCCAATATGTCGGTGTCGGGATCGTTAACACAGCGACAGTGTTCACAAGGCCATGATCCGGGCACTGAAGCTCCCAGAGGATATAGAATGCCATCTTTCTTGCAGTCTGAAAATAAAATACTAGGATGGGGAAAATTGTATCGAACGTGAGTATTTAGAGCGACCTGACTTAGAGTGAAATGCTGACAGGCTGCCCTTCATTTTTTACTTTAATTTTGGCGTTCCGTTAAAGACAAGGTAACTAGTTGAGGAACAGTGATCCTGATTGAAAATTGAAAGTAGTATATACTTACGAGCACAGAATGCCTCAGTACAGCCAACAACTCCATCAGTGCAGAAACATGTATTACATCCATCTCCACGGGGGAAGTTAGACCCATGTTTGTATGTCTTGCCATTATGGGAGCAGTCTTTCTTAGGGCATGCCTTTAATGTACACAGCACTATACCGTCTAGCTGACAGCTACATTTATTACAACCATCAACTGAGGGGAACTGATCCCCATTGTTATAAACCTTGCCATTGTACTGACATTGCTTTAATGGACAACATACTCCACATTTGCCATTTGAAGATCCTACACAATTGAATCCAGGAGCACAATCTATGCTTAGTCCAAGCCTACAGTAAATCAGGGCACCATTTGCAGATTTTTGAGGCCTTGCACATGGTAGTTGGTTGGGGTCATCTAGAAATGACAAAATACAGTTTAAGTTACAAAATGTACTGTTTCCGGATATTATCATATTCGGTAAGTAAATGTAGATCAAGATCATTTCCAACAGAATTCTGATAGTAATGATGCTTGCAATTGTTTTAAAGATAATATATCAATGTCAGGACAAATTGCCTCAATAGGGCACGGGATGCCGTACGCGACATTGACAGTTTCATAATTTTTTTTAAAAATGGATTGATCATTGATTCTGTGTCTTAAGAACAACTAGATATATAGATTGGACAGTGACCAGTCAATCCTACATACCTACACATACGGCTATTGGAAGGCACGGGGTCGTGACACACGTCACCTTTTGGACTTCACAAACTTCTCCGCATCCGCAGGATTTTTTCTAAAAATGATAATTACATTTAGCCATATTATATAAATATTTTGACCTGCATCGACATGTTTGTATAATTTCTCATAAATATATGAGTACAGTGCATGTTTGATTATACTTAATATGAATTCACAAAGACATGTATACAACTTCTGGTTAACTAAAAATGAACATTAAGTTGTAAAAGTGAAAACCCCTATAATAGCTGAGTTTTTGAACAATAATTGCTATCGTACCTTGCAAGGATTTTCTTCACATGAACAAATCGAACAACCATCCGAATTCTTCTTGAATCCGTATTGGCAGAACATCCTACACTCAACAGGACTGCATTCTAAACATATCCATTAAAATACAACTGAAGTCAATTTAAGTATTTTGGTATATTTTTAAACAAACCAATCGATTATAAATGGAAAGAATTGCATAATTGAAAACCTGAAAATATATTATTGGTGTACTTATCTATACTGGTGTAGATATTACAGTATTTTGTATATTTCGTATTGATCATAGTAAGTCATATTTAAATGAGTTACCCATAAAATAGTAGACTAATCCGGTAGCCGACAGGCGTTAGTTGCATTTTTTGAGTTTCATCAAGTCTAAAATTGGTTCCATTGATTCTTCATTTTAATAAGAGCAAAATTGCTTCAATTGTATTAAAACACAAAATGTGTTATTGCTTTGCGAGTGATGAACACGCGATGTAAACATATGGAGAAACAAATTGAACCTACTTTGGCAAACGGGTTTGTTTCCCTTCACCACACAATAGGGCTTGTCTGTCGGACAAAGAGTCACCTAAAACATAAAGGTATGAAACCATTTCTGTACGCAAACACTTGAGGAATACCCTTCTCAAAGTGATCATAACAAAATAAGATATTGTGCAAATATTTCACTCTAGGGAGGCAAATACCTGTGCGTCATCTTTCACAAGTGATATATCACAGCCATTGAATATCTTTTCTTATTTCCTCATCACGTGTAGGATGTAGAACAATCAGAGAGTGAGAAATATGACAGTGATAAATAATAATTGCCTTTAATATTGCAACATGGTATTGTGGACTATTTACTTGGACGGCCATAGATTTGGTTCTCATTTAAAATAGAATTTTAATGTATACCTTGCAAGGGTTGGCGCTACAGGAACATGTTGCACATCCATTATCATCACTCTTAAATCCGAACGGACAGTACAGGTCGCACATTACATTACTGCATTCTTTGAAAATAATAATATTTTTGTAACAATTATTGAAATCATATGAATTAGATGCCTCAGTTGGAGATTAATCATCCCAGTCAATTAAACATAACTGTATTTTCAATTAATTGGGTAACATCTATAACTATTTTAAATACGATTTTATTAATGGTACTCCAAGATAGATGAGCAAATGATTCATTTGTTGGGAGTGAAAATATTGGAACAATCAAATATAAGCGAATCATTACCTTGACAAACGGCTTTCTTGTCACTGACCACACACACTGGTTTCTTTTTCGGACAGATTTTCACCTGTAAAGTAAAAAGCACAACTAGAAAACTCCACGGAGTGCCAACTCCAATCGAATAAAATATGCAGATTATAAAAGACAGACATCGGAGATACACTGGCCCATGCCCCCCCCCCCCCCTTCCCTAGGACAGGCCCAGTAAATTAGCAGGGCCTCAATTAGTGGGCCTTTTAGGGCATTGGCTACTTTGGGTCTTTTAAGGCCAAATTATCTTAAAATGGTTCTTGAATTTTCAAAATTTGGGGATTTTGGGGCCCAATGTTTTTCAGATTTGAAATATGACCCACTCCCCCCTTGTTAACTTCTAGATCCGCCAGTGAGACATGTCAGAATTTCGACAAAAACATAAAGGTTACCATTCAGGAGGTTCAAAGACAAACCATGATGATAATACATTAATATATGTTTGATATAATGTGTAACTAAATATAATCATACTTTGATGTTCTTCAATATGACTATTGTATAGCCATACTTTGAAGAGATCTGGGAAGTATATCATTGCGAAATCCCACATAAGGCAGCCATTTTGAATTTCATGAGCGCCAACTCAGAAAAGCGTTATGATATTTGGAATCTACTATAATTTGCCTTTCATTTGGAATAAAGCTATACTGCAGATATATCTCAAAATAACGAAAATTACTGTTTACACAGTCCCTGGGTTCGTACCAAAAATAAGGAATGTATGTCAATTATATAATTATATTTCATGAATAAACTCATTATTTTGGTTAGAAATCAAAAACTTATAAGTTGGGGTATTAATATAAATGTTTGTATCTTACTGAACAAGGATCCGGATTGCACGAACATATTGGACACCCATCCGCACTAATCTTGAAGCCAAATTCACAGAACATCATGCACATGATGTTACTACATTCTGAAGCCGAAAAATATCGGGTATATATCTTAAATGTATGTTACTAGGGTGATAAAAAGACGACAGCCTCATATCCTAAGAACTATCAGATAATTTTTGAAATTAAGTTCGGAAACTGCTTCTTACACTGTTCAGACAAGGGCATAGAGCAACGCCTCGGTCTACCATTGCTCAACGACATTGGTCTATTAATTCGAAACACTTGTAAAACATAAACATATATTTAAATTTCTTATTTAGTTTCTGTTTTGTACCTTAATACCTGCATTAGACGAGTGTTCAAAAAGTTGTTGTTGAGCGATATTGAATTTAACTATAGATGGTAACTTACTTTGACACACCGCCTCTTTACCCTTTACAATACAAAATGGTCGACTTGGTGGACAATCGGTAAGCTGAAATAGTCATATTCATTATATTACATATTCAGAAATGTCAAAATAAAGAACATAAACCGCAATTTCGCATGATAACAAAATAAGAATGTTTATATATTACACGAAAATCCTAAATTATAGTTTTAAAGGAAATATATAGGTAATAATATATACGAGATTACACATGTGCAGTCTCTAGTACAGTGTAATATAATTTTTGAATAGAATTGGATTTTATTGTTCAAGGTCTTGAACAATAAACAACACATGGAATTTATCACTTTATTTGCAAAACATCTGTCTACCATAAAGTAGATTTTTAATTATAACTATTCGTTTCTAATAATTATTTATGATCTAGAGTGTATTGATTAATGCAATTAATAAAATTTGGTTCAATGGGATAATATCAGCAAAAACTAATACGTGCGAAAATAAATGAAACATATACATATCTCAACAATGGCCTGGGTATAAGTTGAAGGTTAACACGTTGCTGATGATTTGCATTGTGTGAGGAAGTCAATTGTTTTGGCTTGAAACATAATAAAATCTTGAATCTTGATTTGTTATGAGAACAATGACAGTGGTGGGAATTGATTTAATTGCCATTTTTACTATTTGTATTAAATATTCAACACACTATAAACAGAAAACAATTCGTTATACTCACATGACATGGATTTTCCTTACATGAACATATATCGCATCCCTTTGAGTTTTTATTGTATCCATATTGGCAAAACATTTTGCAAGTCACTGGCGGGCACACTTCTTCTAATACAGCTAGAATTTGATAAAATGGAATAACGTGAAATATAAATGTTTTGTGTATTATGAGATGACTTGGTTACAATATAAACTTATCGTAATTACGATTTGCTTTATAATAGATATACAGAATAATGTAAGTATGTTGCATTGGTAGTCGGGAGCATTAACTAGGAGGTAAACCGGCCGCTACCGGCGGGAATTCGAGGTTCGTCCTTTTGTGACAGGTACCATAGAAACTAGCCACCCTCAAAGGTTTTAATACACAATTATAAGCATAACTACGATTCATAAATTAAACACTAAATGATGTTTGATTTTTTTTATATCAAATGGAGTCCTTCCTATATAGGAATAACCTATAGCATCTAATTGAAATACGGCTATGGTTTAGCAATACCTATATGATATGATTAGAAATCATGTAAATCGAACAATTGTAAATTTGTATTTATTGTATTTACCAAACAATCAAAAAATTCAGAAATTACATAAAGATAGAATATCTGTTGAAACATGTTATGCCTTGGTCATGTTTTTTCCGATTTTCGATCCGGTGTAATTTTCCATTGATTTATATGGTGACCTAAATACAACTCTTTCCCTCATTATCTTATAGGCAATCAGTACCAGAAAGGGCCGTTAACAAAGGGGACCATCATCCCTTGGGGGCCACCATTTCTTTCACACCGGCACCCGACTGATGAGTATTTTTTACCAAAGTTGGCATGCGGGGAACCGTACGAGCGTCGGGCGATTATCGGGCACTTAAGCTCGGTCACCTGGAGATTTTTTCTTTTTTTAATTCTTCGAAATTTTGGACACTCGATGTGGCAAAGATGAGTGTTCTACGCGTTCGAATCTCTTTTTTGTTGATGCATTGGCCTAAATACAATTTTTCTTTGGGTTATATTTATGGTGTAGTAGAGTAAGGGCCGACAAAGAAGCAAGGAGCCTCCGGATCCTCGTCAAACACCTTCCCGGGAACCAGTAAAATCCAGTTGACCGGCAAGTCATTCTCCATTGGTTTGATGTATATATTTGTTCCTTTTATCGAATTGGACTTAATTAGAAATAATAATGAAATACATGTGTATCTATAAGAGATGAAGAAACTTACTCGGTTCGTTACAGGCCTGACAGCATTCTCCTTGACGATAGTGTGACCCGTGACGACAGTTAATCTTTGGACAGCGGACTTTCCTGCAATCTGCAACGTGTTAAAATAAGTATACGTAAGTGTTTATTCTATTTCATAGATTTCTAATTTCCGCATTTTATTTGCGTTACTTTAAAAGCGACGACCAAATAGTGATTGATGATTTATGTCATTGAACAACTGGTGATATTCATTGTATCATCCAAAATATATTTCTTTATGCTCTGCTGCATTGACATATTTTATTAAAACAAAATCTTATGTTAAAAATGTTGAAGTGATAAACTGGGCTGTTTTACTTCGAATTATGTTTTATCGATGTGATACAATACAATACACTACAATACACTACAATACAATACAATACAATACAATACAATACAGTGTATCCAAGAAGATAACGATAACGATACTGATTGATCAATGCTACTACAAGAATAAATACAATTATGATATGTTGAAAAACTGTGTATTTTAACGCAGAAGGAATATCTAATATAAAGTATTTCAATGAATAGAATGTAGATTCAATATTGATATTTACCTGTCCAAGTACAGACATTTCCGCATCTATTCTTAGAGCATTTCACTCTCCCAGATTTACATTTGCAAGTATTACATTGTTGTTTAAACTTTTCTCCTTTGGAATAAATCTTACCACCATAATTGCATACGCCACGAGACCTAAAACGAGATGGTATTTTGCAAAAAATGCATACATGAATTGTTATTTGTTCATCCAGAAGCCTAAAAATTACCTTACGATAGAGTAAACAATGTTTTTTTTATCAAAATGACCATGACAAACAAGATTGGTGTCACTGACTTTGTTTTTACAAAAAAAAACATTATGATCCCCGTGTTCGGGAATAAGAGGGGAGGGGATTGAGAGACTGATTTATCTCGAAAACTGAAGGACAGGCTTTTATGCGTACTAAGAAGTAATAATTGATTTGATGACGGTTAATTTTATGAAAATTAAAATCACAGGCCATCGCTTTTGTTTTTTATTTTCAATATTCGTTAGTTTTTGTTTTGATATATTGCTATTCATTTATCAAAGTGCAACAAAAATACATTGAAAATAAAAGATAAAATGAACGTTTGGAAGTGTTAGTGGATCACCATCGTAAAGTTATACCCTTCATACGATAAAAGGTAACATAAATATATTCTAAATCGAGTAAAACGGTTTTATTACATCTTCAAATTCATCTCAATTATGTATGAATGTACACCCCCCTCCATAAGTTTGGCAACCTTTTTTCTCCATTGAATTACGTGTTAAAGCCTCTTTACGTTTGATTTTTTATTTACTTAACTGGCGATGAAATAACTTATAATATTAATGGAAACGTAATTTGACTTTATTTCCAATACTTCCAAATTTTCTCAATTTTTTTCCTCAATTACAATAGGTCGGAAATTGATGATAAATTTGATGAATTTTTGAAAATCGTCATTCCCATGTAATCCAATGGGAAATGGAGGGTTCGGGGCAAATCAGAAATCGGGATATCTTTTCAGTAAAAGATTCAGCAAAAAATATTTTCATATAGAAAATTGAATTGTCTAACTTTTTTGAACACTAAGTGTTTAGTTTATTTGATGAATATTAAAGTTACAGCGCTTCAAAGTCATTTTTGAAAATAATTTTTCGCCTCCTGTGTTATTTCAATGGGAGAGGTTTTTTGAAAAACAATTTTGACTTTAAAGCCCTATAACTTTGTTGAACCTGAAGAAACATATCAATTTTTTGTTAAATAAAGTTAACAAATTCAATTACCTGCCTAACTCGTATTTTTTGCAAGGACTCGGATGGATGGATATTCTGTCATATGACTTGCGGCAAACCTACCATTTCCCATTGGTTAACATGGAAATGTCGATTTTCAAAAATTCATCAAATTCATCATCAATTTTTGACCTACTGTAATTGAGGAAAAAAATTGAGAAAATTTGGAGGTATTGGAATTAAAGTCAAATTACGTTTCCATCAATAGTATAAGTATTTTCATCGCAGGTTAAGTAAATAAAAATTCAAAGGTAAAGAGGCTTTAACACGTACTTCAATGGGGAAAAAAGGTTGCCAAACTTATGGAGGGGAGTGTATGTATAAAGCTCTCTTTTCAAAAGTGTGATGTTACACAATCACGTGTTATCCTAACATTGAACACTCGTCCAATTGTTGAATACCTTATACATAGTTACAACGTTCAGACGCGTGATAACAACAAGCGATAAAACAACTGCTGAACTCACTTTGAAATGTTATTCTAAATTTTAAGACCTGTATATAAGATCAATGGATTAAAAAGTAAATTGGATTAAAAAAAACGTTCATATATTTCGTAAATGCCTAGCTAAAAGTTAAATCAGGAACGGTGTTTGGTTGGTAACCCGAAAGTAGAATTGTTTTCAAGTCGTGTACATTATTGTCTTTACAATTATTCAAAACATTAAAAATAAACTTAATAAATGACAAAAGCCTTGAAAATAAATCTGTTCAAACTGCTTTCCAAACTGACCTGGTGATATCAATAAACACGTCCAGTTTATTTGGAATTATACCATCATATATTTATAAAACACAAATCATGACTTACGATTTACCTCCCTGCCCACTTACGCCGTAGAAAGCCCCAAATAGGCAAACAGCCGCCGAAATCAGTATCAAATATCGCATTTTAATTGAAATGTTTTCAATTATATTTACTGAGACCAAATGACAAGTATTTTCATATACTCATATATATACAAGAATATAAACGTATATGAGTTATTATATTTTTCTCTACAGAAACAGTTGAACAAAGGTTGACTAAAAAGGCCATTTTAATGTTGTTATTTATCATTTTTATTAATTGTATTTAACAATGATTCGCGTGGTGTGCGATGGTTATTGCTGATTCACCATGATGTTGTTGAAAACCCGTATACGTTAATATAAAACAAAACAGATAATGAATACAAATTATTCTACAAATAAATATTCTAATAAATATGACTCGTCAATAAAAGCGTTTCCCTCGCAGTCAGTGTGGCTCTCGACCTTTTGCTGATTAAGAGCCCCAGTCGGAATATTCAAATTGGCTATTTTAGTTCTTTAAACGACCCTCTTATTTATTTGTGTTTATTGGGTTTTGGTGATCCTGCAAGTCTATTCTTAGAAAATCAGCATGTATTGGAATGTTTCTCGGGGAATTTTTAATGGCTCAATCGTCAAAAAGGGTTGAATGTGATTTATGATTCAATTTAGTGTTTTGTACCAAGCAACCTAAACATATCACGTATGATGAGAGTTGTATGGCTCTGCGATTGACGTCAATAATCAATGTGTAGTTAATGTAGCGCTTGTCCAAATGTTGATAGAAAATATTTCTAGTTCTAACCGCTCTAACAAAGAAGTATAATGTCCACCCAAAAAAGGTCCTTTAAAACATAATATACATATATGGGGTGTCCCAAAAAAACGTCCCGCTTTTTTAGCTCTTATAACTCTGCAAGATATAAACCAATTCTTTCGAAATTTATCAGGAAGTAAGATAAGGATATTATCTATAAGTTATCAAAATATTAAATACATTATGTGAGTATCGTCAAATACAAGATAGCATAGCAAGAAATGTAATATCGGAGGACAACTGACTTATTTCTTTCTTTTAATGTTTGTTCTGTAAACTTATCCCTCATACCACTGCAAACTTTTTGATTTAGAGAATCCCAAACAGAGTAATCCATTGGATTACAGTCTGGACTATGTGGAGGCCATTTAAACTTTTTGATAAATACTGGGGTGGATCTCTCCAGATACACCTGGGTTACCCCACTTGTGTGGGAAGGGGCCCCATCTTGTTGAAACAGATAGTCATTTCTAGAGTAAATCCTCCTATAATCAGGTAGCAGATTTTCATCTAAAAACTTAATATAGCTTTCGCTTTGACTTTGGTTTGTCAGTATTAATGAAATAAATGTCCGCCTTCCCCTTCCAGGATACTCCTTCCAGGATACTCCTCCTTTTTGGAAAAACGTAAAGTTTCCTGGTAAAGACTTGATGGCTGAATTTGAGGTTTACGCTTTCCATACACCCGATCATTTTGACGATTTTTGGGCACTTCAAGAGAAAAGTCCTTCTCATCAGTGAAAATGATCTTCTTGACATCTGCGGCTGAATAACGATCATATAAATTGCGACATCTTGTTTTTCTTTTTCCTCTATTATTGTCTCTTCTAGAAACTTGTATTCTATGGTTTCAGATTCAATTCTTTAGCCAGTTTTTCGTATTTTTGCAATAAGTCTATTTACAGTTCGATGTTGCCATCCCTTGCCCAAATTCTAGCATAACTGATATTTTTCTCTGATTTTACATTTCTTGATATTCTATTTTGTATTTGTCAATACTCGCTTGATTTACATTGGATTCCTTGTATATTTTCACAAATTGTGGATAATACCCTAATATTACATCCTGATAAATGTCAAAGGAATTGGTTTATTTATTGCATAGATATGAGATGTCAAAAAGCGGGACGTTTTTTTGGGACACCCGATACATTCAAAGACTCACTTTTTACATGAGGAAAGAGGGCGCATAAAATAAAATAGTATCTAGTTTCACTCATTCCTGACGACAATGAGTTTATGAATTAGATTAGTTGAGATAAATGTCCAATCTTTTGTAGCTATGTAGTCAGGAAAATAATTCTACAGCCGTTAAGCCTAATACAATTTAAAAGGTCAATTGCAATATGTTCTGTACATAGACGTTTATCAATCAAAAGCGATAGTTTGTGCCATTGAAATATTAGATTTTGTAAAACTTATCAATACAAAATACATCTAGAAACGATATTTAGGATTTTAATTCCATGATTATTTTAGATTGTTTTAAGGACGAGTAAATGGAGAAGAAGAATGGCAGTGAACTAATATGAAATTCACCATATAAATCTCACAGATAAAATATTTAATTTGCAAGAGTATTACAAGGAATCATCCCTTAAATATTCATGAAGGTATTGACAACATTGCCCTACACGTATGAGACGTTACGAAATAAAGTGAAACTCTGGATGGTTGGAAATTAAATATTAAACAATATGGAGAAGCGACAACGCATAGAGCAAGCAAAGAAGGCTATGGATAGTGGCATGAATCTTTGTCAGATATGCCTGCTGAAACATTTTGAAAAAACAGCAAAGTTTTACTGTTTGGATTGTTCTATGCTGCTATGTAAATATTGCAGTAATCAGCATAAAAGTGTCAAGGTCACTCAACATCACGAACTTGTGTCTCGGAATCAGGCTGATATACGTGGACAGGTGTGTACAAAACATCACTTTGCCCCTGTGAAATATTTCTGCGAACAATGCCAGGATCTTATATGTGTTAATTGCACTATGTTAGAACATAAAGGACACAACGTTAAAGACATGAGTGCAAAGGCGGTGCAGTGTGAAGAAAAGTTAAATGACATGAAGGGAAAGTTAGATGATCAAATTGTTAAACTTGAAGATTCAATCAAAATGGCTACCAGGTTTGAAAATACAGTGGAACAAAACCAACAAGGAGCAAAGCTTCAAATTGCTCAAACTGTTTCTGCTGCAAAGATGGAGTTAGACAAACAAGCCGAAGACATACAGACCCAAGTTGAAGATATTGCACATAGCAGACTTGAAGCTATCACAAGAGACAAGGAGATTCTACAACGTAAATACGATAAACTCATCAACAAAAGAACAGTGATTAATAACAGAACGGACCGCATGAAAGATGAAGAATACATTAAAGAGGTAATAAAGATTACAAAAAATTTAGAAAAGACGATGAATGTTGATATACCAGACACGGAAAACTATAAGGTTTTCAAGTTTGTCGCAATTCTTCCAAAGAAGAACAAGCTTGGTCATGTCGAGGAAACTAAGGTGGATAATAGTGACCTTGAAGCATTTCTGACTCAGACTGAAGGTGGGAATGCTGACCACAAAGTTCCTGCAATTATGGTGTCACCAAAGACTCCTATATATAACAGCGCGAGGATCGTCCATAAGTTCAAAACAAGTAGCTACATGCAGAGTCCATCTGCCCTTCTCATGCTTCCGAATGGAAAGATATTGATAGTTGACAGCACGCTAAACGGTATATACACCTGCGGAAAGAGTGGTGGAATCCAACAACGCACTTGTGTGTACGAAGCCATCAAGCCAACTGGGCTAACTCTGAATCAAAATGGAAATCTTGTACTGAGTACCGAGAGGCACGTAAAGATAATTTCAACAGATGAATTTACCAAACTTAATGAGATTCCTGCGGAGAAGTTATTGAGGACGACTGGAAGTTTACCATCTGGTGTAGGTTCTGACGGTAAGAACATATATATAAGTGATGTCCATCACGGTAGAGTTTATCATGTTGATCTCGAAGACAAAAAGGTCTTGCATAAATTCGACTGCATGGATGACACCAATACACCCCCAGATGCATTCAATCTGTTGATCAGAGGCAGTAATGTATTCCTCACGTATAGTATTGATAGAGTTACTAATTACCTGAAAATGTATAATTCAAATGGACGACTTCTCCATAGCAACAAACTGCCTCGACATTGTTCTGGACTATGCTCCGACGCAATGGGAAACATTATCGCTGCATGTGGGGGTCTTTCCCTTCTTACACCATCGGGGTTATTTGTAAAGGAGTTAGAGGTGTACGATAAAAGTGCAAAAGCATACAAACTATATCCAAAGGCAGTGGCGTTTACCAATGACGGTCTTTTAATGGTGATAAATGTAACGCAATTTTCTAAACGATCGGAAGTTCTGATTTTAGAATTGCGTTAGAATATTATGTGTTATCAACACCTTGCGAGGCCTGTTCTCAAAGTATAAGTACTACATCGAGTTTAGAAGACTTATATTTTACTTTATTGACTTGAGCAATAGGTGGATCCTGTCATACTTCCGGGCCATAGCAGTCATTATCCGCCCTGGTTAAGGGTGAATAACGAGTTTTCATCCCATGATACTACTACTTCCCGGTCAATAACACCAGGGAATATATTTGATATTGAAAAGTTCGTATTATCCCGCCCTATCCCCCTCACGAAAATTGTATTCACCTTCCAATCCCGCTTTTGAAAATAGTATTCACCTCCCATGAATTTTTGATAAAAAAAGCTTCCTATTTCGTTCAGTTGGGTCGATAGAGTGTGCTATAATGATGTTCTTAAATGTAAGAAACATTTTTTCCAAACAAAGTTCAAAATAGAAATTTAAAACGTAAGGAGAATGAAGCTATAAAAGCCTATTTAATAGAAGGCGAATTGTAATTTCATCATCATGCTCTGTTGACACAGCCAAAGTCATAGAAAGCTGGGCAACAAGCGAATGACCTGATGGACTTGTATACAGGGCCGTCAGATGGGGGGGGGGGTGCGATGGGTGCGACCGCACCCCCCTTTGTCACCCCCCCAAAATAATTTTGAAATAATTTTGAAAAAAAATTTTTTTTTGAAAAATATTTTTTTTTGTAATTTTTTTTTTATTGACTCATGCACTTTGAACGTACCCAGAAAGCACCAAATAGCATCTTAAAATTGTAAAATTTTCTAGGGGTATTGGCCACCCCTCACACCCCCCACAAAACAATGGAAAAGTTCTAAATTTATTTTAGAGTTTTGTCTCAGACACTTTTAAAGTGCCCAGATATCAACAAATAGCTCCTTGATATAGTTATTGTTTCTGGGGGACTTACTCCCCCTCTTGTATCTTGCACTTGCATACCCCCCCCCCCTCTGGCGCCCCCCCCCCCCCAAAAAAAAATTGTGTTTTCTCAAATTCTTTAATTGACTCACACTTTGAAAGTGCCCAGAAACCACCAAATATCGTCGTAAAATTGTAAAATTTTGTAGGGGGAGTGGGCCACCCCTCACACCCCAAACAAAACAATGGAAAAGTTCTGAATTTGTTTTATGTATTGTCCCAGACACTTTTAAATTGCCCAGACATCATCAAATAGCTCCTTGATAAAGTTAATGATTCTGGAAGACTAACACTTACTCGCCCTCTGGCATCTCCACTCCACCTCCCCCTCTGGTAGCCCCCCCTCCCTTAACACCCCCCCCCCCTCCCCCAAAAAATTGAGAATTTTTCAAATTTTTTATTGACTCATACCCTTTAAAAGTGCCCAGAAAGCACCAAATAGCATCTTAAAATTGTAAAATTTTCTTGGGAAATAGGCACTTTTAGTGCCCAAACTTCATCGAATAGCACCTTGATATTGTAAATTTTGATATGGGGGACAAACACTTGCTCCCCCTCTGGCACCCCAGCCCCACCTCCCCCTCTGGCACCCCAGCCCCACCTCCCCCTCTGGCACCCCAGCCCCACCTCCCCCTCTGGCACCCCTCCCCCTTTGACACCCCCAAATTTGAAAAAGATTGTGATTGTTTTTCAATGTTTTTATTGACTAATACACTTTAAAAGTGCCCAGAAGCACCAAATATCATCTTTAAATTGTAAAATTTTCTAGGAGAGTTAGCCACCCCTCACATCCCCCACAAAACTAAAGAAAATATTCTGAATTTCATGTATTGTCTCAGACATTTTTTAAGTGCCCAGACATCATCAAATAGCACCTTGATATGGTCAATGTTTCTGGGGAACAACCCCTTGCTCCCCCACTGGCACCCCACCCCACTTCACCCTCTCATCCTCTTTGACACCCCCAAACGAAGAATTTGAAAAAAATTCACATTTTTCTCATTGACTCATAACGCACAGGCGTACCAGATGGTTGCAAATTCGCTCCAAATAAAACTAAATTTCAAAATTTTCCCCAGACCCCCCTGAATGCTCGTTTTTTTATTCACTCATACTACTTAGAAACGTACACTTCGAAAGTGCCCAGAAAGCACCAAATAGCATCTCAAAACTGTGACATTTTCTAGGGGGGAGTGGACCACTCCTCACACCCCCCACAAAACAATTTGAACGTTTGGAAGTTGTATGCATTTGTTAATTCCAAACCAATATAGGGAGTAACTGACCCCCCCCCCCTCTGTCTTACGCGATTTGATTTACGCGGCAAAAAAATGACAATTTTATATTCTCTTTAGTAAGCTAAAAACCGCACCCCCCTTGGAGAAAAGTGTCTTACGGGCCTGGTATACCATATAATAATAATAATATTGTTGATTTTTTGTTTTTATATTGATGCTTTTAAATTTATGTTATACAATAAATCTTAATAATATTTTTATATTTCAAAATGTCAAAAATTCAAGTCATATCTTGTAAAATAAATAATGTAGTCTGGTTTTGTTTCATACAAAAATCATAAATGGATATTGAACTAATGATTTTATGAAGAGAGTTATTAATATCAAGGGATGAAAAGCTTATTTATTAGTCGGTATTCAATATGGGTTTATTCCTCATGACAATATGGTATTTCCCTCTGGCCCTCTGGACCCTCGGGAAATATCATATTGTCCTTCGGAATAAAACCAATATTGAATCCCTCCCAGTAAATAACCTCTATGTACTTGATTTCTAATAGTGGTGGTGATACATGTTCTAATAACCTTTTTAGCGGGCAACATAATGAAAACGTCGCCCTGGGGCTTTCGGCTATATGATGCCCTTTGAAATGAGGTCACTGGAATACTAAGCATAATCATTCAATGTCTTCCTGATCAGCTATACCATGAAATAAACATGGTCAAACTTGTCACTGATATGATTTGATGTGTCTGTAGAACGACAGTATATCATTCTGAATTCACATTTCCGTTCATTATTTAGTATACACTGAGGCTAACGTTGAAACAAAGCTTTAATTATTTATTTTATATTTATTCATTATCAAGCTTTAGCATCATATTTATTTCAAAAAGCTATTTTTATTCAAATTATCTCATATGAGATGAAATTGCAGTTCTATGTTCAATCAAATATTGTGTTTATATCAAAAATTGCACATCATATGTCTAGATTAAATCAGCTAAATATTCACAAGGAGATATTATCATTAGTATCAGCCACCAGATGTGACATTATCCAGGTGAAATAAAAGTTTAATTTTGTATAAACTCCAGGTGATTTCTTTATCCCACATCCACGCCCCCAACTTGTGACCCCACATAGAATCCAACGACCTCTATGGGAGCAAAAGTAGCCACCTCCGGAATCACCCTGAAACACAGGCATGTCTCATGTTGTTTCACCTCTTGATATTGTCGAAGTTTCTTGTGTTAAAAGATATAGCCTTGAAATCCATCAATTTATATGTTCTGCTAATCTAAACTGATAATAATTAACAATAATGTTTGAGAGAGCAACGGCAACTTAATAATTCAATATATACAATCGTTTTTGCAAAATATATATACATCAATGAAATGTAAATTAAGACTTGTCCGCTTCACCTTGCATGTATCAGCAGCTCCGTCTCTTTCCCCAGCACAGAACATTGTTTGAGTAACCTGACCATCGTACCATGTGTTACACAAATTGCGTCGAAACATTGGCAGTCTTGCTTGCCTTAGAGTTGCACTTGCTCGACTAAACATGGCTAAATTTAGACGTAAATTTTAATCCAAATCGTATAATATATTAGCTCAATGTAGATGACATAATCGTCGACCAAAACTTTGGAATATTGGGCACTTCATATATTTTGACCCCAACAATTACAAAAATGTTAACTATAGAAGTATTTAGTTCATGTTCCTGATCAGACTGTGAAAGAAATGTTTGAAAAATTTATTATTTGAGACCACATCGAAATCTAGAAAAATAAATTCACACCCGGTGATCGGAAGAAATGAACGGAGGGAGGGAGTAACTGATTTTCGCTAGAAAAGTCAACAAATCTGGAAGATTTATCTTTTCAAGAGAAAGTTTACAATTGAATTGGTAAATGAAAAGGCGCAGTACACGGGAAAATGTGTGAGGTCTTCTAGGACTTTTTTGAACTGATGATGAACTTCTAGGATAAAAGATCTATAAAAAAAAGTCGCAGCGTCACCAACGTGCAAACGTCAATGTTTTGCTATAAATCAAGCAACAATGGTCTACACGACCTGTAAATAATATTTTATAAGTGACGCTGCAAAATTAATGTCATTGCTGTTTTTTTTAAAAAGTTTCCAAACGTTAGATAAGAAATGACCGAAAATAATTAAGATTTAACGGAGGGGGGAGTGAACGGAGGGGAGTAATATGGAATAATAGGTGGTACAAATTTCCGCGAATTTGTGTATTTGAAAACTGAACTCAGTAACTCAGTATCAACTGGATGTTACAACTCTGAAAAGTGAAAAATAGGGGCATATGGAGTTGTCGGAAATAAAGTCAAGTTGCATCGCTTATCATATGTCTTATAGACACATTACTCCCCTTCGTTCAATTCTAATAATTTTCGATTATTTTTATTTTTATTTATTTTATATTATTACGTATAGTAACGTGTTTTATATAAGCAACGATGACAATACTGTAGTTTTGTATTAATAACTTCTCTTACAAGATACAGGTCGTGTAGACCACCGTTGCTTGATTTATCGCAAAAACATTGGCATTCGCACGTTGGCGACGTTGCGCCTTTTAATATTATATATTTTATCTCAGAAGTCCATTAGTTCAAAAAAGATCCTAGAAGACCTAGCCTATTTCCCCTTGTACTGCGCCTATTCATTTCGCAATTTAAATATAAACTTTCTCTTCAAAAATAAATCTCCAAGATTTGTTGAATTTTCTACCGAAAATCAGCTACTCCCCTCCGTTTATTTATTCCTATCACCGGGCGTGAATGAGAAGTATTTTACATATGAGCAACAGTGTTATTTTCAACAATAGCATAATGTCAACCACATCTATTTTGTATAATGACAGTTTATATGTCGTTCATCTAGAACAAAATCCATCATTCCCAATATTATATAAAGCACTTACATGTACGACCCCATCCAATAGCCGTACAGTTCATTCGCAGTGAAAGCTTGCTTTCATTATCTTTGAAAAAATCTTTGAATGCTAAACATATGGGAGTTATAGTTTTTGAGTAAGCAACTGTTACGTTAAGCTTAAATAAGGCAACATCATTTGTATAGGTAACTTCTTCGTATTCTTCATGAAGGACTATCTTGGACACACCGACGGTCATTGTGTTATTTTCTAATTCATACAAATCATGTTTTCCAAGGAGTACAGTCCAGTTCTTGAGAACATTGTAGTTGTATTCATCACTTAGGTACAATCTGTATGTAAAACAAATTATAATTCTTTTCAGTTAAATATTGTTGGTGTTGATATAAAGGTAGTTTATTGTTGCTAGCAGTTATATGGTATAGAATAGTAACAATGATTTGATGAGAGAAATGATACGTATTAAACTTTTGAGAAGATGTTTTAGCTTAATTTTAATATGGGATTATTACACCAAAAGTAGTGCAAAAATGGCGAATATTTTTTGATGACATTTAAAAACATGGTTCCTCTTACGTGTATTATTTCATGGAAATATTTGCACCTGCGCAAGGATCTTTGTTCTATGGTAAAGAAAAAACATTGTCTGAAGAGCAGATTTCGCTTTGTAATTTTACGTTTAACACGATGACTGACAAAATATAGCCATTTGGGCGATAAAAGGCGATTCTATAGTGAAAATGAACTGCTTTTTCAAAGTTTTGCTTTGACCACGCCTAGCAAAAGCGATAAACATATCCCCATTTGGACACATTTACTGTGTAAGAGTGTTCTGAACGATATCAAAGTTTAAAAAAAGTATGTCTTGAAATGCCTCTAGAAATAAAATGGTAGCTTTGGGTGATTTTTGCTTTGAATTTCCCATGGTAACTATAACGCTTTGGTAACCATGACAACTTGGTTTTTGAAAGATATCCACCTAATGGTAGTTGGACCAAGTTTATTGGAAACAGGGCTGGGTTGATATGCCAACAATGAGGTTGATAGTGGCAAGTAGTGAATTATCAAAACAGGCAATGGTAGAGTCAAACAAAATATACATAGGCTGATATCAAACAAATATTTCGGTCTGTTGGGGGAATACCTTTGCATCGTTGTGCAGTTGTATTCTTTATGACTGGTTACCTTTTTAGGTATCTATTGCTTCGTGTGTTTTGCAATACCTTTTGGTCATTCTGTGACGAAGTCATAGCTGACCTCGTTGGTCAGTCTACTTATTTCACTTCATATCAGTTGATGTAATCATGATCTTTATCTGTTACTCATGTTTATAATTATTGCTTTAGTTTGATTAGTTTATATTTGTATTATAACAGTTGTTTTAGTGATCTTTGAACCCAGTGTGATATTTCACAATATCAGTAGTTTAATTTCCAATATCATTATATTAGAGCAGTTTTATGCATGAAATATTTCTAGAGCCAATCAAATGAAAGGATTATTCTTGAGATATGAGTGACAGACAATGATATTATGAAGTCAACTGATGTGAAATTTTGTAATGTTTAGTTAAGATGTTTATAAGTTTCGATAGTTTTTGGCATCATCTTGAAGACTGCAAATTTCTGATAAACAAAGTAAAAAGCTATTAAACCTGACGACCTGGAGTACAACTGACCAAAACATCAATACTGCTGTATATGCTTTGCAAATGTTTATACCTTTATTATCAACATCACATTTTACGAATAACTGTATTCCCTTTTGCATGCTCTAATGGTTTTTGAGTTTGCTTACCCTCTTACACAATGAGCGGCAGTGATGACCCAGTTCTGGTGAATAAGTGTCCCACCACATTGGAATTTATCTCCATACTTCAAGGCTACAGCCCATGGCCAAGAATGGGGGTCCGACTCGTCGCCACCTATTATCTTAGGCGTCACACTAGGAATGCCACAACCAGAATTAAAAACGGGTACTAAAGATGGAATAGATAATGAAAATCATATCAATTGATTAATTTTTTAGTGTTAAATTATTGAAAAAGAATTACATGTTCCGATTTTGGTGTTCATTTGAATCCACCTATCAAAAATCCTCAAGATATCAACATTTTTATAGCTACCTTTGTACAGAGAAAAACAACTTTACAAAATAGAATTACCCATGCACTCAAAATCAAAGCTGCATCTAAATTTGACTTTCTTGTAAAGAGTAGAACTGACGTTGAAGTATATATTGGAAGACCGTTTGCGCGTTGCCACTGATATCCATAGAGCATCTACATCTCCACAGACCATTTCTGAAAGTTCAAAATACATAAATAATTGAACCTTGGTACATGTTGCACTTGCTTTATTCAATACTTGAGTGTACATTTTTATCTATTTTCCAACTACTTTAAATTAAATACTAATACAGTATAGTTATACGAGAGAATATATTGTAATTGGGATATACGTTACTATTTAAATCAGCGTCCGTTTACATGCAAATGATATCACAGTTTCTCATTATGTGGACGTTTTTATGATTATGCCTCGCTTTTCAAATAATGTTGGCAATAGATGATTTTATTTTGTTTTCCTTTAATTCCTCCTCACTTATCAGGTCTTTTTGTGTGACTTTTACTCCATGCAAAATATATTGCGGTCTTACCAACGCATTCAGGAACAGTGTTGTCCCAGGTTTGGTCCGCTTGACATGTTATTGTCATGGGTCCTTTTAGTTTATAACATTGATTACACTCATACTGGACGGTGTCACCTTCAATGTATCTTTCCTGAACCCGAATAGCTCTTCCATTCGTTATGATTCTAGGAACATCTTGACACGTTGCATTTTCTGCAAAACATTAACATTTGAAATATTCAACTGAGGAACTTCCAAACGATTTTAAGCAATCAGCGTTTTAGACTCAGCATTCTATACTAGATGTATGACACGTACTAAGACATAATGGTTTACTAGAACTCCAGCTTCCGCCGTGTATGCACTGAACAGTACTATCTCCTAACAGGACGAATCCGTCATCACAACTGTAAATCAAACCAGGCCAACCGCCACATTCCAGAGAGGTAACTTCTTCTGAGATGTAACTTAGTACTCTTCCATTTGCTATGTTTAGCATATTGTTCAATCGGCATGAATACTCTGCAATTGGTAATTCTGTAGTTAGCAAAGTCTGTTATAAGGAAACTATAATTTTGATTTAGTTATTTCTGTAGAACTTCTGTTCAGGAACAATTCCAAGCCTAACGATACAACGTTATAAAACGAGTCAGTGAGTCATTGTGATACCTATAGTTGCTATATTAGTATGTACAACATCAAAATTAAATGTTATAATTGGAAAAAGAGACGGTTTTAATTAAGTCGACGGAAACTTACTTCTACAACTAGGTGGGTAAGGTGGGAACCAGTCTCCCTTGTTGTTGCAAAAGTAATCTGCAACGCCTATCAGTTCGTAACAGTTTCCACACTTATAGGTGACAATATCACCAGGAACGTAAACATTCTTCAGTCCATAACGAACAGAATTTGGTACACTGCTTGGGGAAACCTGGCATTCACTGGCTAAATGAACAAATTAATACCAATGCCTATCAACATCTTGTAGCCCCAGTAATACATGCACATGACATGGTGAACCTGTCAATATACTAACACGTTTATGAATGTATGTCGATTGCTGAATACACGAATATACGTACGTATACATTGTGGTATGGCAAAGTCCCATTTTACATATTTATCGCAGGTCAACAGAGGTATTCCATCAAGTACAAACCCATCTTCACAGCCAAATACAACTTTTTCTGACACCATACTCCCTACTAGTTTTCCTTTCAATATTACAAGTTTTGAGTGTTCTGGTATGATGATATTTGGACAGGCAACAGTGTAATCTAAAGGTAGAGGCTGCTACATATTACTGTTTATAAATACGCTATAATATTTTTTCTAAATTACATGCTATGTCCATTAATTGAGATAAACAGTTAAAACCCGTTAATTAAGAATTCGACTTAATCAAATCATCTCCCATACTAAAGCATGCTGGAGGCTGTTTGCTCCAAGTTCCGTCTTGTAAACATTCCGATTTTCTCGCCCCTAGTCTCTTGTACTGCTCCAGGCATGAAATAACAACGGCTTCGCCTACTTTATTACTAATAAGTTTCCCTTGAGAGAGTCTACCATGAAGTGGCATCACTATATCAGGGCAGTCCCCCAGATTAGCTTCTAGAAAGAAAAAGAACAGTGCTATTCCTCTACTGTACTGGTCATTGTGCTTGTAGATAAGTGTAATCCCTTTGACTATTTTACTTACATTAGAAGAAAAGTATCACCTGGCAATTTTTCAGTTTATTGGTACCCAAAGTAATGCAATGTTAACTAATTAATGTTTAGTATATTATTTCAATTACCTAAACATGTTGGCACTAGTTGGTTCCAAACTACCCCTGTGTCAAATCTATTGGTATTCCCATCAACAACCATAACCTGTTGCTCCTTACATGTTATGTTTGGGTTGCCATTGATAGCATAACCTTCTTTACAGCCAAATGTAATTTTAGCCCCTTCCGAGTTGTTATGCAACTGTCCTAATATGACAAAGCCATTTTCAGGAACTAATACATCTGGACAGAGGTTGCTTGTCACTGGAAAACAAAACGTTCTTAATTTCTCATTTACCTGCACATTTCAGTACATAAACATTGTTATATTTTATTTAAGCTTTATTAATTTACTTTATTTGATTAACCGATTAAGAAGAGTGCATACCTTCACATGTTGGAACAATACCACTCCAGCTACCCCGTTCACTGCAATATAATTTCTTCTGTCCCATTAAAGTAAAGCCTGCCTTACATAGAAATTCAATATTGTCGCGAATCCTATTGTTGAAGGGCCTCCCGGCTACTACTAAGAGGTTTGGGTCAGAAATCACAAGATCACGGCACTTCACTTCAGTAGCTGAAACCAATAATACAAAGTAGAAATGCTTATATGCTATATAACCTTGATATTACTACAATGGCAGCAATGCCGTTATTACATACCCATCATTGCATCTTTTGAATTTAGCAACATTACAAAGAGTTATCAAAATAGCTCTGTATTGTCTTCCAATTACGTCACAGCGAGATAAGTAAAGGATTGTGTTTGGAAAATATAAAATATCCACGCTCTTCCATTCTAAAAACTGCTATTAATTATCGTCCAAAATTACTTACGAAGACATCTTGGTAATCTGGAATCCCACATTCCATTGAGACACCTCATAATCATTGGACCATCGGGCATGTGTCCACTGGTACATCCAAATTTCACTATGTCACCATCTTTATTTCCTGTTAGCTTTGAAAACTGTCTTACAACCACATTTGTAGGGAGTACAATGTCAGGACAAGTCGAACGTTCTAAAAAATGTACATATACGTTTCAGCAAAAAGATAAATAAGACGCATTGTATACAAGCTTAACATTGATGAGAAGCATTCTACACAAGCATTACATTGTTAACAAGAGTGCACATACGCCTAACATTGATAAGAAGCATTCTACACAAGCATTACATTGTTAACAAAAGTGTTCGTACATACGCCTAACATTGATAAGAAGCATTCTCTACACAAGCATTACATTGTTAACAAGAGTGTACATACGCCTAACATTGATAAGAAGCATTCTACACAAGCATTACATTGTTAACAAGAGTTTACATACGCCTAACATTGATAAGAAGCATTCTACACAAGCATTACATTGTTTACAAGAGTGTGCATACGCCTAATATTGATAAGAAGTATTTTACACAAGCATTACAATGTTAACAAGAGTACAGTGTACATACGCCTAACATTGATAAGAAGCATTCTACACAAACATTACATTGTTAACAAGAGTGTACATACGCCTAACATTGATGAGAAGCATTCTCTACACAAGCATTACATTGTTAACAAGAGTGTACATACGCCTAACATTGATAAGAAGCATTCTACACAAGCATTACATTGTTAAAAAGAGTGTACATACGCCTAACATTGATAAGAAGCATTTTACACAAGCATTACATTGTTAACAAGAGTGTACATACGCCTAACATTGATAAGAAGCATTCTACACAAGCATTACACATACCTTCGCATGACGGGACTGCAAAGTCCCAAGAGCCACTTTTCTGACATCTTAAACGATCTGATCCGTGAAGTTTATAAAACTGCTCACATTGGAACAAAATGGTATCCTGGAAAATATTGTTCTCCAGTTTACCCTCGGTGATGATCAAGTAGCTTTTATTCTGAATGGATATATCAGGGCATGATATATTTGATGCTGAAATAAGATAGAGGATTACATCATATTTTGATTCCTCGGTAAAATCCATTTGGCTATTTTTTTACGATTTAGTTAGAGCCATGTGTGATGTGTCATTTTTGAAATCGAACATTTCATTATTTAGTTTCCGACTGTGAAAAGATCATAATTTTGTATCAAATGAAGAATCAAATTATTTATTCAGAACCTTAAATTGGAATCAGAAAGAAAAAGTAAATTATAGTTGCAGTTTCCATTTTGGACTCGTATAATTTCTGTTTCCACATATTAGTCAGTAATTAATAATAAGTAATACAGTTATTTGTTTGTAGGGCTAACTTACGAACACATATGGGCATTGGGTGATTCCATTTTCCTTTATTTGTACATGTTAATTTCATTGGACCCTTAGGTAGATAGCCTTTCCTGCATGTAAATGAAACCTTGTCCAAAACATAATTATCCTTCAGACGGCCTGATCTTAATGTTACATTTTGTAACGGTTTATCAAGATCTGGACATTTTATGTCCGATTTTCCCAAGGCCTTTCCTGAAACAATTCATGGCAACGTAAAATAATAATCATTACACGGCTTATGAACCCGTGCCATTATGTATAAAATTGCTAAATATCATTAATAATTTATATTAAGTCGTTTGTTTACATTACCATACATGAAGAAAGTATAAATAACAGATGCTGAACAGTAGATCTTCCTCACCTTTGCAATTAGCAATTGTTTGTCCCGTCCATTTTCCATTTGGTTTACATGTAAGTTTCTTTTTTGTGGATGGTTTGAAGCCCTTCAGACAAGACATGAAAACTACAGATCCACAACTGTTGTTTTCGCTCGATATTTTTGCATTTGTTGGAGCCACTAATTTCGGGCAGAATATGTTCTTTTCTATTGAAAACATAAAACAAAAATTAACCAAAAATAATTGTTATAAAATATATATGATAATCTAATATACTACTTCCATATACAAAGATATGAATCGTTTCAAATAGTACTATTATTCTAGATGAACCGTTTAAAATAGTACTTTTACTCAAGATGAATCGTTTCAAATAGTACTTTTACTCAAGATGAACCGTTCCAAATAGTACTTTTACTCAAGATGAATCGTTTCAAATAATAATATTACTCAAGACGAACCGTTTAGAATAGTACCTTTACTCAAGATGAACAGTTTCAAATAGTACTATTACTCAAGATGAACCGTTTCAAATAGTACTATTACTCAAGAAGAATCGTTTCAAATAGTAATACTTCTCAAGATGAACCGTTTCAAATAGTACCTTTACTCAAGATGAATCGTTTCAAATAGTAATATTACTTAAGATGAACCCATTCAAATAGTACTTTTACTTAAAATGAACAGTTTCAAATAGTAATATTACTCAAGATGAAGTTATTTAAATAGGAATGTTATTCAAGATAAACCATTTTAAATAGAACTATTACTTAAGATGAATCGTTTTGAATAGGAATATTACTCAAGATGAATCGTTTCAAATAGTACTATAACTCGAGATGAATCGATTCAAATATTAAGTTTACTCGAGATGAATCGCTCCAAATAGTACTATTGCTCAAGATGAATCATTCTAAATAGTAATATTACTCAAGGCGAATCGTTTCAAATAGTACTATTACTCAACATGAGCCGTTTCAATAAGTACTTTTACTCAAGATAAATCGCTTAGATGAACCGTTTCAAATAAAGTGCTGATACATATTAATTGATAAGTCGTATAATTGGCACATTTTCTTGAATTTAAACATTTAATGTCCCAAACTCCCACAAACTGCAGAAAAGTATACACCATAAATCATATCTGAGACTAACATAAATAATTATAATGTTAGTCTCAGATCATATTTACCAAAATGAGTGTCTTCATGGCTTCACACCAGCGTATGCATAATGCATTTGTCACGAGTTTGAGCTGAAATTTCGACAAAATGAAGTAGACTAAGGGTAGTCTCTGCAAGGTTTGTTTATTGTGGTAAGCTTGTAAGTGCTCAGAAGCAAATAATTCATGTGCGCAAAATAATCAAATAATCTGATTGGTTTAAACTTTCCTGCACATGCGCACAATGTGTACCATGTTTTTTCTAGTGATTTCGTTTCGTTTCATGGAGTTTGCGTTTCAGTGTAACTTCCGCAAAAATGGCGGACCATGAACAGGTAAAATCACTTCGGCAAAACTGCCCTAATTCACGTCACCATACTAGTCAATGGGCAAAAGGGCAAACGCCTGACTTTTTACCTCGAGTTATGGATTTATGTTGCTTCACTGGCCTATCTGAGGTTCTAAAGCTATGTCTAAGCTACATCTTGACACTAAACTCAATAGGGGCCAATCATCTACTTTTTGAAATAATTGGTCAATTGTGACACTACCCCCTCTCTCTGCAGACACAAATTGAAATTCACAAAAATGAAGGCAAAATTAATACGCCACTTGACTCGAAATTTTCTTTCAGATAACCCAAATAAACGCATTTTCAAAAGAAATGGAAAGTTGCCATTGCAAAAAGATTACAACTGTGCCTACATACTAGCTTACTGACTCGTCATGATCACAATTGTGTTGGGACTACATTTATTTTTGAATACTACTTTTTTCTATTCAGCGGAAGTGACGTATTAGGGCATTTTGGCCTAATAGCCACATGGTTGGATGATTTCTGGCTTTAAATTGCGTTTTTCCAATTTACTAGAGTTTTTCAAGTAGTTTTGTGCAGTTTAAGAATATTCCACTAAGGACAAAATTGTAGCCAAATATCGTCAAAATCAGTGTTTTTTGGGGTAAAAAGCGAAAACTGCTGATTCAGCAAAAACATTAAATTTGTTCATGAAAATTCCCCTTTTTGCCTCCGTCCAAAATATGTTTCACACTAATAAACTTCAATTCTGGGCGATTCTGAGTAGTTTTAAAAAATTTTGGTCACTTTCACATGTGACTTATAGGCAAAACTGCCCTAATTCACGTCACCATACTAGTCAATGGGCAAAAGGGCAAACGCCTGACTTTTTACCTCGAGTGATGGATTTATGTGGCCTCACTGGCCTATCTGAGGTTCTAAAGCTATGTCTAAGCTATATCTTGACACTAAACTCATTAGGGGCCAATCATCTACTTTTTGAAATAATTGGTCAATTGTGACACTACCCCCTCTCTCTGCAGACACAAATTGAAATTCACAAAAATGAAGGCAAAATTAATACGCCACTTGACTCGAAATTTTCTTTCAGATAACCCAAATACAGTGGGGGACAAAAATAAAACTCAACGTTCATAAGTTTTCCAAGTTTCGTGTCTCAAACTCTCCCAAGCGGTAGAAAAATAATTCCCGTTCACTAAAGTAGCACAATAAATGAATTCAAAGCTTCATACCTGCAAATAATGGATAAATCCCTACCAAATCGAATGAATGTTTTCATGAATCGTCATGTTTGTTATCCAAGGACGGTTGACTCCCAGAATGCAACATCAGTTACCGTATTTACTCATGACAGGTTTCAAAATGGCGGAACAGCATTTTGAAAGCTGGCACGTGTCATGTTGCATTCTGGGAGCCAATCCTCCGTTCCGGCGCAATCGGGCGACAAAATCACCTCAACATTTGAAGAGTCGGCATAACATGTGAATATCCATTTCAACTTTTGAAGTTCTTATTTGTCATTAGGGACACAAATTCCACTATATTTGGACTTACTCAGACGGAGAAAATAGAGCACTGAATACACTGAGGTAAGAATTTATTACATGTGTGACAGCATGTAATTTTCATAGCTTTTGCAATTCTTTATGATCCCCACTGTAAACGCATTTTCAAAAGAAATGGAAAGTTGCCATTGCAAAAAGATTACAACTGTGCCTACATACTAGCTTACTGACTCGTCATGATCACAAGTGTGTTGGGACTACATTTATTTTTGAATACTACTTTTTTCTATTCAGCGGAAGTGACGTATTAGGGCATTTTGGCCTTCGAAATTTCAAGAGAACTTTTTACCTATAATAGCCAAACTTTTGTCTTATTTGTGCATTCTATCCATGAGATATGAGTCTCAGGGTATGTAGGCAAATTCATTTTGGTAGGAGCACTCTGTTTAGTTTTAAAACGCACCCTTTATTATTATATATCAGCACTATAGTATTATTACTCAAGATGAACTAATCTAAATAGAAATATTACTCAAGAGTAGATGAACCATTCAAATAGTACTATTACTTAAGATGAATCATTTCAAACAGTATTATTACTCAAGATGAACCATTTCAAATAGTAATATCACTCAATGCGAACCGTTTCAAATAATAATATAACTTGAGATGAACCGTTTCAAATAATGATATTACTCAAGACAAACCGTTTCAAATAGTACTATTACTCAAGGCAAACCGTTTAAAAAAAGTACTATTACTCAAGATGAACCATTTCAAAAAGTATTATTACTCAAGATGAACCATTTCAAATTATAATATTACTCAGGATGAAACGTTTGAAACAGTACTATTACTCAAGATGAACCATTCAAATAGTACTATTCCTAAAGATGAATCGTTTCAAACAGTATTATTACTCAAGATGAACCATTTCAAATAGTAATATCACTCAATGCGAACCGTCTCAAATAATAATATAACTTGAGATGAACCGTTTCAAATAATGATATTACTCAAGACAAACCGTTTCAAATAGTACTATTACTCAAGGCAAACCGTTTCAAAAAGTACTATTACTTAAGATGAACCATTTCAAATTGTAATATTACTCAGGATGAAACGTTTGAAACAGTACTATTACTCAAGATGAACCATTTCAAATAGTTATATTACTTAAGATGAATCGTTTCAAGTAGTATTATTACTCAACATGAACCGTTTCAAGAAGTACTTATACTCACTTTGACAGGAAGACTTGTTCATGGATTGCCATTTACCACCCATGCACGTAACCGTCTTTGGTCCTTTAAGTTCAAAGCAAGGTCTGCACTTTATAGTAGCCACACATCCACTAGTAAATTGAGCACATTTGCTTTTTACAAAACCATTGTCCAATGAAGGTTGATTTTCATTGCAAAACGAATGCTCGTGAGATTTAACCTACAAAATTCAAATTACAGGGTGACTAGAAAAAAGGAAACCGAAAAGACTTTGAATAACTACTTTGATAATGACGACTTTGTTTGCATTTTCCTAATGGATATAACTGATTCAATCGAAAATGATGTAGGAATACTATCTTAGTCGATATACCAGACATTGGAAGAAAAAACTTTTTTGGTAGAGACCTATTCAATTGGTGTTAACATTTAAGAAAATGTCTCTCATATTCAAGTGGAATACAAAGTTTAGGATTCATGGGACACAACAAAAAATAAGAGATAAAGATCCATTTAATCCTTTAATATGTTTACGGAAACGACGATTTATAAGAATATCACACTTATGGACGTATAGAGCTCACAATGAATGATGACGTAATCAAACGCTTTATATTATATTGATATGTACCATTATTCTACATTTCCTTTAATTTTTTCTTATTACTTATTGATCGACCCACATGTAGTGTATTCAGCACTTGAATGTCACTTGCTTTTATAGATCGAATACTGTTAATGTATTGAAAAGCAGTATACTCACATGATCTATTCTGTAACTCCAAACAGTAAAAATAACAGTTGCGTAAAAACAAATGTGAGAATATTGATACATCATTCTGTTGATTTCAAAAGAAAAGGTAGAATGTCACCAACGTGCAAGTAGTAATTAATCAATTTGCAAAACATGATATTTGAAATGTCAACTTCGCATTATTTGCTTGTGAACATCTGATATCATAGCAGCAATGCAATAATGGCTTTGTCATGTAGACCTTAAACATGCATATACGGTAGTTTGTCGACCACAAAGCACTAATATAAAAATGATTATTTATGTATGCAATTAAACCTTCTAGTTAACTATTTTATATAGAATATACTAGATTAATTGTGATGTAGCTCTATGCACATACCAATACATTCATCAATTCAACATTCCCATCAACCATATACATATGGTGTTGCTTTCTATTTTTCTCATGACAATCAAAAAACTTTGACTTGGTTAGTGAGATGTTGCAATTTCAAAATCAGTTCAAAATCATAAAGGTAAATGACATAATAGTGTCCTAGGATGCAAACCAGCTACATTCGTTCTTTGAATTGCAAATATTGAAAACAATTTATAACACTGTGTTATTAAACAATGTTTTGTAATAAGTAATCATGACACCTTCATTTACCAATCTGTATTGCTGTGTCACCGGTTTAAAAACAGCAACAGCCCGAAGTAGCTCATCCAAATTTATTATCAGCCTTTGATATTTGTTACCAAATGTAACCACTTTAAATTCAAAAACCATATCGGAAAGTTTTTCGAGTCCCAAAAGTCATCAGCCTTTTAATACGTATATAAAATAAATCTGATTAAAGATATTAAAATCAACAATTGCATTTCCCCGCAAATGGCGGCATCTTGAATTTTCCTTTGACAGGTATTCTTTGTTCTTTGGCATCAGCCTATACAATTTTCACGATATCCAACAAGCGATGTTTGAGTTATCAAATATTAAATTTTACTATAAATGGCGGTCATTTTGAATGATCGGCCATATTGGAAATATCTTCCCGAGAACAAGTCCCATGATGCCCGAGTGATATTAGCCTCAAAATTTTTAACAAAATCTGTCAAACGGTAGTATATAATTAACTTTTTGCGCTGAGACACGTGTGGACGGACGGACACTTTTTCAGACTTCAAAAGTCCACATGCTCTTTTAGATACATCTCAAATCAATTATTTACTATATCTCAGAAAAGGGCCCGGTGACCTTTGTTTCAAAATTAGATCAGCCACTAGTTTGATCTCGCGACATTATGATTTATTAATCATTTCAATATTGAAACTGATCATAAAGTATTCATTCAACGAACCATTCCCCACGCTTATTAAACCACGCCATGGGCAATGATCATGTAGAGCTGACTATTATCTGCACGTATGTGTTTGGTAAAGGAAAGTTCATGAATTGACGCAGTATTTTCTAAGAAAATGAGTCATGTTTAATAAATATAGAATCAATTGAAATTCATATTTATGTCGTATTCGACACAGGTGTGTTAAGGATAGGCCTCTATATAGGATGTCGAAAATCCATCCTAGGTCATTATGAACTATGAAGAGAATCATCTGACGTGCGACAGAACTGAAAAGTGGTCCGTTATTTTACACAATGCCTCGCATACTGAAAAGCACCATCTGAATAGCACTATCAATCACAACAAGTGTTTTCATTCTAGTTTTAACTGCTCTTTGAGTATCACTTCATTAATATGACAATAACAACTATTATTCATGAGACACAAATCCATAATAAATATTTCACAATTTCAATACATACTGACAATATCAAAAAAGCCTTATTATGTTCACTGTAATAGTTTTACATAACACATGCAAAAAGATCGGAGGTACTGGATCTGGAGATTGAGAAGGGGAGACAGTTCCCTTCCTAAAAAGGAACCACCCCGACCCCCAGTATTAACACAAAGTCACGCTTTCATATTTTCAATGTAAACTATAGTTAAAATAATGTTTTTTAAACATTAGCCTATCTCTGTATCAAATTCTGAAATTCAGCTAGCTTTGATTTGTATTCAATGTATGAGAAGTATCATATCGATATCTGAAAGTATAATCGAGTTCAGTCTTTAAGTCCATCTTTTAAGCTCATAGGTGGGTTGTTGTGGGAAATGTTGTCGGCATATAATGGGGGACACATCATCTCACATATTCGCATTTATGATGACGTTCACTTGGCTCCCTTGGCAACACTCCTATCTATAGCCGCAAATTCAAACGTCATCCACCCACCATCATTACACCACACGATATAACAATTTTCAATTTTAGTCTCCATTTTCACACTCGGCAGTTATTGAACGATGTGTTGATTCTGTCTATGGAAGTGTAGTTTTGGGCTTGGGTGGAAGAGTTGTATCAAGCATGGTCTCACATTCAGGCCTCTCTATACCCATACAGCATTCTTCAGTGGCTGTGAAGTGGTAGGCTTCCCAGAGACCCTGATCAGAACACATCCACACATGACACGATTCTGTTTTAATAGTACCTGTCTCGCACTCTGGTTCAGGCTCAGGGATAGGGGTGGTTGGTATGGGCTCAGTCCCATTGACCTCTGGAAATAGGTATACATGTATGGTCTATATATTTGACTTATTAGTACCGTTTTATATACAGTAAACCCATAACCATGCGGGGAAGCTGGGGAGTGGAAGTGCCCCCTGACAAGATATTCTTTCAAAATCATGCAGTTTTCACCATTTTGAGCACTTTCCGGTCGTGTTTTAGCCAAAATTGTTAAAAAGCCCACTGCCTTGGCAAATGCTACCCATCAAAGGGACTGTACCAAATTAAGTGTGACATTTGAACGCGTGGGGTAAGGTTCAACATGAGGATGAATTTTAGCAAACTGGCTTTCATCGTCTTAGAGAGACCTGGTCTAGTTTCTAGATATTTTGATATGTAAATGTCTGTAATATTAACACCCTACAGGGTGTCAAATAAGTCTGTTCTCCCCTTTGACTTTTTTAATTCAGAAATAACAAAGGATTTTTAGATATCATCTTAAAAGGAATTAAAATTTGGTGATCACATGGCAAATTTCAGACGGATTGGTTAGATTCCAAATTTTAAGAGCATTCTTAGTGATGTTTTAATAGTTCCAAGGCAGCTCGGACAGCCTCAATTCTACGTGGATACGATTCCAAAATGTTCACAAACAAGGATGTTGCTCTTTCAAGGCTTTTAAGAGCTTTCTTGATCCATTTGAGCAATACCATAACTATGAAGTTTCTCCTCTGGTTGATCTTTGATTTTTTTTTCGACCCTGTCCTTAATTATCGAAGTATCAACTTTTCACCGTTCATTCATTATCCTGGTAATTTTACTCTTTTGACGTAATAGTCAATAGTCATCTATATCCCTTCAAGAAAAGATTCATTAGGAAGAATTCATTATTGACTTTTTAAGGATGATCAGCATTTTCCATAAGTTTTGGAATGATATATGGGAAAGTACTTGTATAACTTTAAAAAAAATAAGGGGGAGAACAGATTTATTTGACACCCTGTAGACAGTGAACTTGACGGTAAATTTCAGAGTTAAACCTACATAAACCCAGAATGTACTATACGGTAGCGATAAGGTACAACATCATGGGGATTTGAATTTGCGCTATACCGTATCTCAGGTGAAACCCGCGCGTCATATATACCGTATACTACATTCGGAGTTCGTGTAGATTTAATTATGAAATTCACTCTCAAGTTCACTGTCTAGGATATTGTAAAGTCAATTCAAGTTCTTGAAATAACGAAACCCATTATTAAAATGTTTAGTTAAAATTGTTAGAAATATGTATCAAAGGGAAATTAAAACAAATAAAGAAAAGGAAAAAAATCGATTATGACGATGTAATCATTGTAATTATTAATTATATGACAAAAATGAGAGTGCTATGTGTAACTGGATCTTCAAGATTTTGAGTCATATTCAATCACAGAAAAAATATAAAAGGCGTTGAACAAACATAGACACATGGATTTCAATCATGTCAAATAGACTTTAATTTCACGATGTGACATATTAAAACGTAAACAAATAATTTCAATGCCGATCATAACAAGTTCGCTTTAAGAAACGGTGTCATATAGAAATTTCATATTTTTATAATTTTACTATTCTATAAATGCACATTGTAACTTTTAAAATCTAAAATAATGTATGTACTCTATCTTAAACGTGGAAATAAAGAAACAGGAACATAAACTCAGACTGAATACTTACCGCAGTCAGGTACAGTCCATAATCCCCCACATTGCATTTCCCCACTCCAGCATGCACACACGAGGCAGATGTCGTAATCATTGACATGTTCACCTTCAGGGTAGTAATTGCCCTTGTAATAACACTCGGCTGCCCCTGGTGCGGTAGTTGTATACCTCCTTGTAGTGATAGTAGACGTTCCACAATCTGGATTTTGCCACACAACCACGTCTCCATCATCTCCACAAAATCTCCCCCAACACTGGTCGCCACTGGGAGCAGACGTTGGATCTATAGTCGCACCCTGAGGGTAATATTGACCGTTGTATAAGCACATTCCACTTGGGGTAGTTGTTTGTTGTGGTATCGTTGTTTCGCCACAATTGAAATTATCCCATGGCACAATCTGGCCGTCTTCTGAGCAGTATGCACCGTAACACCAGTTACCGTCTTGCCCCGAAGCTTCTGGTATATCTTCTCCGGGATTATAGAATTTCCCTTCGTATTTACACATACCTGGAGGTATTTCAGTGAAAGGTGTTGTAGTTATTGCAGGTAAAGCTGTAGTAGTGGAAGGGTATGTCGTTTCTGGTGTCGTTTGGGGTGTCGTCGTGGATGGGCCACAATTGAAATTATCCCATGCCAAAATCTGACCATCTTCTGAGCAATATGCACCGTAACACCAGTTACCGTCTTGCCCCGAAGCTGCTGCTATATCTTCTCCGGGATTATAGAATTTCCCTTCGTATAGGCAGCCTGCAGGAATTGTGGTTGGTGGAGTTGAAGGCTCGGGACTCGGCTCAGCACTTGATCCGAAACAGTTGAAGTCATCTCCATGTAATACTTCACCATCGCTACCGCAAATCGTAGTCCAGCACCAGTTAGAGGTATAATCCTGGCCAGAATCTATTACCTCCCCCTCTTGGTAGAACTTGTCTTCATATTTACACATACCTGGAGGTATTTCTGTGAAAGGTGTTGTAGGTATTGCAGTTAAAGGTGTAGTAGTGAAAGGGTATGTCGTTTCAGGAGTCGTTTGGGGTGTCGTCGTGGATGGGCCACAATTGAAATTATCCCATGACAAAATCTGACCATCTTCTGAGCAATATGCACCGTAACACCAGTTACCGTCTTGCCCCGAAGCTGCTGGTATATCTTCTCCAGGATAATAAAATATTCCTTCATAGAGGCACCCGGCGGGAATTGTGGTTGATGGCGTTGTCGCAATTTTTGGAGTTGTCGTAACATGTGGTGTAGGCTCTGGGGTGGTCGTTGGTGGTAGTGTGGTTCTTGGGATACAGTTGTCATTTCCAGACAGTTTATGATCTATCCATCCTCCTGGTCTACAGTGACCACTATAGCACATTGGAATCGAGTCACCTTCGAGTCTTTCGTACACCAAATCACCCACCTCGTAGACGTTCCCCTCATAGTAGCACTTCGGTGGAGAGGTGGAAACTGTTGTCGGAGCAGGTGTAGTAGTAGTTGTTGGAGAAAACCATCTACGAAAGCAGCAAGACCCGTATTGTGCACCTATATTTGCAAAAGATTGTTGTAAATAGGATTCACGTTATGATAAGGTTAAAAAATGTTAGCGATTAGCAACTTACATGGTTTGTATATCGTTCATATATATGAGGCAACATCCAAAAGGAAAAATTGTTAATCAATTGAAATTTTCAAAAGGCCTTGGTAAGCTGTAATGTTTTGTTTAATAACCCCTAGTCTAACAAGTGAAATTCTACCAACAGTCTCCCACGTGAATCTACTCGATCAACTCGATTTCTTCTGAAATAATGAGGATTTTGTATCTATTATCATGCACGATGACACAATTATGAAGTGCAGCTTTTAAGTCAATTGTATATTGAGTTAATTTACAGATTAATAGGGGTTCTTGAAAAGCACATTGGGCTTCCTTTTTAGAACTTTTTGATGGCTCTAAAAGAACGAATTGTGTAGACAAAAAGTTGGTCAATACAGATTATGGTCATTTTAAGTGAGCTGTTATTTTACTCATTTACACGGTGGATACTTTAAATTCACCCAGTTTCAATTACTTATAAGAAATGAATGGACTTTGTGTAGCCATGGCGTTTGCGTTTGTAGCTTCTTCACTTTCAACACATTGGAATAATTATGAGTTCTTGTTCAAAATCGTGTATTTATTCACATGTGTTCTAAACAAGTTAGGTTACTTCACTGAATCGTTGAATCACTGAATCGTTGAATATACAGTTTCTATAGGAGGCTTAGCGATCGGATGTAAATATGTATTCATTTATTAGCTTCATATTGGAATTCAAAACAGAGATTCGAGCACATGATATACACATTTAACTACATTCATTTCTGTATTGGTTAAGATTGAATTCCGCCTTGAATCCAATCCCAAATATTGCGCTAGATATATTGACATATCGGTATCCAAGCTCACTTAATTTGCTTGTCACCTTCAATTCCAATCTCAATATGCATCCAACTTCAATCACAGGCCATTTTCACTTATAAGGTGTACATAATCATAGCATTAACATGTATCCTCACCAAAGAAAATATATCATGCAATAGTAACGTTGTAGAAGAATGATCACTACATAGATGGTGTGTAGTCTAAAATAGTTTGTCGCATAATATGAAACAAATATGTATTTAATAAACAAAAAATCTACTCACACATAAACTGCACACTAAGTGCAAGTAATAAAGTTGTTCCTCTTGCTTTCATTTTGTTTGCATTTCTGTCGACTAAAATACAAATATGACGAGTGCATAGGCCTGTATAAGTAGGGTCAGAATAAACACGTCATTGGTTCGTTTCAAATGTAAAGTACATATTTCACCTATGATTCAAGGAATTCGGGATAACAAGGAAGTATCTCAACAAAAACAAAACACTTTTATAATTAGCACAAAATAACAAACAGTTTGACCAATTACCTTGATAAACAAGAATGAGTTTTGTTTGGTAATAGTGTATAATCAGTGTTTTTCGTTGGCGTTGGACCATCGGACAAATCCGGCGATGTTGACAGGACTGGTGAGTTATTTCAATCAGCCAGTCCACAAGACTGTCCATGTCCGATGGCTAAGCTATGCATCAAATTCTTACCTCAAACATTGGTCCGATCTTTGTATTTAATTTCATTTATTCAAAGGTGTACTCATGATCGCATTGAAACTTACAAAAGTTTTAGATCTGCAACCGAGGATAAATGTCGCAGCATTATTTATCACTTACTGTAAAAAGCTGTCTTCTTACTGGTCGAAATGAGTTGTGGGTAGTAACCTCATGCAAAAATATTTCGTTCACTGTAAAATCTCTGATTATCAGAAACTTAATTAATTGAATTCAAATAAGGCTGTTCGAATAAAGAAATCGCACGTTGTTGATGAATCGTGTACGTGAAGGGTTTTGTTTTCTGGGTCACACTGGGGTTATGCTTAATCGAATGACGCGTTGCTGCAAATTTATGATTGACAACAATACAATGGATTGAAGCTCCCAATGATGTGTTTTCACCAAAGAATTCTTCTTGGTAATTATATGCAACCTGCTGGACAATTTAAGACGTCGATCAATCACTTGTAGTGGATCCCGAACATTTGATTCGCAAGGGGACTTTAAGTCCCTACAAATGTATTCCTTCAAGTATAGGGCATTATATGAGTGTCAGGATCAATCTCCGAGCCTTTCGTCCAGTGCAATCCGTACCTCCTTAGGGTAGTGAAGGTACGCAACGATCGAAATGAATTTTGTGTCAGGCTGTCAGCAAGTGTGTAACTCAGGGCGACATCTTTAAATCAAGGCCAAGGTTATCTAAGTAAATATAAAAAATTCTGTATCACTTTTTCTTTTATTTTATTGGGAATTTAAAAGTATGAATGTATGCATAAACTCGTACACATAATGCACTAAGGCGGAGTTCAAGGTCATTACTGCACTGTGATGACGTCACGCTTTAATGGCACTACATATCTCATTATGAAACCATAATGCACTGTGAAATAATGTTTCTGCTCAAATATTAAATTGGTACCATATCTAAATTGATTGATATTGTTTCTTCTTCGCAGTCAGCAGAAACATTTACAAGAGTTACACTTCAACTGAAAAAATAAGTGTGATGTACGTCTTGGTTTTTTACTTGCGTCCTTAACGGTAGATTAAAATGGCACCAACGAATAGAGAAAGTAATAAAAAGTTTTTTAAGTTAAAACGTTTGCCAATGCTCTCTCATAGTCTCAGAAAGGTCCATAGTGTAATATCAAGGTTAAATGAAAATTGATCCGCTTTTATGAGAGCAATTAATGATCGGGTATAACGCTTTTGTTGATAGCATGATTATAAAGTCACGGTTATTGATTAATAACAAATACACATATATTTTCTTTCAAGCTGATTGAAAACGATTAATAATCTAATGATTAAGTGGCTAATTCCCGGTTTCAGGCTACGCGTAATTGATTTAACTTATCAGGTAGCGGTTTCTATAGCAACAATGATGTAATGCGGCACATAAAATGACCATTTTCCTTTTTTATAAGGTTTTACATTGTCGTCCAAATAAAAATATAGGTTGAATTAAAATTGGAATTTGAGATTTGCGCTAAAGCTAGTCTTTCCTCCACTATGAAGCCTTTGTTTCAAGATATGCAATCTTTACAATAATTGACGATGGATATTTTAATGGAAATGAATTTACAAAACTACTAGGCTATACCTTTAATAAAACAATCGTAGGGATAAGATATCAATATGTAGACTGCATGTCGACAGTTGTCCATGGAGTTTACTGTAAAACTAGATGTTTGATTAGCATCCGTAGACGTTTTAGCTTTTATGAAGAGCTTGGATGAATGTGCTAAATTATATGTTTTCATATTTCTAATTCTCATTTTTATATTTATGAGTACCTGGAAATTAGGTACCGGTGTTTCAGACCAACCTGCTGTAATAGTTACCCTAATGTTTCCGGAGAAAGGTATCTATCTATTCCCCAAGCATTGAAAACCCGTCAAACATTATTCGCTCTTCTGAACCTTAAGATCGATATCTACTCTACATGGAGTTGGATATAATTGAAGAAAAATACAGGTTATTTGGAAAAAATTGCCATTATGGATCCACGATTGTTTGCTGTCTCTACAACCTTTCAAAGTTATTATCTCGCCTTAAGGGATGATATCAACATAGCTCAGCATCAGCAAGGTATTTCGCTTTTGTAACGTATGAAGAACAACTGACGAATATAAGGCCACTTAGAACTCCGAATTCCACACCACTCGTATTTGGATATCTGTCTAATCAAGCCATTCCCAATCCCTAATATTTTTATCTTTCAGCTTATTTTTGTATCCAAACTGAGTCAAAATTGATTTAGCTGAAAAATACTAACAATTGCATCGACTCAGTTAACGGCATCTAAAAATGAGTTGACAACTTTTTGAGTTGCTTTAGCTGTATTTTAGTTTCAATTCTGTTTTATCTGGCCAGCCCAAGTGTTCGTTCCTGCATCTGTAAAATGTTTTTTATACACTCCGTGGAATCTTATTGCTAGCGCCTCTAGATTTTAGGATTATGGGCTTTCATATTGATTGTTAAAGTTGTTTTTTCTTTGTCGTAGAGCAAATTGTTTATTTTGTTGAGAAGTCACAGTTTTGTTTTAAATCTTGAGAATATAATAAGTCTTGAACTTCAGTATGTGGCATTGACTCCATTATTCTTTGCTGCCTTTTAGTTTGACTTTTCACATTTTAACAAAGACTTCGTTTCTGCCATTTAAAATCAAATTAAATGTCTACCATGACAACAATACAGCACGCAACATTTGACCTGCATTAGCAGTAAGCACGTTGTTATTCCCTATGATGCTATTTTTTAAAGTTTACCCAAATAGTTACTTATCAGTTTATCTGTTTCATTAATTTTAATTGAATCTTGAAGGAGTGACCTTGGGTGAATTGTTGGTTACATAATGGAATGTAGTTACGTGAAATAGCGTGTTCTGATTGGCTGGTATTGGACACACCTTGCCTACCTATGTGTGAATTCTATATCCAGTAGCACAAACTCGTATTGAGACGTCCCCTTGTAACAATTAGAGGATTCCTATTGTATTTTAAGGATATTTCACTGGTAATAACCCTAATAAACAATAAATTACGTAGCTATTTTAATACTTGCGGAACAAACAATAGAACAACTCCGTAGAGATGAGGATTTACTGTCTCATTGGATGCAATAAACAAATACGAAAAGGTCGAAGAGTCATGGTTTTCATACGGACGATTGGGATGGCAATGTTTAAAGAAAATGCACCATTGGACTTGACAAGATGATACAAGAACTGTGTAGACGATGAGAACACGACGCCCCTTTACCTGGGATTATTTGGTAATTATTGGCTTTTATTTTACACTATTCATCAAGAATCGTCATCTTTAATCATAATTAAATTCTGAACTTCCGATTTCTTCTTTTACGTCATTCATGAGCAAATTAATGAACTCTGCCTAGAATGTGTTCAATATTACAATATCAATACGAGAACGAAACTTAACATTACATGATCTGGCAATACATTTTATACCTTTGTGATGACCTTTGATTGCTAATCCCAAATTCTAATTTTACGAAATGCATTTTTGATATTCTTTTTGGGGAAGCAAAGCGAATAGATGTTTCAGTTTGTGAATTAAATAGTATATTCCGATGTAGAAAGATCCCCGGAAATTCCCAACTGTATACGGCACTTACAGGAAGAATTAACTTCATAAATGTCAATGGCCATTGAGGAGAATGCTATGAACAAAACAACATTTACACTGGACTATGATTCTTAGGGGTTCACAACAGCTCCATTAAAGCTTTCAATTTTTCAGATTGCCGAGATTTGTGTTTTCATTTTGTGGACTTCATACATTACAAGTCAAGAACTAGGTAAGTAAAGAAAAATGCTCTTTCGAGGAAATGCAATGTTTCGTTCTGAACGTGCAGAGATGATTAAGCAAGCTCAACTGCTGAATAAATATTTATCCTGCATTCTCCTTTTCAACGCTCAAATGCAATAAATGTGAAAATGACATTTAGCATTGTTGTAATTCGCTCCACTCAGTCCGTTAATGAAATTGTCATTACGACTGAAAGTCACATTGTACGTTGAAGCTTCAAATTGAACATGAATTGTAAATACACGAGATCATGCAAATGGACCTAGCCACGTTTTTGCTACAAGCCCCACTAAAGATTTTGTGACACCGACCCCGTATTGGATACCCTGGGCGCAGAGTCTAGTTATTAACTACGAAGCTATATTTTGAGAAGCGAAGTCGAACGAATCCAAAGGGTACTTATTGGAAAGAAAATGTTTGAATTTCATTTATTCCTCGCTACAATAGGTGGAAAATACATATATAATATGTTGGAAACTCTCCATCAGAGTTGGCTTGAACACATGGCCCAAATGTAGGAGTTACGGTTTCAAAAACTTTTGGAGTGGAGTGCTATATTACATATATCAATCGCATTTAATGCTGCCCTTTATGGTCGTGCAACTTAAAGACGGGGATGAAGCGTATAAAAAGTATAATTGTTATGATACAGTCCTTGAAATTAATACACCGTGTTCATATGCATAACATCCGAAGATAACTTTGCGGAAGTCAACAACCTGTCAACTATCTTTTGTTTTCGATGATAAATCGGGATCATGGACTTTACAATTGTAGGCTAAGATGGCTGTCAGATGATTTATTGCATCTGGTTACTTGAGAAACAATATCCAAATTACCATAAATGTAATAGTTTTTACATCCGGCAAATGCCAATCTTGAGGGAAGACTATAAACGAAGTAATCTTTCATTTGCGCATGTACAATGTACATCTATAGTACTCATCCCATACTTTGCGGAGTTTAAAGAGCATATCAGTGATATCGAATTTATATCACCCACGTTCGGATTTGTGTAAACATATTGTGTAAACATATAGCAGGCTCGTGACCAGCTTTTATCAAAGATGGTTCACTTTTTAAAAAAGTCCGAGGGGGCATATTAACCATTTTGGCCATGTGTGCTCGCCCCGGAACTAAATTATCTGGATTGCCCACAGGTAAAACATCAAATAACGTAACCATATCATCCTATATCTTTAATTACTCATAATTATACCATTAGAACATAAGTCTAAGCGTATGATGATTATCATGATGTGCTATTGACGATGCATGCCCATAGCATGAACAACTACGTTGCCCATAGACATGATACAATTTCCTTGCAGTACCGGTGTGCGAAAATGAAGAAAGGTGCTTGCTTTGGGGAGAAACTTCAAGATGTTACTGTCTCTCCCCTGAATTAGTTTCCCAAGAAGATATAGAGATGCTGTCATGTAACGACGTTTCCACTGGTTTATCTTTAGAGTCAAATGCAGAGTTTAGAGTTGTACAGGAATGGTTGCAGCGCACAAATGCTAGTAAGGATACATTTAGATTATAATAAGTGTATTTTCATAGTCCAAATGTCACTCAAATGACAAGTCTCATGGCGGCGGACCTACGAAAATGGGGTAAGTGCTTGATCTCATAATTATAAAATCATGATATATGTACGTTTCTCATTTTATACATACTTGTATCTTTGATACTGGTCATTATTACAGAAACGTTTACAATAAACTGGTTCAAACTTTCGAACTGGTACAAACAAATTAAACTTCTCGGTTTAAGATTGGATGCTCTCCTTACAATGTAACACGACACAGTTATCGGCACAAAAATCATCGAAAAGCTTGTTGAGTATCAGTTGTTGATGTGTTCGTTACAGCTTTGACGACCAAGTTTTGCGGAAAAATAAAATATTTTCGACACTTTATCGGGAGTGACAAAATTCCCAGTTTGGTGATATTGCTGAAAAATATAAATTAATGGGAAAATTTAGAAATATTGTCAGATTATTGTGAATTAATAAGTCAGTCATCAGAGTCATTCGAGTTCCTTCTATTGTAGAACATTTTTGTTATTTTGTGGCTTTTTATTCCTACCAAGGACTTAATTAGATTGAACAATGTTTTTCACTGGATGTCCGTTCGTGGATATCTTTTACTGACAGTGAATTAGCATTATTTGTACCATAAGAGTGGGACAATTACAAGACAAATGAACCTAATTGTTACTTCCAAGGGTCATAAAATAGGGGTTGCCATAATCATGAAATAAAAATAATTATGGGCCATGTCTTTCTTTGTCCACTAGTGCATTGTTTAGTCGTATTAAGTTTATTTCCAAGGAAGAAAATCATTATTCTGAAAGGTTATACGATAACATGTAATTGATGAAGCACAAAATCCTTTTAGAGACCTTATTTATGAAGTAATTGCGTTAGTAATAAGAGGGTGCAGTATTAATTGCATCATTCAGAACTACCATGAATTCAAATGGAGTGAGCTTTCACTTATTATTGTCAAAAGATTTTCTAGAATTCGTTTAACAAACATTAAAACATTTTTTTGTTTCCGACAATTGAAATGTTACAAGTGATGTCAGTCATTTCTTAACCAGTGTGAAAAATTGGAATTCAACACTGAGACTTTTTAACCGTTTTTCCTATCTCTCCTACCTTTGTAAACTCGAAGAGCAACTCCGCAGAGTAGCAAATCCCACCGAACAAAATATGTCATTTTGGACATTGCATGATAGAACTCACTGGGAGAGAAATAGATTTTTTTAGTTATTCCCTTAAGACATTGGTGTATAAAATTTGGACCAAATCTGGAAACTCACTGGTATTTGTGTGTTCAGAAAAAAACATCATTTCCTGAGAAATGTCAGACGTTTTGAAATCGGCATTTCTTCTGTGTTAATAGATATAAGGCTTCTGAACCAAATCTGACAATTGGGTATTTTGTGGCCATTTGAATTCAGCAGTTATTTTGAAAACATTTTCCGTTGGCATTAGCATATACAATGTTAACCCAATCCGTCAACTGGTATTTGAGTTATGAAAGATTACTTTTTTTAACAATGGCGGCCATTTTAAAGTTAAGTGGCCATCTTGAAAAAAAATTCTTGGACCTCTTTTCTTGAACATAACTTCTATGTCCCCCTGGGCATCAGCACATAAAATCCGAACCCAGTCAGTCAACTGGTATTTGCAGCAGGGCCCATCAAGGAATAAATATGAAATGAGGCAAAGCTTGTCTAGAATTAATTTGAGTGTACACTCCCCTCGTGAGTTGCGTTCCCATCCTAGGTGAAATGTACTCCTGATAGTTAAATGAGTTAAATGCAAACGAATAAGAATCATGAACCCGACCCCTTTATATTTAAGGTGATGTATCCGTGGTGACTTCCGCTAGATACGATTACGATAAGCTAAAATGGGTATGGGGTGATGCTGCTGCTGCCACTGAAGTGGATCCTCTAGTATTTGATAATACAAATTTTACGAGTGCTGAACTATCTCAAGAAGGTGGTGGAGTCTACATAATCTTAGACGCCGAGATTTGGTTTTCACCACGATTCACACTTCCGGACACAGGAGAGCCACATTACCAGTACAACATCGTGTGTGAATCCGGTATTGTCATTTAAGAAGAGCAGGGGTAATATTGTCGAATACACCCCGCAGGGTTAGGCTCATACGTTTTCTGAGGGGTTCGAAAGATTTTGTGGCTAGCCCTAAGGGGTGTATTTGACGATATTACCCATGCTCTGAGGTCTATATTACGATTCGAACATGAAAACTCACCAAAATCTTTCGAATATTCATTATTGTCCGCCATTACTACGGTCCACCGTTATGACGTCACACATTACACGTTTTACCAGGGGCAATGTTCGCGAATATACCCCGGGTGAAATATTGACTTGTTTACAGTTTATTAAAGGCGTGAATACAGTCATGTTCGAATCCATAATAATACTCTTACTTGTAATAATTTGAAATTATTTCCACATGCTTAACATGTCCACTTGCTAATTATAACACACTATAGCCATGCTATATCACAGGCTGGTATCGAAAAAATTGTCCGCTGTGACGGAGCGCGCTATTTTGCATAGAAACACTAGGAAATCCACACAATTTATTTTTTTACTCATATGTTTTGCTATATCAAAGAAAATTACTGACTCCATGCAATGAATATATCATTTGCGGGTAACTTTAACTTCTGTTTGAAGTCCAACAACGCTAAGAGTAAAAGCTATTGAAAACGGCGTCGGAGTATCATACTCCAAAATGTACCATTTCTTTTATTACTTTTTAATGGTACAATATAGCGACACGATAATATTTACATATGTTTTCAGCATAACTCTGAAGGTATTAATGAGATCTTTATGTATTGGGTATTTTTAATTTTTTCAATAAAAAATAATGTTTAAATTTTTTGTCCGCTGTGACGGAGCAGTTTCAAATCTGAAATACGTTAAGAATTTAGATTTATAATATATCTCTTTATAACTACACGTTAGAGGAGGGAGCGTATCAAATCTCTTTCGTAAAGTATTCTGAAAAATAAAACGGAATAAAAGTACATAATTCAAATTCTGAGATGCATAATTATACGACCACTCTTTAAGCTTCTTTTCTCAGTTTGTACTGTAATCCAAGTTATGCATGGTAACTCATGAAAATGATAGTCAACTTTATTTCAGTATAGGGTATTTGCCTTTCGTTGTGCCTACTGTGGATCCATCACCTGACATGGTCATTTTTTATGGTAACTTATATACAGTAATATTATGTGGTAAAAGGTTATACATCTGTCGGAATGCAGGATGTCTGTGCGCTATTTCGAATAAATTCATATTTTCCCTATTTATGTTACGCGGTAAACACGATACAAAAATATGCCATATTCCGCAACGAATATGCCATATTCACTTGCGGTGTATGACAGATTCACCTGTGGTATATGGCATACACACTAACCAATGAGAACGTGATACGGAAGTATGCAATTGTCAATTGCATCGATTGAACGAACAAGTAAAACTTTATAGATTATTATTATGATTACTGAATCAACAGTACAGTTTATCGAATACATCAACGTATGCAGAAGTATCACTCACCAATCTCACGTAATAAACTTACCAAATCAATCCATGATTCATATATTAGTACTCGGCGCACTAACAGTATTGGTAATCCAGCGTAGCTTTACACTTAGAGTCGATTCTCGCAACCAATCAAACCAAGTCTTTCTGTATCACATTTTTCACCTGCGGAATATGTCATATTCAACTGCTGTATATGGCATATTCCGCAAGTGAGTGTGACATATTCTGAAGGTGAGTATCGGGTATTCACTGAATTCAATGCATCACATATTCACTGCGGAATATCGCATACTCACCTGCGGAATATGCCATATACCGCAGGTGAGTATGGCATATTCACCCGTATCACAAATACCGCGCAACCATGAATGTATGCCATATTCCGCGTAACAATTTACACTACACGTGACATTCTAAGACGTCTTGGCGAAAACGTATTAGAACTATTATGTTGAGTTTACACCATGTTGATTCATGTTGATATCAGTACAAACCTCCGAAAAATGCTAAGCGTTTTTATATCTCAGATTTACATTACCCCAGATCTCCCAGAGGCTACTTGTCATAATTTAGGAAAGTGATTTGTGACGTTCTCTCTTCTTAGGGTACTTTTAAAAGGTATAATTTGAATCTTAAATTCTTAACGTAGTTCACAGTTAAAACTGCTCCGTCACAGCGGACAAAAAATGTAAACATTATTTTTTATAAAAAATATTAAAAATACCCAACACATCAAGATATCATTAATACCTTCAGAGTTATGCTGAAAACATATGTAAATATTATCGTGTCGCTATATTGTACCATAAGAAAGAAATAAAAGAAATTGTACATTTTGGAGCATGATACCCCGGCGCCGTTTTCAATAGCTTTGACTCTTAGCGTTGTTGGACTTCAAACAAAAGTTAAAGTTACCCGCAAATGATATACCCATTGCATGGAGTAAGAAACTTTCTTTGGTATAGCGAGTAAAAAAATAAATTGTGTGGGTTTCTTATTGTTTCTATGCAAAATAGCACGCTCCGTCACAGCGGACAAATTTTTCGATACCAGCCTGGAATTAATTTTTGTTTATAAGCAGACCTGTTACAAGAAAAAAAGAAGATTTCATGTAATAAATCACCAACAACCCAGTGCTACCTGACCTTAAGTCGTTAATCTGTCTTAAAGAAAACACGATAATTGGCGATAGGTATTATTTACGTTTAATTACATTTTCTCTGGCAATATCAGAAGAGAATCTACTGTACTCCACCGTACTCAGTATACCTGGACCTGTTGAATTTTATTTATGTTATCATAGTGAAAAGCACTAATTTTTATTTGAGGATCTTGGCTTTGTAGATGCCAGTGTAGAAGCCAAGGGTATCCACTACACGCTATATGCAGTCCCCGTGTCGTGGCAAGTGGCAGAGCAAGCGTGCGAACATGTCCAACAGACCATGGTGTTGTTTCAAAACAAAAGCTATTTTGACCTGGTGACGAATGTTCTGAGACCAAGGTCAGTATAGTAGGCTAAACAGACAGTATCATTCAAACATCGATCACGTAACATAATTGGCATTTTGTTAAAACTAAGCGGACTTAATATCATTTTTAAGAATAAATCATTCCTGAATCAATTTAATATGGATCCGGAATTCCATGATTATATTGGTATTTATTCAATATCATTTTTGTTGATATCAAAATTATAATAGACGCGCTCATTCGTGTTAATAAATATCAAGGTCTTGATAAAATCATTTTGTCGTTCAAATTAGTGAACCATATTGGACTGGCCTGAAACAGTTGACAGAGGTGACAAATAATGGAGGTATAACACCAGATGACGCATGGGTATCTGACACAATTTTGGAGAACCTTCCTACCCTGAAAATAGAGGAGCCTGATCGTTGTTTGACTGTCTTGGCCAATTTGACGTGGATATCTGATCATTGCAGTGAAAACCATACATTCATATGCAAAGGGCATGCAGGTCTAGTATAAGACTTGGGATTACCATTTTTATTTTTATTCACACACAGATGCACATGCATTGCCACGTTTTGACCAATCAGATTATATCACTTTCTTTTTTCAAGATTGCAATACAAGAACTTTTCTGTAAAAGTTGTGGAATAATGCATCGAATTCAATTTTGTACAGACCCCGAGTCGAGCCCAGGTGTCGAATCTAAATTATAAATAGTAGGCCAGAGGGGCTCTTATAGTAGGCTATTATTACCGATTGGGCGGGTTAAAGTGATTTAATTACATGGGGTCCGAAGGAGTCAAATATAATCTAACGACGAAATCGACGTTTACAGATACTCCATTGCAAAATAAGTACAAGGCTATGAAATTTTCCATGTCGAAATAAGTGAGGCATTGTTTGAACTCTGCATCTGAATCGGTAAAAGTTCTGAAAGTGGAACAATTTAAATTACGTCCATATTTTACTTTAAATAGGAAAGTGCGAATTTGCAGACCCTATGCAGGGGTACAAATACGTGGACAAGGTGCAAACAAATATGCGTTTTGTGGTGTTGTCTAAATGTCTCGAGGAGTGTATGATGAACACAAGTTGTATGTCAGTAGCTTTCAACGGGCCAACTACAGGTTCCGCTATAGGTATATGCACTCACAATGCTGGAAACAACATGACAAACCCAGAGAAACTGAAAAACGAATCATCCATGACCGGCTGGTATCATTATGAGAAAACCTGTTTTACAGGTAAGTGCAAATGTGGATAATATGCTGCACTCTAGATACATCTGAGGACTCGCAGCAATCTTTATTATTTCCAGTCGTCAATTTAAGAAGTAAAAAATTGAGAATACAAGCGGGGTGAGTGATTCTGTCTATCATATGGGCATTCGTAAGTATTAAGCTACATGTAGGTCCAACGTATACACGGATCTGGCCCTTTACGCACTACTTGGTCTCATCAAGGCCTCCCAAAGTCTGAATGTTCCTAAACGTCCTGATTTCTTTCTACTATAATGCCTGACTGTTCTAGTCTTTTATCATCCTACTTATTACACAAAGTCATGTTTGTAGGTTCGGTTACATATCAGCTGCCGTTTGATCCAATAGCATCGACTCAAAAGTCTACTACACTAGGACAAGATTCTGTAACGTATGGTATAAGCACAGTGTCGAATCTAAGATCAACAACTGACTTAAGTACAAGAGTGTCGACTGCTGAATCATCTACTGAGTTGGCATCTGATTCTACCACAACGTTGCCAAGTAAAGAAACAACGATTGAACTTTCTTCTCTGTCTCTTCCCTCAACATCTATAGATCCTTCAATAGCAACATCTATGTCAACATCAACGGATGGCGCGACGAGAATCACCTCTTTGTTTGTCATTTCAAGCACTGGAGAGTCTGTGCAATCTTCCATACCTCGTTCGAATTCAGAAACAAGCGCCCTACCACCTCGGGAACGCCCTAGTGCTAACAATGCTCCTGATTTTCTTCCTCCTAGTGAAATGACTACATTAATGAACAATATGGTAACCGTGACAGATAGCGATCATCACATTGATCATAATGCCTCAGCAAATGCTGTAGAAGACTATATTCAGCCCAGTTTATCAATTACAGAAGAAGCACATGCTACGTCAACAGCAAGCATTGACAATTCTTCCAAACAAGCGGAATTTCATCGTCACACCCAACCCCACCCCCGCTTTCGCGTTTTAGATCCTGATAAACGATCGTCAGCAACTGGTATGGGTATTATTGCAATATCATTTCTTGTTTTTGTTATTATAGGAATCGTCTTTTTGGATTTACCAGCGTTGGTGAGAGATATTAAAAGAGGGAAGAAAAACTTTTCTACTTTATTTAGACAACTGCGAGAAAAGAAAAGGCATTTTTCTACAGATATAGAAACTGTTCAAATAGGGCTGAATGATGAATCTAACATCTAAACATAAAACACTTAAAGGCTGTTTATTGAAATCAAACCGACGAAAGATTACGAGAACGGAAATGGTAGACCAAATTCTTACACACCATGTAATAAACATTGTACTATTTTTTTATTACTAAAAAGTATAACATCTGTAAGTTGTTGAACTTCTTAAGCAGTTATATCTTGCGAACTGTGAATAAGAAAGGCTTCGTGCACTATCTTGTATTATAATTCTTTGATGGTAGTGCCCGTTGATGAAGGAATAGTCAAGAGTTTATTAAGTTTATGTGAGGTATAAGGGTCTGCGTGTTGTCCCACGTCAGTCATTGCAATGAACACACGCCTAAAGTGGTCCCTTAGCATTCTCGGCGTGATCATATTTGGCATTAATGATTTCCAATGTTTTTGTGTTTCCGTCATTTTCTCTTTCCGTCTCTGAGTGAAGTACTCCCTCTTGGCGTTGTGTACCTATATGGTGCAAGACGTATATGCATTATATTACCCTAGAAGTTGAATCTAATAGCTATAGAGGGCTTGGTTGCGAGTTACTTTACAAACAGTTCATTACTATATCTAAAATAAAAAGTGATGTTACTCTTTAAATGCAACATTTTCAAATTCGATAAAAATTGATTAAAAACTAAGCTGTCTAATTCTCTGGCCAAATCTTAAATTGATTTGAACATCATTAAACTCTGTCATTCACCTCAGAGGTACTCACATTTGCTCTGATGGAGGGTAAATTCTCTGCTGTCAGCAAATCAAAGTTTCCTAGCTTTTTCAAATGAATAAGAGGCAAATGGACCGCTGTGCTCTGAAGTCTCTGGCTCACCCACCCAGTGTGACGTCTCTCATGCTTTACTTGAGCTCTGTTCTCTTCTACTTTAACCTGAGACTAACATAAAATAGTTAATTTAGGCTTGTACATTTCTCTTAGTACACAATAGAGTTACATTACTATAGAGTAATTATGTGGCGAGATTTCAGAGTTGATTTGAACGCGGTAGGGTCTTATGGCACACCCTGTACACGTGTCGCGTAAACTGTTGGATATAAAACTGACATACATCTACTGGCGGACCTGGTGGATCAGCTGGATCGGTGATTGAGTTGGGCATGATAACCTTGATTCTTATCTTCCCTCTCTTCTTCCTGCGTCTGTTCACGAGATTCAAGGGCGGATTGATTAAACTGTCCCGGTTTGCTGACGTGAAAAGAATATGAAGTGGCTGGGCGTATGGGCTTTTCTCGTTGCGACCTCTATTGTTTGCCTTTAGAAGCTCTAAATGTTCTACTAACTGCTTTTCTGTTAACCCAATGAGGCGCGCACCTGCGGCGTAGTGACCAACTACGTGTGGAGCTTGTACCTTCTTGTATTTCGTGTGGAAGTATCTGAAGACAAGTTTTATTTGACATTGTTATTGAAATGAAGCAACAAAAATGCAGAAATTAAATTATAGGTGACAATTTATTCTATTCAATTAAAGGTACGATTCAATTCATATCTGCCCTTACCCAACGATTTCATTCATAGACTGGAGGGCAGATTTCTTCATAAATTCAGTTAGGGCGTCAAAAAGCAGCAACTCACGCTCTTGTTCGTTTGTTTGTTCATCGGACCCAGTTCGATCGTGTTTTCCCGCTACACGTAATTATAAAATAAAGGAATTGCGATAATTTTGATTTACTCACAGTCTAGAATTTTTCAGAAACAAATGTATCAATAGTATGCTGTAAATCATTTGTTTGGACGCATTTTTTTGCGAAAATGCCTAACTACGAATGTGTCAGAATTCAAAATCTGCTACCCTAAAGTTGATACCTCGATTTTTTATCTCATTGATCATTTCAATAATAAAGGATTAAAGATAAGAATTGAAGGGACACTAGGAACCTAGCTTAGTGTCCTTTACTTACCAAAAGTACCCAAAAATCTTTCTGTATTCGTCATCAAAGCAAGGAACTCGTCGAAATCGATTTCTCCATTTCCTACAAAAAGCAACATATGGTATTTTTTAGTGGCCCGGTCGTAACATTACGATCACGTAATATAATGGAAAGCATCATGGGCAGCCAGTGGACATCAGTTAGTGTAACTTCGTTTTGACGCATTGAAAAAAATCAAAATAGGCAGATTTTTATAAAATATATGGAAACATATTATCAAAAATCCCTCTATTTTGATTAATAATGATTTTCTCGAACATGAGCATGCAACACCTTAAAGTGGATCCTAGAACTCGCTAAATGACATAAGTACGTCATGGTCTTCACTCAATAGTGTCCACACTTAATTAATCTTGTATTAGGATCCACGTTGCCATGGCAACCAAAACAACGACATTACTGATTCTTTTAGCAACAAAACAACATATAAGATAAACATGATGAAAATGTCTTCCACAGGTTTCATCACGTTATGTTTTGATATTGATGTACATTTAAAAAATATTGGACAGCTTTGGCCGTTTTAAATTACCATCTCTCATCATCATATACAATAGTACACTAGAAGGTAGTGTTTTGAAATCATAATACCGTCATTTGTCATTTTTGGACAACAATTGTTTATTATTGTTCATACACGTTACCATCTGCATCAATTGACGTCAGCACTTGAACTATTTCTTCACGGGTGAGTTCAATGCCAACAGAGCGCAGTGTCTTGTCCAACTCATCGGCGTCAATGGTACCACCCCCGTTGCTATCAAATAGGTCAAACACCTCTCGGAAAGCTAAAAAGAAGCATTAAATATGTACAGGGTGGTAAAAATGGAAACCCTTGCACCATTTTCCTCATATCTTTATCATCTTAAAAAATAACTTCCTGATATTTTACACATTTGTACATCATTCAATTTCTTACCGGCCTACTTTATCTCATGACCATCAGATTGATAGTCACAATGTTACATTACTTTATAGAACATGTTCCAGTGGCCACTATTGACCTGTCTGGAAACCTGCACTCGTCGTCCAAAATGTCCCTCCTTGTGGTGATATCGCAAAAAATAAGAGTCTGTGAGAATGACCTCAAGGCAATTGCAAACCTGAAAAGTAATATCGTCTGTGTCATTCAGGCCGTACCTGCTGACGAATGCGCCTACAGCGCGATGATGGCCAAACCGGAAGCATGTTATTCAAAGTGCTGTAACATTGTAACTATCAGTCTGATGGTTATGAAATATGGTAGGGTGGTAGAAAATTGAATGATGTACAAATGTGTGAAATATCAAAGAGTCCATATTAAAAGCAAAAAAGATATAAGAAAAATGTAAGGTTTCCATTTTGATATATAACTGATGCTGAATTGATATATTCGCACTGATATCATGGCAATGGTGGTATATATAGAACATGCATAGCAAAGTGTGTGTTCATATATTTAGACGAAAGCATACAAAAATGAAAACATTATTGTTACAGTTAAAACACAGTAACGAAAAACTTCCGTGACCTGCGATTTTATGTCTTAAATCTATCTAAAGTTCTTAAATTATCCAGTGTCCAAAAGTGAGAAAATTCTATCTTTCGGTTTATCTTTGGCCAGATCTTTTAAATCCCCTAGCTTACTTAATATGTGGAATCAAATATTTTCTAGCTTTTAATAATAAAACTAGACAGTAACGGTGACTACTTTTTCTGCTTGATTATGAAACTCAAAAAATGAATGTAATGAATAATTGAATATATCAAATAATTTTTAATTCAAGTAAGGACTCTCGTTTAACTTTCTTGAATAGGAAATGTATTTAAATTATGACCAACTATCTATCCAGCTATAACGTATTCCTCAAATCTGGATATTCGTGTAGTAGCAATATAATTTTACAATATATCGCTCAAACAAATTCAGAATTGGACGAAATGAGGACAATTATACTCAGTATTGTTTTGAAACATGATGTTTGTTTTTGCAAATGCAATACCTGCAACGGTCTGTTGATTTAATTCCCCGTTTTTCCTTTTCCGTTTTGATCTCTTCTTTTTAGTCATAGTTAGCGTTGATGAGCGACATGGCGTTTCGTTTATTGCTTGAAGAGTATTTTGTTTTTGACCCTTTTTCCTAAATCCTTTTCTTCTACCTATTCCTTTTGTTTCGAAACATTTGTTCTCGGAAAATGTTGAAACCCTTCTTGGTTGAACGGGCTCAGTGTGTACACGTACACCTGGTGTTATGGCTGATGTTTTGCTTTTGTTCATGCTTGATGCAAAGTTCAAGTCTTCTTTTAAATTATAGACTCCATTTTGGATGGTAATTTAGTTTCCATCCGCTTTATAGCCATCCCATTTTGATTTTCAAACACAGACAACAAAGTTTGATACGATCACTATAACGACCTCATTCCCAAATACCATGTTTATTATTACGTCATAATAGTTATCGGTAATTAAATATTTTCCTGGGATTCTACATCATCAAAATTCAATTAGCCTACGAAGTAGCCTACTAGCCATGCATAGCCTAGTTGAACCCATGTGATTGTCCACAAGGGTGGCCTTGCTAGAGGATCTCCTTATGGAGATTGATATTAACGTTAAGATATGAGACACACTCAGTACAGTTCCATGCTCACTGATAAATCACTTGAATATTTACAATTTGGCTCTAAAGTTCAGTGTAAGTAACATTAAATACATTGTCTATGGATGTCTAATGAATAGACTTGATGCGAGCAGAAATAATATTGATTTATTCAAAATCCAGTCAAAGTGACATCTTATTTGAAATCTACATGTAAAATTACATCTAGATGTTGTGTTAAAAAGTACTATCTGGCTTTGAAAATTCAATTTTCTTTTGAAATGAGACTCGGGGAGATTCTCCATATACCCCGTGTTATAACATCACAAAAAACGAAATATATTTTCTAATGTATTTAAAAGATAATTATTTCTTTTACTGGACATATTTACATATTCTTATTTGTATAACTATCAGATACATAAGGGTTATAAATAGTGAACCATTAAAACTGATGAATATTCAAGTTTAAAGGAACTTTCTAATACCATGTCATGTTATTTACAACGAATTAGCCACCTGGTGGTGAAAAGGTCGCATCTGGGTAATTATTGTTGAGCTACTGATTCGACTAAATCTAGGCCTTTGGCCTATTTAGTTCATCGTGATACCTTATAATGTAAAATGTACATTCATTTACAAGGTGACCGGAAAAAAGGAGATCATTGAAGAAAGCAATATCTCCTAAACTAGACAAGTGACAGCAATGAAAGAAATTTTGCACACACCAGAACAGTTCTATGGAAAGTACCTGAAAGTTTCAATACAACCAGTCAACTGGTTCACGAGCTGTGAATTCATTCGGCAAATTACCCTCACATATTTAGCCATTGTAATGGCATTACATTTAGCAGTGATTGCCTTCTTTAGGTCAGAAATTGTCTGAGGATTGTTTTTGGTAGACACTGTCTTTCAAAAAGTCCCACAGAAAGAAATCAGGTGGATACTTTGGTCTCAATTGTGGTAAATTGGGGAATAAAGTAAATGATAACAGTTCCTGAAACAGTTGCCTGGTTGTATTGAAACTTTCAGGCACAAATTTCCACAGAAGTGTTCTGGTGTGTGCAAACTTTCGTTGATGTCACTTGGCTGGTTTAGGAGATATTGTCTATTTTAACGGTCACCCTTTTCCCGATCACCCTGTATTACGTCCACGCACAGTGAAACTTTTTAACTTTTCAAATGACGATCTTGATCAATTTTACTATTGGTGTAAACACTATTGGTGTAAACAAACCTTCAACAATTGATTTGCTGAGAAGCTCCCTGGAGTTTGGATTTGAGGCTATTTTGCGCCTTTGATGCAATATTACACGAGACGAACCATCTGAAGAACTTCGTTTGAATGGATTTTTTCTGACTTGTCGTTTTCCTTCACGTCCATTTTCTTCTTCAATAATTTTATCTTTTGGAATAGCCTCTTGTTTTTTCCTTTTTGGCAGACTAAATGCATTTCTTCTTCCTATTCTATCTGCAGTAGAGATTTTCTTTTCACTGTATGCAGATGTACGCCTTGTTCCCCTTCGCGACAGATTGCTATTTCGTGTTTCGGATATCTCTGTTAAGTTGGTTGTTCTAGTGTGTATATGGTCAATTTGTGACGACATTTTGCTATTTTTCTTGGAACATTTTAGAGTTTTTTCCTCGAATTACATGCCAGCCAAGATCAAAATAAAAGCAGTCGGTGTTTAGCCAGGTTGGCATGGAAATGTAATAGATGTGTGATGTCACAGTCATTACCCCATAACAACGAATTCTGTACGGAATAAATACATCAATATTTATATATTGTTACGCAACGTAACGTCATAAAGTTGCTGGTGCAGAGATGTCAATCATAGTGATCAGAGTTTAACATATCATATGCACTGTGTGAATGGTTTATCTCATGCCAGTGTTTGTTTGAGAAAAGTATTCCCAGTGAATATTGTATTAGAAAAATGTCAAATTTTTATACCCGGGTTGTTATCTATATCATGCCTGTAATCCCAATATCACAATATGAAATATCAATATGAAAATTGAATCAATAAAATCAACAATACGAAAATTATATGAATAAATACCATAATACAAAAATTATATCAATAATTATTCCATAATACTACTTTTTTCCCAGGGAAATATGAAGGAATAAAAATCGTATTGAATCGTATTACATGAAAAAATCTAAAATAATTTATTATTGAGGTGAGACCTTGGGCAATATCTGCCCAATATCTGCTGCGCTCCTTCGATCAATATCATATTGTTTCTCGGAATAAATCCTTCCCAGTAAATAACCTATATATACAATATGAAAATTATATCAATAAATGCCAACAAATGTACCCATTAACTCCTCATTTCAGGAAATCAGTATTGTCTATCAATGGGTTGATTCAAGCGGTATTGGTATGATATGATACGAAACGATACGATATGATATAATTCTATAAAGAAATTAGTTTGGTGTGAAAGTAGGGCTACCCTACTATCACACCAAACTAGTTTTCACTACGTTCTCGAAAACTGTGTACGAACGAACTGGACGTACTTAGCACCGTTTGGGGTCTATTTACAAACTTCATGAAAGTATTCGAACGGGTAGGTCCATCAAAATTTAGAGCGTGCTCAAATCTTTCTGGTGATCGCCACGTTCTGCAATCGTACTTCAATCTTACTAGGGACGTATTGAGAACGAGGAAGAACTAATTGAAAAACGGGGTTAAACTGATTAAGGACGTATTAAAGACTGCTTATGAACGACTTAGCAAAAATCTAGCTATCACATAAAGCTTGTTGCCACTGCGTTCTTCAAAACGTTGGTGAACTGGTTTTAAACTGTATGCGAACGGCGTGAACGTAGCTGCAATTTTCTAGGAGAAAAAATTAAGTTTAGTTACCCCCCTATCACACCAAACTAGTTCTTACCCGTTCTTGCCAGTCCTACGAAAACATCGTAAAACGGGTTCAATCTGGCTGTGGTCGGGAAATATGTCTGAAATAATTAGCTTCTTCGTTCTTAAACAGTCTTCAATACGTCCATCGCGTTCGCAGTACGTTCAGGTCGCACCACGTCGGTGTGCAACGTCGTAGAACGCGTCCCTTAGTCTAGAAGGTCAACATGACCTGATAACAGAACGGTATGGTCGCTATCGAATTTTGAAACATTTCAAAATTCTAAAATCACCTTCTGAGAACGTTCATAAAGTTCGTAAATAGACCTTAGAAAGTTGCAGCTACGTTCATTCCGTTCGCACACAGTTTAAAACCAGTTTTGAAGAACGCAGTGGCAACTTGTTTGGTGTGATAGCTATGTTTTTGCTAACTCGTTCATAAGCAGTGTTAAATACGTTCTTAATCAGTTTAAACCCGTTTGCAATTAGTTCTACCTCGTTCTCAACACGTCCTCAGACAGTTCAACTCGTTGTTAAAACGTCCCTAGTAGGATTGAAGTACGACGGTTCCGTTCGTAGTACGTCCAGCTCGTCGTTAGTACGTTGTCACTCGTTCTAATTGTAGAACGTAACGACCACGAGAACATTTTGAGCATTGTCTAAGTTCTAGAGGACCTACCCGTTCGAGTACGTTCGATGAAGTTTGTAAAGAGATCCCAAACGGTTCTTAGTAGGTCCAGTCCGTTCATACACAGTTGAAGCCCGTTTTCGAGAACGTAGTGACAACTAGTTTGGTGTGATAGTAGGGTTAGAAAGGCGTGAGAGAAAAGATCAATCCATCGATAGAAAATCTTCAATTATCAATATCCATAAATTCTTTGTTGATGAATGTTCACGTGGGAAAAGAAGGATAGCAATGGAGTAGACTGCAGAAAGAACTGCAGCAGCCCTAAATGTGTCCTGAGAACTATAAACGAGGCAATGGTAAAAGTGTTGTTTGAATAAACCATGAGGTGATTACCCCCCTATCACACCAAACTAGTTCTTACCCGTTCTTGCCAATCCTACGAAAACGTCGTAAAACGGGCTCAATCTGGCTGTGGTCGGGAAATATGTCTAAAATAATTAACTACTTCGTTCATAAACAGTCTTCAATACGTCCATCTCATTCGCAGTTTGTTCAGGTCACGCCACGTCGGTGTGCAACGTCGTAGAACGCGTCCCTTGGTCTAGAAGGTCATCATGATCTGATTACAGAACGGTATGGCCGCCATCGAATGTTGAATCGATTCAAAATTCCAAATCACATTCCCCGTCCAGGAAGGTCCACGAAGTTCGTAAACAGACCGTTAAACGTTGTAGCTACGTTCATTCCGTTCGCACACAGTTTAAACCCAGTTTTGAAGAACGCAGTGGCAACTTGCTTGGTGTGATAGCTATATCTTTGCTAACTCGTTGATAAATACGTTCTTAATGAGCTTTAACCCGTTTGCAATTAGTTCTACCTCGTTCTCAATACGTCCTCAGACAGTTCAACTCGTTGTAGGATTGAAGTACGACGGTTCCGTTCATAGTACGTCCAGCTCGTCGTTAGTAGATTGTTACTCGTTCTTATTGTAGAACGTGACGACCAAGAGAACATTTTGAGCATGTTCTAAGTTCTAGAGGACCTACCCGTTCGAGTACGTTCGATGAAGTTTGTAAATAGACCGCAAACGGTTTTAAGTTCGTCCATTCCGTTCGTACACAGTTGAAGTCCGTTTTCGAGAACGTAGTGAGAACTAGTTTGGTGTGATAGTAGGTTAACCCTTATTTCATTCCACATATTATACGATTAACATGAGCTCTGTATAGGTAGACAATCATATTGAGGCAATGTAGCAAAGTAGTGATAGTGATTAAGACTTTCTAGTTGAATACTTAGAAAAAGCTTTAGTTGAAATGGTCCCTTGTTGTGCATACCCTCCATACATATGAAGTGCAACTGCAATAAACATACTTACTCCCCGATTTGCATATTTTTCATTTTGTTTTCACCATGTTAAATTCTCATTGGAATTTTGTTTTCAAGCTTTAAAAATTATTTATAAATCAACAGAAGAAAAAATTATTGAACCGCAAGTTCATTTGGGACAGAGGCGTTCAGTTTGCAACATATTACTGTTTCATGGATAAATTTTTTTATTGCAAATTATAGCAAAAATGCTCATTCCTAGTGTATTGTCATAGACTTAAGATAATGTAAATGTACTCATATGTCAAAAGAAGTATGCACATGTAAAAGTTGAATGAGGGTTTATTATCTTAAATCCAAGTTATGTAATGAGAATGACTCTTGTTTTAAAGTATCATAGTAAATATTCAATTAAACAATTGCTTTAAGAAAAGGACCATTGTTTCTTAATTCCCCTGCAAAGTTTTATACAGTAACACAGACTTAAAACGTAGCTTTCACAGTATATATTATATATTCATAAAATATTTTATTGTCAATTATTGCTTTAGGCTAAAATAAACATAATATCTCTATACAGTATACAGGTATATCTAATTCTAGGAATAAACAATATGTACATTTCATTTAATCAATGTAACGATAAAATGACTTATAAAATGGAAGACAAAATAATGTGAACAATTCTTTGCATCTATAAAAAATGATATGTTCAGTTTAGTAATAATTGCCTTTTTCATGAAGGTATTCAACTATACAAGATACTAATTCGCATAAATAATTGGAGTCTCCTAGCCTTCGTTCAGTGCAATCCGTGCCTCCTGTACGCAACGAACGAAATGAATTGTGAGACACAACATTCAAATTTTAACACAACATTCAAATGTCACATACACGTGTGCTAGCTATTGAAACACACATGTACACTCACCATACCTAAATTGCATATCTAACATTTTTGTTCAACGTTTCATATTTTGTTCTCAGTATGAACACATGGTTTCAATGAACTATTTTGATTTAAAACATGATTAAGGTGGATAGAAATCTTAGTACCACTACCTTAACATTTCACTCACTTATATTTGGAAACAATTAAAGATTTTGAAATACTCATATTTACATCTTCAGTTTTGATGTTTTTGAGAACATGAAATTCTCAACACAAGCATATTATATATGTCACTATTTCCAATGGTTAGCGGGACAAGACAAGACATTCAAGCCAACAGAATCATACAAATTATATTATACAAACAGTACAAAACTCTTCAAAAACACTTTGTAAAAAGTCAAAAAGTTAGAAATATCGAACTTATCATTCATACCATGTGAAAGATTTCAGTAATAAAGTGACTTTAATTGAACATTTTTGTAAGAATTTAAAAAAATTTAGTCTTCATTTTGAATCAAAATTTATAATAAAAAGATACATGTATATACAAGTATATAGTGTAGAATAATCCATACAATTCATGCATATAGAATATCATTTGTACAAATATGAGTGTTATTAAGTATGTACACTGTTTATAATCTTTGTATCTTTTCCTGTCTACTAGCAAGTGCTTTTCTCACATATAATGTATACATTCACAATCTATACTTTACAAATAAATATCAAACTGTACACTACGCATTCTCATCAGTGTTACATCACGGATGATTGCACAAAGAATGAAGACATATCTAAATAACTTTAACCAAATAAGGACTACACATTGACAAATATAAATTCAATTCACCAGTGTAGCCAAGTATTGGTTCCTTAAAATTCAAATCACCAGTGTAGCCAAGTATTGGTTTCTTAATATATTGTGAATTTAAGACTTGTGAAATTAATTGTCTCCCATGATTTTGTCATCAAATAACAGTAACATCTCAGAATCTAGTTCTAGTCTATCTAAAAGTTGCTATCTATATAGTGTTTTCACATGACATCCAAGTCAAGATTGTTGAAGTCCACTTTGTGTCCTTTGTGACCACATTCAAAATGTAAATAGACCCATCATATACAGTGGTAGCTACTTATTTACAGCTTCATATTAGAAGGCCGCATTTTACTGTTAAACCCGCCTTTAGAGTAAAATTAAGTATGATAATGAGTTTATGATAAGTATGTATACAAAAGATTTCTAGATGAAGACTTGATGGACTGTATGTATATGATGACGACTGTACATGATGTAATTCTTCATGTGTAGCAATACCAAACTCACTGTTCCTTCTTTCCTGTAAGTTAAGCATCCCTGCACCTGGAGAATGGCACAAGCTTCCAAAGAACACTGTGTTGTATAGTTTAATGTATTGCATTGTTTAGAAATGATCCACTAAGACAGATACACTGTTTTTGCCAACTTTACCAGGTGAGGAACCTTTCATGCCAGCCAGCTGCATATTCTGCCATTTACCTGGGTGACCTGAAATATATATTGATTACATCAACCACTAGTTATGTGTTAAGAAAATATGAATAACACTGTATTGACTTTTTTACCCTACATGTATTTAACTTAAAAATATTAAAGCTAACAACAGCCCCCCAGCCATGCAGTGTATTGTAAAGCTAATGCCTCAGTCACATTTGATTTCCGGCAATTGCACGGCGTCCATAGCTTCCCAAGATCAAAAGAAATATGCAGCATAAAATATAAAGACAAGCAGTACGCCCACCAGAGCAAATGAGACTGAGGCTTAGGGAATGTTCCTACCTGTTGGGGAGTCACTAGACTTGAGTGCAAATGTGACTGAGGCTTAGGGCATGTTCCTACCTGTTGGGGAGTCACTAGACTTGAGTGCAAATGTGACTGAGGCTTAGGGCATGTTCCTACCTGTTGGGGAGTCACTAGACTTGAGTGCAAATGTGACTGAGGCTTAGGGCATGTTCCTACCTGTTGGGGAGTCACTAGACTTGAGTGCAAATGTGACTGAGGCTTAGGGCATGTTCCTACCTGTTGGGGAGTCACTAGACTTGAGTGCAAATGTGACTGAGGCTTAGGGCATGTTCCTACCTGTTGGGGAGTCACTAGACTTAAGTGCAAATGACCAGCTATCAGGGTTAACTGCAGCACAATGTGGGAGCCGCAGCTCTACAGCTTTGTTGAATGTAAGACCATGTGGACCACACATCACAAGGGGACTGAGTAGTGTCTCACCTGAAACATGAGAAGTATTGAGGTTATACGTGAGGCAATAGTGTAACATGGGAGTCAAATGTGTAATTCGTGAGGCAGTCTAAAGAGGCAAGAGGCAATAATCTTACAGCAGCGACTTTTAAGTATGTTGCAGTTTGGAGTGGCAATTATCATGTCTATCTTGAAAAAATATAATTTTGGAGAGAGATTGATGAATTCAACTGTTCATGGGAAAATGAAACAGTTGATAAATAATGTTATATCATAACTTCAATACAAGCACTCTTAAAATACTTTAAAATGCACTCAAACAAGCAACTTTGACCTTAGAACTTACCCTTTTCTTTATCTAAAGGAGGGAGAATGCTGTTATCTTGGCAAACCTTGAAGTAAATCTCCTGTGTGGTGCCGTCAGGGATTGCCCCACTGGGAATCATAATGCTTACACCTTAATAAATAAACACATTCTAAACATTACTGCATTGGTTTATGTAGTTATAACCAACCATGCACATGCACTTTTCAGGGTGGTGACAAGAATGGCCACATTGGAGGTACATGGATACATAATAGTTTGAAGGATATAAAATAGTACTAATTTATAAACTAAAAAGTTGTTTTAAATAGCCTGACAAGTAGTTTTGCTTAATTAAACAGTACTTGATACACAGAAATACACTTTTGATGAAACTTGTAGATAAAACTAAACAAAGCTGATTATTTTCCACCGTTTTCAATTCCTTTCTTGGGCCACATGGTCTATGATCAGCATACATTTTCCAGGCCCATTTACTTCAGTGCACCATACAGCCACATGTATTTATTACAAAAATGATGAAACAATCATATAGATCTGATGAAACAATCATATAAAATCTTGTGCATACCTGTTTCCTTGGACTCTAGGACACCCCCTGTGTGGTCAAACACACCCTTTGCTGTGGCTACAACAGTGTGACTATCTTCAGATGTAGCAGAGCCTTGTCTACAAATACACAGCAAGCCATTACAAAACATGATTACAAAATCTCCATGTTTATGGTCAAAATGGCTAATGAGACACAAAAAGGTGGAAATAAATTGAGTATGCCTATTGAAAAAACATGTATAAATTACATGCATGAAAAAACATGTAAAATAACATACCTTTCATGAGCACCTTTGGTTGGACTATACTGGAACACAGCACCATGTTCCCCTCCAGGAGGTTTCTTGTATGACTCAAATGCACTTTGTCTCTGGGGCCCTTGGGGGTAGTTCTTATCCCTAGAGCCCTGGCGATCAGACCCATTTCTCTGTGCCTGAGGCTCTGGATAGTTGCTGTCTGGTCTGTAGCCGTTGTTGTTATTACTGTAATGAAGAATATACTCTATGTTCAGGAATTAAATTTTCATAAAGCATTTTGATAAATTTTGTCCACTTATATTGGTGCTGTAATCATTCCTTGCCAAATCAGACATATATAAGTTCATTTAACCTCTTGAATACCAGGCTCTAAAATCAGTTGGAACCACCTTTTGACATTTTCCTACTTACCTATACAACTATAGAACCTCAACCTTGTAAAATTAGATGGCAGAGATCATTTCTACACATTTTAAAACAATTTTTGTGTAAATTGGATGAAAATTGTTCAAATAAGAGCAATTTTTGTGAAAAACTTTGGTAGTCAAGAGGTTTATAGGTTAACAAATTAATATCTTTACATTACTCTACAATTTGCTGCGATATACCAGGTATACATCGTTTACATATATTCATAATATATACAAAGACTGAGGACAGTTAGCCACAACCATGTTAATGCATATATCTGTAATAAACTTTTTTTAGTGGGCTGGGCTTAATACCCAAAGCTAGTAATGATGCCCTCCAAAACAAAATGTTAAAATCAATAGGAGTAGTGTACATGAAAAGAGAATGCAAAATTACAACAAAGCAATAACATGCACAATATTGCCACCTGCCATTTGTAACAGATGCAGAACGCCAAGCGCTGAATGGCAAACACCGAAATTATGCCAATCACCATCCATAGAAAAGTTGGAGACTATAAAAATGTCACCACCTGCCATTTGCTAAAGACGCCAAGCGCCAAACAATGTCCACAAAAAGTTGGAAACTATATAATAATAACAATACAGTATGTCAGCACTTATAACAACTGAAGTATACAATAGTATGATATCTCAAACTTCAGATAAATACATCCATCAAACTATGTAGATACTTATACTGCTTTCTTATATAAAGGTTAGTGAATATGACTTAACAACACTGTTCCATATAACGAAGAGCTCCGCCCACTTCCTGGGGGTCTTCGTAAAAATATTAGGCATCTCCTAAACCACATATTTGGCTATGAAGCGAAATGATAACGAATGAAAAATAAACTGATGATCTGTTTAAAAAGTTGTTATTATGTGTATAATAAAGAAACTTAAGTGCAGTAAGCATTTGTATCATGCAACAAAAACTGTCTCCTTGTTAATATACTTTAAAGTTTAAGCCAATAAAATAAGTGTTATGTACCATAGCAACTGGTGTATAAAAACATAGCAACAACCTATTACCATAGCAACGGATTAACAAATAAACAATAGTGACTTATATCTACAACAATTCTACCTCTCTGAGATGTTCTTTTTAGAAAAGCCATAAAATCCTGGAGTTACTAATTTTTTGTAAGCTTCAAAACCTGCAGGTCTCTTGATCTCTTTCTTGTCATTTAATGAAGAGCTAAAATTTGTAATTGAACACAATGATTCTAATTTGATGACATCACAAAATGTATTTGATTTTTCAAAGTGCAATGAGTGACCTAATCGATAATGATCATTGATGAAGGAAACATTTAGTCAGAAAATGATTCAATATTTACTTAAAATCTTCGAGCTTTGTTTCGATAAAAAATTGATAAACATGCTGCGTACATCCACTTTAACATGCATGCTATAATGGTTCGCATATATATCGATTCAAAAGTATAAGTGAAAGCCATATAATTATTAATTAGTCTTACGTTGATCTGTTTTGCGGACTATCCACCCCAGAGTAGGGTTTCTGCAGAGTTAGTTCACTGTGGGTCATATAGGTGTCATTGTTGAATGCATGTGGAGATCGTGGGTACTGTGATGTGGCAGGGGGTGGGGCCCCTCTGTTGTACTGATTGGTGTATCCCGAACTGTAGTTACTGGGTGGTGGAGGTTGGTAGGGGGATCGTCTTGGAGGCGGGTGAGATTCATCTTGCCTTAAATACATATAATTAATAACATGAGTTACAATGATATTAGTTGATGAAAACATTGCACTTCATGAGTTTATGTGATTCAGTACAATTTTTCTTGCACTGGTGCTATTCATTTCCTGCTATGCTAATATAATGTATGTATACAACTGGAAGCTTAAAGGAAATGCTTTGAAAAAAAGAAGCGATAAAATGCAGAATATTGTAGAATTTCACATTTTGGCTTGCAGAATTTTGATTTTTTTCTTGCAGAATTTTAATTTTTTTTCTTGCAGAATTCTAGTAGCCCTGGTTTACATTGTGTATCATATAATAGTTGTAATTACTGTTCATGTGAAAATCTATTGTGAAGTAATGTTTCCAGTGGATTATAATTATGTCTCTACCTTAATCTATGATTTTGTTCAGCTTCTCTCCCAGAGTAGTAGCCAGAGCTGCCATTGTAGTCCAGTGAGTTCTGACCAGAACTAGGGTAACTTGAGCTCTCTGGCCTAGGCTTAGGGGTGAAATCTAACTTCTTGGGGGAACCAGCCATAGGAGCTGTAGGGGAAGGGACTGGTTTAACTGGACTCCGAGGGGTGCCCTCATCTCTACTGTAATACAAAGTCCACAATATTTAGGCTTCAATTTGAGGGTGTTTAGATTCATTTTTATCTAATCTTATTTTACTTCTTCACCAAAATATGGGGTGATAATAAAATAAAAATGACATTTTGACATTACATTTTGTCGATGAAGTAATGAGGATGTTAGAGTAATCATGAATAAGAAGTCAAATCTTTAAAGGTATAAATACAAAATTCAGCCATTACTTACTTGTATTTTGAACTGAGCTGTGTTAGTTTGCTTTTATCTATAGTTGCTGTTTTAGCCCCCATGGAGGTACTACGCGTGAATTTGTATGGGTCTACAGATGTGCTGCCTCCCCCACGTAGAACAGGGTACTTATCACGCAGTTTAGAGTCATCATGTTTATTGGCAGGGTTTGACGTGTACTTGGAGTAAGAGTCATTGCTATAGGAGGAGTCATCATTGAATGTCTGGCTCTGTAATACAAAAAGATATATAATAAAGATAAAGACCTTTTATATCATGTGGAAAACACATTGTAGCACTTAAATATTCACGAAGGTAACAATAGACTTTTATAAATAAATACTTCACATTGGAATATTCTCCTGAAATCCAACATATGTTCAATCTCATAAAATAATGCAGGCAATAAGGTGACAAGTGAATGTACTAAATTGAACAAAGGTCCCACTCCTGCCATTATCTATCAAAACTGTGACTAAGAACATACCTTATCTTTCTCAACTTGTTCCCACTCAGGTTTTGTATCCTGTTGTGCCCGGTATGCTATTATAGTTGTATCCTTGGGGGGAGGAAATGGGGATTGGGTAATGTGGGGAGGAATTGAAGCTAAAGGACTATGAGGCTTGAGGCGCTCAGTGGCAGATTTGCGTGATTCAGTCTCACTGTATGACCTATCATCAAACTTCAGTTTGTTGCCTGAAAGAAAACATGTATATGATATTAAAAAATGTTGTTTTTTAGTTTTTAAATGTTTTAATTCAAAACAGTTCACTAATCCCAGTTTTCCATGTACCACAGAATTGACAGATTTTCTGAATGCATGAAACCCTTCAGATTTGAAACTACAGTCTTCACTTATTCCAAATTCATCATTTATAAATCTCCAGAGAAAATGGGAGGAGTTATGTGAAATAGTGTGTTATGATTGGCTGGAACTGAACACACCTTGCCTAGTTATGTGTGAAAGATGTTAATTTAAGACCTCATATTTTATGATGTGGTATAGCATAAAAACATGATTCTAATATGATACGTGATGTCACAATAGCTAAAACAATGGATTTACTGGTTGGAGTATGTATGACTGATAAAATTCATGAATGTAAATAGGCGTGTTTCTTGTCTGTTTATCATATTAGAATCATAACAAAGACCTCTATTTTATGATTTATGTCAAATATATGACCTCAAATTTTATTCTGGCCATTGCCAAGGACCTCAATGGCTACACGATTTCGGTCTTTCAACAATGAACAGAATAAAATTTTCGGTCATATATTATGCCATAAATCATAAAATCTCTGCCTTTACTCCTTAAGTATAACCCATTACTAATACAAAGCCAGATAAGGTCGGTTTGCGTCAAAATGTTTTACATTAACATACGTCCTACTATGAATGAAATCATACCTCTCCGTTCACTGGGGGTAAGTGTGGCATAAGGGTCAATATGTGCCCGCTGTGATACTCTGTTACGTGGAAGACTGTTGCCATAGTGACTAGGGTATGCATATCCATTCTGTTGTTGAGTTGGAGGAGGGTAACCATAGGGATCTGTAATACAAGTATAACATCACATTAAGCAACACCCAAAGAAAACATTTCAGTGAGAGTTGTGGAAAACTAACATACAGGACAAAACATCATATTACATGCTGTCCTTCACTTTACCCTTAATATAAGCCTTTCTGACTGAAATGACATTAAACTACATTTTCAAAAAGACTCCTTTTCCTAAAGAAAATAATTTCACTCCAAGAGGAATAAACAAAATCTTGACTTACCATCCATTTGCTGCCTGGGTGACCGAGGCTGACTGTCTTGGCTATAGGGGGGCTGGTTGGGGGATGGGAATCCATCCTATAAGAGACATAAACATTAGTATTATGTTATGGGAACGGTATGGTATCTATCCAAGGGAAATGTATAATTACCTATATATGGGATTTCTATCGTAAAATATCATATCTCAGTATCTTATAATACTCTGATTTCGCTGACTAAGAATGTCAGTTATGGAAGTGAAAGGACGATTCTCGGTTTGGAGAACGAAGTTCATCAATCTAAATGAGCATTATCCCTGCTTCGGACAAATTTGATTTTTTTACATAATATAGATTTGAATGTCTTCTTTTGAATAGTCATAATTTAATTTGGGTAATATTTCTAGATTTTTCGCAAAAAAATATTAGCTCAGTACACTGATGGACTTCTTTCCCCGAATCGAGACTTGTATTTATATTGATTCGGTCTATTTGAGCATTATCCCTGCTTCAGACCAATTTGTTATCTTTACATCTTGTAGATTTAAATGTCCTCTTTTGAATATTCATAGTTTAATTTGGGTAATATTTCTATATTTTTCATGAAAAAAATTATTAGCCCAGGAGACTGTTCTCCAAACCGAGAATCGTCCTTTCATAACTTTCTCATGTCAGCAGAAACCAGAGTATAAGATATTAGAAGATTAATGTTGTGTAAATCTATTATTATAAAAACTGATTACAATATATCCCCAAAAGGAGCTATAAAAGTATGCTCACATTTTTGTTATAATTAGGTGGGGCCACATAGGGAGGTATCCCTGGTATCCCATCAACCACTGCAAGGCTAGGGTCTGAGGAAGCTCTAGCCAAACGACCTTGACCTTGGCTCTGGGTTGGTTGATAGTAGGGATCATCATGGCGCCCATTCATGTCAAATTCTGTATCTGGGCCTGATGAGGCAAAGCTCAGTCTAGAGCTCATTGGGAAGAGGTAGTCATCCTGTATACTGTCTGCTGGCTGGAATTAATGTACATATTATATGTAGTGTGGTGGATAGTGGGATCATCATGGCGCCCATTCATGTCAAACTCTGTATCTGGGCCTGATGATGCAAAGCTCAATCTAGAGCTCATTGGGAAGAGGTAGTCATCCTGTATACTGTCTGCTGGCTGGAATTAATGTACATATTATATGTAGTGTGGCGGATAGTGGGATCATCATGGCACCCATTCATGTCAAACTCTGTATCTGGGCCTGATGATGCAAAGCTCAATCTAGAGCTCATTGGGAAGAGGTAGTCATCCTGTATACTGTCTGCTGGCTGGAATTAATGTACATATTATATGTAGTGTGGCGGATAGTGGGATCATCATGGCGCCCATTCATGTCAAACTCTGTATCTGGGCCTGATGATGCAAAGCTCAATCTAGAGCTCATTGGGAAGAGGTAGTCATCCTGTATACTGTCTGCTGGCTGGAATTAATGTACATATTATATGTAGTGTGGCGGATAGTGGGATCATCATGGCGCCCATTCATGTCAAACTCTGTATCTGGGCCTGATGATGCAAAGCTCAATCTAGAGCTCATTGGGAAGAGGTAGTCATCCTGTATACTGTCTGCTGGCTGGAATTGATAGACATATTATATGTAGTATGATTTATGAGGTACTTTTTGATTGCTTTAAACAAATACGGAGATTTTGAATACTGTCTACATGTACTTAAAGGAATATTCCTTGCCAGACCCTTTCTCTCTTGATATGGTAGCTATAATCATATATATAGTTTCCATATTTAGCAAAACAGGGGAAAATGTTTTAATATGGTCAATATTGATCATTTAAAAATCTAGTGCTTATTTCCAGTGAGCTGCCATCTTTTAAGATTTCTTGCAGGAAGTGATGTCATCAACTCTCAACTTCTATTACCTTGCCCATAACAGTATAGGAAAGTAGCACAAAATCACTTCTTTTAAAAGATGGCAGCTTACTGGAATTGAGCATCACATTTCTAAGTGATCAAATTTGACCATATCAAAACATTTTTGCGTGTTTTGCTAAACATGGTAAGCATATATATGGTTATAGCTACCATATTAGGAGAGAGATGGTTTGGCAAGGAATATTCCTTTAATCAATTCAATAAAAAAAATAGGTTCCAGTTTCGGGCATCAATTTTTGGGTAAGTGCTGGCTCATTTTCCAAAGCAAGGCATTTAACATCACAAATTATCGCCACCAAGATAGATTAAAATTTAGTACATATGCAGGTTAACAGTCACAAAAATGGTCGCTTTAACAATATGTTCCCACTTCTCGAGGATGAGCTAAATAATGACATAGGACCATATCATGAGTTTAACACCATAAAAAACTGATCTTTGTTTACTAAATGATTCTCTGGTACATAAAGAATCTGCTAAGGTACCTTTGCATCTGCCACCCATACTGGTTGTTTCTGTAGTTTCTCCACTGTCTCCTTCAGCTTCCTGTACCACCCATCCCCAGAGGTCAAAGTGATGATAGCTGAAACATAATACCAACATTATAAAACATGCTTTTGAAGTTTGAGATTGAAACAAATTATTTTGGAGAACATTAAGATTTGACAGGGTTGAGGAGTTTACATTTTTATACATACATGTACATTTTTTATTCAATAGTTGCACATTGTATATAGTGAGCACTGATGCCCAGAAAACATCAAAGTATTCAACTGAGAGATTCATCAACTCTGCCAATATATGCATGCAAAAATTGCTACTGCAATATCATAATACATAGCAACTAACCCGAAAATAGATGCGAATACATCTTCTCAAGTTTTTGAGATTGTTCGAAAAGTTTACGTGGATTCTTTGTAGATTCTTTAGCCCACTTGGATCTTAACTCCTTCACATGATGCTTGTGTTCGCAGTGAAGGTTGATAACTATAGGGTAGTACTGGCCATAGTTCAATCTCTCAACAGCATTAGGGGTAATGTCTAGCACACAGTGTTTCTTCTGTAATACATAAACAATCAGATAGTTAAGGTAAGACATGTGCAAAGAATAAACAGGGGTTTATTATATGACCATAAGAGTCCTGATATGAGTCTAAAATTCATTTACTATGACACAATATTATGGTTTGAACAATAATTATTAATTTTATGATGACAACAATGAATAATTAATTTTATGATGACAACAATGAATAATTAGTTTTATGATGACAACAATGAATAATTAGTTTTATGATGACAACATTGAATGATTAGTTTTATATTCTCTTTTACCCTTACCTTATCCATGATCTGGTTTATGGAGGCTAGTTTTATAATCCCCGACTTTGACTTGCCATCTGTACCATAGCTACCATCAGCCTCTGCAATGTAAAGGAGAAACAATTCATTATATTTTAGAATTTTTTATATTTTCTGTACCTATCATAGGAAATACATTTATAATGCGGCATACATAAGAGTGATCTCATTTCAACTAATTTTTTATATTTTCTGTACCTATCATAGGAAATGCATTTATAATGCGCCATACATAATGAGTGATCTCATTTTAACTAATTAGATCATATTCTCAAACTATGCATAGGGCCTTTAACTGGCATACCTCAATCTCACATTAATAATCCTTGGAAAGTTCTAATATGGTAGATGATATCTGGTTTTATAATGCATACTAGAGACTGTGAAAATTAAAGCATCACAATACAAACTATGTTAACATAATTATCTGCTACACAAGTTCTCCCTGGTTGAGCATGTCTTGGGTTGTATTTTACAGATAAAGTATCTCACTAAATACTATAATACTGTGTACCCGAAAATACAATAATTTAATGTTATGGAAGACCTTCAACTCTAGATCGTAGTTATGTGCGAGTATATGTGCAATAGATATCATTTGTAATTATAAACTTTTTTTTTTTTTTTTTTTTTTTTTGATAAAATTTATTTCAGTTTAACATAATTATTTACAGGTATGGTACAAAGATGAGGTTTCAAATTCATAAAGAGTATTTAAGTTACTCACACATTTTTCAATATACCATTTGTGAATAGATAACTTTGCTATCAGTATATTTTTGTAATTCTTTACTCTACCTATTCCGTATATTTGATTGGCAGTTATATTTGGGAAATGTTTAGTCCAAAATTCAGCAACTGCTTTGCATTTAACAAAATGATGCTCTAAATTATCTATTTCATCACAGCTTGTACATTTGCTTGAATTTAAAATACCATATCTATGCAGTAAAAGATTACATGGATATATTGAATGTAAAATCTTCCAGTGTAGTATAATAAGGTCTGTTGCTGTTGTACAATTTTTTGCATTAAGCCAGGTTTTTCTTGTTAAAACTTCATTTTTGAATACAATTTCACAAACCCGTTTTTCTATTAAAATTTTCCTAAAATCTTGAACATTTAAGTACTGCACATCTGTATCATTGAAGTATAAAGTATCTTCTGGAGCTACAATTTGATATTCTAATATCATCTCCCTTTTGAGTGCTTGTTTCAAAGTTTGATATTGCATCCATGTTTCAGCATTTCTGCCTACTGAGGAAACAATTTCATCATAAGAAATAATCTGGCCATTTTTGCAAACATCACATATAAAATTTATTCCACACTTTATCCAGCTTTGAAAATACAATTCTTTACCTGTAGCTTTGATATTTTCATTATGCCATAAAATAGAGCTGTCTTTGAACTTATTGTTTGATTTCCATAGATATAATAGTTCGCTATAAAATCCTAACAATTTATCAGTATTCACAATATTTTTAAAATCATTATTACATTGAAATATGGTTAAATCTTTACATAGGGTACCATACAAATACAGAGGTATTTTCCTCCAGCTGCCATTTCCATTTTCTTGTAGCTGTTTGACCCATTTAAATGCTAGAGCATTTTGCATATCAAATATATTAATCATTTTTTAATCCTCCATTTTTAAAATCTTGTACAATTATTTCCCGTTTAACTCTTTCGGGAACATATTTTAAATCATCTTCCTTGAATTTTCCCTTCGCCCATATAAACTTAAATAACATTCTGTTAATCCTTCTAAGAAGATGTTCAGGCAATATAAAACTTTGCAGTAAATATAAAAATTGTGAGGAAAGAAAAGACTTTGCTAATGTTATCTTGCCTAATAATGTGAGACGTCTCTGAGACCAAGATTTCATTATATTAACACATTTTTGTATTTTTGGCTCAAAATTGTCCTGTACAAGATCTGTTACACTGGTAGTTGTACAAAATGTAATACCCAAAATTTTAATTTTATTATTTGGACTTAGCTTCCAATTAATATTACCTAAGGTATCTTGTCTATATTTCCATGTTCCGAGCCACATGGCTTCAGTTTTGTTTTTATTAATTTTCAGACCTGATATTATTGAAAATTTGTCGATCAATAACATGGCATTGGCAAATGAAGCTTCATTTTTCAAAAAAAGGGTTGAGTCATCTGCATATTGCAACAACTTGAGCCCCATTTCACAACCAGGTATTTCAACACCCTGTATATTGCTATCTTGTCTTAGTTTACATGAAAACAACTCTGTAGCTAAAATGTAGCAGATCGGACTGAGTGGACAGCCCTGCCGTAGCCCTCGATCTAAATGAATGGGGGATGTGCCATTTATCCACCCATTATAATTAATGAAATTCATACAGTTTGCATTTAAGACTTTCACCCAATTTATAAAGCTATCTCCAAATCCATACATCTTTAAGGAGTCAAGCATAAATTCTTTAGAGATTGTATCATACGCTTTAACATTATCTATTGCTAATAAAATACCCTGTTTCTGCTCTTTATCAATAAAATTAATTACATCATCAATGGCTCTTAAAATCATACCTGCTGATCTATTTTTAATATAACCACATTGATCTTCATGTACCAAGTCTGATATAACAAGCTTTAGTCTTATCACCATAACTTTAGCTGCTAATTTATAGTCCACATTACTTAAAGTTAAGGGACGCCAATTTTTTAGCTTATCTTTCGGAAGATTCTTTTTGGGTAAAAGAGCCATTATACCAACTCTCTGTGAACATGACATAGAACCAGTTTCAGAGGCAGCATTGAGGGAATTCAGAACCAAAGTATTGAGTTTGCACCAAAACATTTTGTAAAAACCTGCAGTGAGACCATCAGAGCCTGGACTAGACTCGTTAGACATTGTTTTAAGTGCTTGTTTACATTCAAAATCAGTAATTTCACCTTCACACTTTTGAGCCTTTTCATTTGTTAAAGATGGTACATTAACATCATGCATAAAATCATCTAAATCTGCTTTACGATAATTATAAACTTATATCTCATGCTTCCTAGAAAAAATGTCGGGGATGTTACACACTAGAGTATGTGATAAATGAAATGAAACAAAACCAACAATAAAACACATTTATCAAATATAACAAAAAAATGATGCATCTGTGCATTTGCGTATCTTAATAATAACATAACTAATAATCTATCTATATATCAAATATGTATTATGTTATCATTTTAGTTGCATGAGAAATTCCCAGAAAGTATACCACCATTAGAATACTGAATAAACTGCGTAATTAAAGAGAGAATCAGATATAGCGAGCAGGCTGAACAAAAAATTGTTTCAATTTTAGAATATTTTTGGCTCGTGTCATTCCTTGTCTATTTTCTAAAAATCACAAAAGTGCATACTTTATTCCAGGAAAACTAAAGATTTTTACAATAATGTATTATTTTTCTATAAGAATGGTTACCATTCTTATTATTTGGGAGAATCTAAACATTTTTCACACATTTTTGCACTTTGAATCATTAATAACTTCACCAATTTATAACATATTGTGAATCTTTTGGGTGATATTGAATTTGATATTGTAAGGAATAGATTGGTAGGTCAATTATACATGTTGCTTGTGATTTTGTCAGCCCCTATAGATTAGATTCTGCCTTCAATCAAACACTAGGCAAAAGACAAATAAAGCTGTGGACTTGTAGATACATTACATGTACATCATAATATATTAGAATCAAGGCAAATAATTACAGTGAGACTAGCTTTATTGAATCAAACATTACCATAGTATAGTGCTTTATTTTCCTAATAGATTCTTCAACTGAAATGTAATGGTGAAAATGCCAAGCGGGTCAGATAAGCAAATGTGCTATTTAAAAGAACAGGACAATTAAGACAAGAACCTGTCCATAAAGCATTAACCAAACTCACAAAAGCATCACAGGGGTATAGTATCTTACCCTGTTCTTTAGGCTTGTGTAAAGTAGCTAAAATATCAAGACAGTCAAAAGAATCACCTCAAAAAATCAAAGAGAATTTATTTAATTTATCAAATACCTTAATTAAATTTAATTGATAGATAAAAATCAGTGAAGTCACACAAATGCAGAAAATATTCTTATCTACAAAGAAATAGTAGTGCGCTCTAATTTTCAGATTGAAGAAAACATACTATTCTACTTTGGATGTAACTTAGGAAAGTGACTTACGTGGTGATTCATAGAGTTGGGGAATCTCACGCACCAATTTGTCTCTCACTACATCTGCTAATACTCCGAATACAACAACTGGACGTACAATGTTCGCTAAAACAAGAAAAAGGTTAATTAATGGATCCAATAAGTTCCAGGGGCAGATCTGGGAACCAACAAGGGGGGGGGGGCAAATTTCAGGTCAGAGAGAAAACTTGAGGCCCATTTTCTTCAAAATTTGGCCTGAAAAATATGGCCTTAAAAGGCCCATTAATGACCAAAAAGGCCCAAAATTTTTTTGGGCACAGTTTTTTTTTCTGGGCCCACTCAAGGGGGGGAGGGGCGGGCCCCATGGGACCCCCCCCCCCCTGGATCTGCCACTGAGTTCTAAGAGCTTTTGTTTGACTTCAATTATTTTTTGATGATTTGGCTTTGAATAATATTTTCTACTTACGGTTTTTGTGGTGTACCCTTTCATAAGCTGGAACCTTGCTTGGAGATGAGGCTGAAATGGAATGAAATGAAAATATATTTTATTCTATATTTAAGCAACATGTGTGACATATAGCACAAGCATAATACTTCAAAAAGGTCAATAAATTCAACATTCAATATTTGAGTATTGGGTATTTGTATCCAGAATTATCAAATATCAGATGCATGACATGTCGAGAACTTTCAAATATAGAGGAAGTAAGTCTGTAACACCTGGATTTTTCAGTTTTCAAATTATTTGCGGGCTGAAGACTCAAAAGCTTTATTTAAAACCTAAATATACATGTATATATTGTAACTATAATTGATAAAAGCCCATAGCCAATTCTTACACCTTAGAAAGCCTTTTGCTAAACATAAAACATATGTTGGCAAAGAATATGTTGCAATATCCTCTGAAATGATAGTGGGTGGAAAGTAAAAGAAATGAGACATTTCAAAAGGAAACATGCAAGTTCAGTACAATTTTGGGTAGTTTTGGTAGATCAAGTTCAAGACTCCATGGTGCCTCAAAAACTCAATGCATTCAACAAGAAAGGTTTGCTGAAGTGTTGTGGATTACTTTTTTTGTAAACCTCTTCCCGAGTCTGATATCGTATCTAGTATCACATCCAATATAAGTAGGTTGAAATATAACAGTTTGGTGTATCACAATTTGGCCTTGCTAAATCATGTTTATTTTACATTTCATCTATTTTACATAGCATCAATGTGCATTTAGTCAAGTTCTGACTATGGAACAATTATGACAAGTCAGTATGTTGTGACTTAACCAGACTTAAAGGAATATTCCTTGCCAAACCATCTCTCTCCTCATATGGTAGCTATAACCATATATTTGCTTGTCATGTTTAGCAAAACACGCAAAAATGTTTTGATATGGTCAAATTTGATCACTTAGAAATGTGATGCTCAATTCCAGTAAGCTGCCATCTTTTAAAATTTCACACAGGAAGTGATGTCATCGACTCTCAACTTTGCATATAGCATTAGGTGAGGAGCTATTAAGAATTACAAAACCAACTTTGTATCTTATTTAATCCTTCCGAAAATCTCTTCTTTTATTCTAAGTTGACAAGCCCTGAAAATATTTTTGCACAGAAAGTAATGATCACTTGTCTAGAAGTGATTTTGTGCTACTTTCCTATACTGTTATGGGCAAGGTTATAGAAGTTGAGAGTTGATGACATCACTTCCTGCAAGAAATCTTAAAAGATGGCAGCTCACTGGAAATAAGCACTAGATTTTTAAATGATCAATATTGACCATATTAAAACATTTTCCCATGTTTTGCTAAATATGGAAACTATATATATGATTATAGCTACCATATCAAGAGAGAAAGGGTCTGGCAAGGAATATTCCTTTAATCGAAAGAACTGCAGCCTTCCTAAATCAATGTCATCCAAACCAAGCCCCATTGACTGAATGACAAATATGGGTCTCTATTCAAGTAAATAGAAAATATGGATCTTCAAGCATGGATGCAGAACTGATACATATATCAAACTATGATGCAGGTCAGCCCTCAAAATTACAATATCAATTGATCAATCATCTATGGTCATACATGTAGACATGGGTAAATACACAATGCAACTTCATTTCACAAAATGTAACATTCAATTCTACACACACAGGTAGAATGAGAAAAGATGGGATCCCTAAGAATGCAGATCAAATATACGAGTATTCCCACTCTCCTCCATTAATGAGTGGAAACTGTGTAACCTTCATGTCATTTCTACTAAATGTACAATGTTGCATTCAATATGGTACAGAGATAGAAGAAAGCTAGAAGATCAACCACCATGCAGTATTATAGTTAACACAGTCTCTATCTATACTCACAGTACAGTCCACCTATACATATAAAATACAGTTGCAGCTATTTACTTATATGTCTTTATATTGGCTTTAAAAAAGGGGAGGGGGTGATAGTCATGCAGACAAAGTTTTGACCTACAGATTCTTTAACATGAACCGCTCTATAAACTGATTCAAACATGACAACTCACAGAAATTTGGTGTAAAATATTCAATGGGCCACAAATGAAATGATGAGTAATTTCTTCAAATAGCAATACACATATTGTATATGTACTAAATTACTAAATAGAAGTCTAGTGTCATGTTTGAACGCTTAATATTTTTAGTTTGCAAAGTAATAAAGTGTATATTGAATATGTTTCATTGTAATTCATTGTAAACAAATTGTTATTCATTGTAAACAAATTGTTATTCATTGTACACTTCAACATGTTAAATCCTAAAGGGACTATGTCAATATTTCAATGTTTCAAAAAACATAATTGAATTTCAAATTGACCTTCTTCTTTGCCTCAAATATAACAGTTATACTTTATTGATGTTCATCAAATTATAAGTTGAATCATGCTTGAATATGCTAGTACAACAAAATGGAATTTCACTTCCTCTATAAAATGTAACATCCATGAGCTTATTATTGATATACTCACCTAGTCCCTAAAAGCACACTTTTGTTTATTGAATTGGTTAAAGATAAACATTAAAATACTGTCCCTACACTAAACATACATTATGAGATATAGACATTTTGTTACTTAAAATACAATCATGCACATCTGATACATACAGATACATGTACTACCAATTCTAGACATTTAGATTAATAACCAACATTTTCAGACAAACTACGTATTTCTTTAAGATGGCATTGTGTAACATACCAAATATGACCTCCTCCCAATGATCTCTCCCAAGGGACTTTGATCTTCTTGCTTTTCGTTTGAAGAATGAAGACTTCCCTTTGCTGCTTGGCTTGTTCTCCTTCTCACCCTCTTTATTGTCAGCACTATGGATTTGTTCAGCTCTGGTAAAAGAAAACAATCATATATCTTAAAACATTTCTTCATGTTATACAAGGGGAGAGGTTCACCTACGATTGTCACAGTTTGTGTTTAGGTTTGATGCGACTAATGAATACATGATATTTTTTTGTCTTGATTTTCAGATTAAATCATTCGGATAATACTTTTGTTCTCTTATAGCTCCCATTTCAACATTCTGATCAAAATTTGAATTTTGCATCTTTCAACTTAGGTCTCATGATCAGGTTGGGCCATTCAGATCTGCTCTCATCAAATATTGCCCCTCGTGTAATGCTGAATCAATCATTGCTACAATGTAATAATAAAAGTGAATCTTACCTTGTTTGATTAGGTATTATTCCTTGCATAGTCTCTTTGTTACTGTGTCCTACACGTTTAGCCTGCCACGATCCCAGTGTACCCCCATGCAGTGTGTCCTTTACATGGAATATATCACCTTTCTTGAAGGCCATCTCCCCATGTTCAGGGTCATCATAGTTGAAATGAGACCTGGAAATATATTATTTGTCATTATAAATGGCGCATTTCATTTCTCAATTGTCTAGGTTCTGTGTCAACCTTGTAAATATCTGGTGTCCAATCTTGATCGAGTAAATTGCCTATTAATTACAAATCAAATCTATTCCAAGACATATGATTTGTCCTGAAAAACTTACAAGGGATTTAAATGGTGTTAAACAACACTTACTTTACTTTTAAAAGTACATGTACTTCACTGTATCCAAGTCCAAACCTACATTACCTTATATAAAAGGAGTCCCCTGCTTCCCCATGTCTTCTCAGTCTCTCATAGTCCTCCTTGATATGCTGTACCTGCAGGTGGACTTGCTCCTCTAGACGTAGCAGCATCATCACTGCCTCCTCTCTTGTCTTCCCCTTCACGTCAACATCATTCACCTGTAGAGTAGAGACAATTTCACAAATCAAGACAGCTAAATAAAGTAAATCCCATGCAGACAAGCTGAATGTGTTCAAATTGGCAGGTGTTCATATTTCAAGGATTTTTAACATGGAAATCTGAGGCAGATTAAAACAAGGTATTAACATGCAAAATGTAACCACCTGCCATTTATTACAGATGCCAAGCACCAACTGCAAAACATCAACCATTGAACACCGAACACCAATTGCCACCAATTGTCATAAGACACTTTAACAATATGTCACCACTTATGGGGGTGACATAATAACTAAGCTTATCAAATGAGATTTGCATCATTGTTTTACCTTGAGTATCTGGTCCCCTTCTCTGATTCCCTGTAGCTCAGCGGGACAGTTGGGTTGAACAGCAGAGACAAATATTCCCGTAGCATTGCCCCCTGAGAGCTTGATGCCTACACCACCCTCCTTGCGGAATGAGACATAGCGCTGATCAGGCCTACAACAGATCATTCTTGCATTGTTTGTATGACTTGACATACGTATGGCTTGAGATTTGTGATAAGACTTGACACAAATATGAATTGAGGATTACTTGACACGTGTATGACATGACATGACAAGTGGATGACATGACACATGAATGACTTGACCTTAGCACGACTTGATACATGTATAATTTATGACTGACTTGACACATGGATGACTTGACTTGACATTTTCTTTGACTGACACATGTACTGTTGGAGATCTGTATGAATTTGTATCCTTTTTGAATGACATAACATTTTTTGAATAATATAACATTTTTATAATGATATAACATATTTATATGATATAAAATATTTTGAATATGAGATTTTTGTATGATATACCATGTGTTTGACTCAACACAATTTACATAATGCATGTCAAAATTACATCAGAAAGTCATATTACAAGAAAGGGGTCCAATCTCTCTAAAAGGTACCTAACCTTATCACCCTTTAGTAAACCATAAAAGGAACTTAGGAAGTATCTTACTTATCAATGAATGGAGGAACAAAATGTCCATAAGACTCAAAATTGACTCTACATTTATAACTTCCTAAGTATCCCATCAGCTTACTAGGGGTGTATCTATGTAATGAATGCAGCATACACTTAAAAGATAATTGCTCATATAATTACAATCAGTAAACAACCAATGCGAACCAGAACAACGGCAACGCTAAAGCGTAGCGAATCCCATCGAACAGAAATGGCTGGCATTTTTACAAACGAATCGCAAATATCATAAAACAACACACCAGAAAGGCCACCATTTTCAAAATGGTTGCTCACTAGCCAAGTTGTCATCAGAAGAAATAATATGCTTTTTAGTAGCCACCTCTAAAATTTTAGAAAAATTGCACACGTACTTGTAAAATAACACACATAAAAATGGTGGCCATTTTTCAAAATGGCCGACTACTCCCTAAAGTTTTATTAGACAATGTGCCATGCTTAAAGTATTCACATATCAAATATGAACAAAATCGCTCTACTACTTTTCGAGTTATAGTAAAATACGTTAAAATGGCGGCCATTTTTCAAAATTGTTTTCAAAATGGCCGCCTTCTACCAAAAGTGTCATAGGACAGTGTGCCATGCTTATAGTATTCACATACCAAATATGAACAAAATCGCTCCACTACTTTTCAAGTTATAGTAAAATATGTTAAAATGGCGGCCATTTTTCAATTTTTTTTCAAAATGGCTGACTTCTACCAAAAGTGTCATAAGACAGTGTGCCATGCTTATAGTATTCACATACCAAATATGAACAAAATCGCTCCACTACTTTTCGAGTTATAGTAAAATACGTTAAAATGGCGGCCATTTTTCAAAATGGCCGCCTTCTACCAAAAGTGTCTTTAGACAGTGTGCAATGCTTATAGTATTCACATACCAAATATGAACAAAATCGCTCCACTACTTTTTGAGTTACAGCAAAAATCGTAAAATGACGAGTAAAGGCCGCCATTTTTCAAGATGGCTGCCATGTGCTTCTTTAATATCTACATTTGTAGCATTATTAATGTCCTTTATAATTTTTTTACATTTAAAACATATTGCTATTACAGTTTTACATATTGCACCTAAATTACTGTAAAATCGTCACTAAAATGGCCGCCATTTTGAAATGAGCTGCCATTTTGAAAATCGGCTCTCGAGCAGAACTTCTACCGCCATAGGGTATATGTGTACAAAATATGAACAAAATCGGGCCAACGGTATTTGAGTTATTGCCCGGACGGACAGACGGACGGACGTACGTACGGACGGACGGACGTACGGACGGACGGACGGACGGAGGCGTTCCCTATATCCCTCCGAACTTCGTTCGATGGGATAATAAGAAAATAAGACAAGGTATCAACATGATAAAAGGACAACATTTAGGTGTGAAAATGCATCATAAAAGTGGAATTCGAAAGTCATTTTAGACTTTTTCTAAAAAAAACTTTTTCTATTGGAGGAAAAAATTGATAAAATTCAGCCTAGTGCCACATGCTGCAATGTAAAATTATGAACGAATGGCATTGCATACTAAAATAAAACATATTCAGCAATAATGGGTGATACTATAAGGGACAATATAAACACACTATAAATTGGGTACTAAGGTAACATGCAACTAAACTGAATGATGGTACTAAAGGGTTGTACATAATCTATAAATGACAATACTACATTATAAAAGTTAGTATTTTGCAATAAAATATATAATCTAGTTTTTCAAGCAGGGATTGGAACAGGCTGCAGGCATATGACTCTAGATTCTAGAAGCTTACCGTTTACGTAACATTCTTGGGAACGTATTGTAGTTCCATGGCCTGTATAGGGTCAAAGTGCAAAGGGTCACTTTTTATAAGCAGTATTAGAGTAATCGAGGGACATAAATCTAGTTTTTATGGCAGGAAATATTTGATGAATAAATAAAAAGCTGAAAGTGAATCGGAAAAAGTAAAAAAGTGAAAAATTTACAAAGAAATTGAGATGTACAACAAATAAATTGATATAAGCGATACACAATATAAAAATGTAGAATATTGCATAGAAATAAAGATATTATTAGCTGTAGACATACCCATCTCCTGCACCCCTTGGCATGGGACCTTGCCCTGGAGCGTCATATCTGTTACCATAGTATCCATTTACAGTGGGTGACCTTTCTTGACCTGGGGTGGGAGGTCTAAGTGGAGCTGGAAGTGTAAATAAAATGCTCACTACACAGTACACTGTTATACAATAACACTGTTGACCTCAACCTGCACTGAACAGTCAAATTGTCTACCTCCTACAGACTAATCAGGAGGGAGTATTTAGACTGAAGTACCAGCAATACACAATGCACATCTTACTTATCAATATTATATGTTTAAATATAAATATAACATTTATAACATTTGCAATGTTACCGTTTTTGGTATCTCTAGAAATAGAGGTCAAAACTACAAGCAATTTTCAGGTATTTTAAAATCCTTAACACCTTGAATTAACATGTAATGGTCTTAACAGCTTCTACCAATACCTTCAATAGAAAAATCTCTTATTTTAGTTATTTTTGAAATACTGAATTCATAAACAGAAGCTAAGATATTAGAAAAATCATATCATCAATACCTGAGTCTATCATATTTGGCAATGGAGGTCTAGGTGGGGCCTCCTCATAGGGTGACATTGCCCTATTAGGGCTAAACTGGGGACCAGGTGGCACAATATCTGGGCTGTACGGGGGATCGGGCAGGGGCTCATCTAGTTGGCTGAAGGTGAGGGGTTTCAGGGGCTGCCTGTCACGTCCACTGGGAGTTCGGTTCAGGTTGGCCTCCTTGTAAAAGTCTGGCTTGTAGTAGTCTGGCATGGCAACCTTGCTGGCATCAAAATCTAAACAATACAATACATGTTTGAGATTTAGATACTTTCAATAACTCATTTTCGATATGCTTTTATAAATTTATATAAATTATCTATTTAAGATGAATTATGGAATCCAACATTTTACAGGTAAAACATTAGTACAGTATTCTCTAATAAGTATTACACGAACATGTACTTTCTCTTGTCCAATGTCAAATCTATGTATTCAATATAGAATCATTTCATAAATTAAACTCAGGCCCCTACCTTCTTCTCTCCTAGCTGTACTATTCTGTCTCTTGTGCTTAGATTCATGCGATGACTTGACAACAACCATCTGTAGTTTGTCCTTGGTCTTCTCTAGAAGTTTCCTGGCTTCATTCAGAGACAGGTTCTCCACTGAGACATTATTCAACTGGAGTTTAAAAAATGTTGAAACATAAATCACCTTTATCAAACATGTACTATGGAATACATGTATTTTTATATTTTTTTTTATTTAATATCAAAGGAATACCAGTACAAATAAGCCTTGCCTAAGTCCGTGTCTTTTTATTCTTTAAATTTTATTAACACCGGCAGTATATTAAATATAAAATCAAGATAAATAAAAGATAATATCGACTTTGGCAAGGCTACAGTACAACCTTTTTCAAAAATGCATACTCCATGTCATACTTCAAGTTTTCAACAGATAGTGCTGTATATAAATTGTGAATGCAAGTACCAATGCTGCTTTCTACAATTCCATGTCAATCACTGAGTTAGCCTACCTTTGTTATGGTGTCTCCTTCTTTAAGACCACCCTCTTGAGCTGCCAAGCTTTGACCAATGATTTCCTTGATGTACAATCTTTGGCCAAGCACCAATCCAAATTCTACAATAATAATAATAAAAAATGAGTCGGGATATTTCTCTTTGAAACACAAATAACCCATGAGAAAAGTCCAAGTATGTGATGTAAAAAGTACTTTGTATTTTCCTTCAAATTCTTTGTATTTCACTCTGCCAGGTGCTCATCTGAATAACATTTTTCAGCTTGCATATTCTACAACATTTCAGAAAAATATGAAAATTTAAAAATTACACAACAAGTTGACAACTATGAAATACAGGGTGATCTAGAAGTACTGTCAAAGATGCTGCCATTTCAATACTACTGAACCAATTGTCTTGAAACTCGGAACAGATGTTCTGATGCTGGTGTGTCTTACCATCTTTTTTATTTTTCTTAGTAAGTGTAACTTTACATGGGAGAGGGTCAAAGTCTCCACCCCCAGGCAGCAGTATTTTTCTTTTTATGACCTGCAATAGAATATATTTGTCTGTATTTCAATCTACTTGGTACATGATTTTTGATTGGTCAAAAATGGTAGATAGTTTTGATGATTGACCAATAAAACGAAAGAACAGGCCACTCCCTTAAAGGGAATTCTCCAAAGTGATGTCATAATGATGCAATGGCATTAGACAAACCAAAGTTATTGAACAAAAAACCCTTAGTTGGCCAAAGTGGATTTCCAGATGTTTTCATACAATTTGAATTTAACTGTGTAGCTTTACTAATTATTATTTCAACACACTGCTACTCACTAGATTGACTGTGTCTCCACTGTCTTTCAGAGTAGTTATGGCCGTAGTGTGATCCACATTTTCTAGTGAGACCCCATTCACACTTGTTACACGGTCATTTATCCTGAAAATCATACAAACATGCAATAGTATTAATTAAATATATATGGACAATAAATAAACATGAGATATGTATGTATGTAAACGCCACTAGGACTGGCCACAGACGCTGAACTGATTACGAATGCCAAATGCCAACCACCATCTGCCAAACACTATCCATTTTTGGTGGTGAAACCAAAAAAGTGTTCAGATTAAGAAATATTCTGATAAGAGAGGTGTCCGGATATACATGTTTTACTGTTCCTAAAAGCACATGAGATAATTCTTAAATGCACATGAGATTGTTCTTAAATGCACATGAGATTGTTCTTAAATGCACATGAGATTGTTCTTAAATGCACATGATATTGTTCTTTAAAGCACATGAGATTGTTCTTAAATGCACATAAAAGTGTTCTTAAATGCACATGAGATTGTTCTTAAATGCACATGAGATTGTTTTTAATTGAATGCAAATGAATATCAAAAATCAGTGTGTTGAATCAGTGCTCTACCCTCTGACAACAATAAGCTAATAACAAGATAAATAAATCAGATCACACTGCATTCTGTTACAGGGTTTAGATAGTTCCTTTAAATGTAATTCTACATTTCATGCATCATTGGATATAGCTTAATAACATACATAATTCATTCATACAAATATAGAATAAATCTTCATGTATTGAATACCAAATACAATTCTAATAGAAATAATAGAAACAAGGAGCTGATCAATTTTCAGAAATTCGTTTGTTTATATGTTTCACTGTTTCAATGACCTATGTTTGTCAAATGTATCCACAGCCACTGTACACTTTACATTTTTTCATGTTTTGTCTACAATGCTCAATGACACATCAAAGGTCAGAAAAAAGGAATTTAATGCTTTTTATTTATTTGAAAATGATAGTGGAAGATATTGCAGTAAATAAACAGATAGGCATAGTACCCTGTACTTTTAATTTGCAATCTTCGGCTATCAAAATCAAACCACAATATTTAACATATCACCATGTTATATCAGTCTTTTGGGATAATATAATCAATGAACCAATACAATTCTCCAAATCTAGTCCAAATAAATCATAAACAATCCCAGAGACCAATAACCACAATGTGAAGCAAGCAATTGAATTATTGGCATTCTGAATAATAACCTAATAGAACATCAAACATTTCCAATGAGACCACTTCATGCTACAATGACATTATCTACCAAATCAAGTATCAATATATGGCTAAGTGGTTTCAGGAAATGGAATAAGCTATTTGAATTGCAAGACGATGACTCACCAAAAGGCCTGTATTTAATACTAAAGGTCAGTAAGTCTCTACAGAGTCTTACATAAGTCAACTGAGCCAGATTACACCAAATGGAATGGGAAATACTGAATTTTGTTTCTATAGTAACATGAAAACAGTGGTATCAGAAATATACAGAAATCAAAAGTTTAGCGTGCTGAGTATGAAAATGGGCTTTCAAAATTTAACCACTGTTTTATTTGGCCAAATCCTATGATATACATGTATAAGAAACAAGGCATTAACATGTGAAATGTCACCATCTGCCATTTGTTACAGATGTTGACCGCAGAACACCAACTGCTGAACACCAAACACTGAACACCATCCACAAAAATATATATATATACATGTAGAGATTATCCTATATGAGATTCAGGATATTGGGATTATTCCAGGCAGATATAATATATCTGCCCGAGGGCCGTACCTGTAACACATCCAAGTATGGGATAAATAGAGATTATCCTATATGAGGACCTGGATATTGGGATTATCCCGAGGCCAATATAATATATCTGCCCGAGGGCCATAGGTCCCGAGGGTAGATATATTATATTGGCCAAGGGATAATCCCAATATCCTGAACCGACTATAGGATGATCTGTTTATCCCATACCAATCACATTGTTCAATTGGCCAAAGTTCAGAATCTTTGCAACCAACCGTGGAATTATTTTAAAATATTCATGTCCAGTTTTGTATTCTTGTCCGTAGCCGGATTTTCCTGTTCAAATCTTTGATTATTAACGGGGCATACTGTTCCTTCCCTTTTTTAAAGCATCAAACAGACCGCGATTGTCTGCGTTCTTCTCCATTGTCGTTTACAGTATGCGAACGTTACAAAAAAGAACCAATACGGGAACAGCGATTATGACGTAGCGGGCAGATATATTATATCTGCCCGCTCGGAGCAGGACGTAAAGCTATATCTGCCCGCTGATGAAAATATAAGTTTTTACAAACCGGCTTTATGTACCTGTAACACCTCCAAGTATGGGATAAATATAGTTACTTGATTGTGAGCTAATCAAATGAAAATAAAACCCTAAAAACTTACAGTAATTTTCCCTCTGCAGGGCCTCTCTTGAGAACATCTGAGATAGCTATAGCTGGGTCACCATTGGCAAAGTGAGGGTTGTCCCTGCCCCCACTTACTGCTATGCCAAAGCCAAAAGAGGGCACTCTGGTCAGAGTCACTGAGTGGGTCTCCCATGCTACCCTCTCTCCAGGCTGGAAGTATACAGAATAGAACAGTCAAGTACAAACATACCAAGTACATAGAGTAAACAAGCAAGTATCTAGAGAGGAACTGTCAAGTATACAGAGGCAATTACCTCTAAAGTAGAAAAAAGTGCATAAAACATGGCGTTTATTACACAACTATCAAAAACATGGAACAAAACTGTCAAATATATAGAATAGTAACCACATATCAAATATTACAACAGAGTACTTAGGAATACAAATCTCAAATATAATAAGCCCCAAGTCTGTAAAAAACTGTCAAGTAAACTGCAAATTACAAGTTTTCCACCTATGGGCACCTATCTGCTTCTTAACTTAGTGTCATTTCTAACCTTGTCTTCTTCCTTATGTCTGTGAAACTGTCTCCTAGCATGAAGCATGCTATAATATACTCCTAACACGTTGGATTAATTAAGAATCCAATTTGAACCCAATTTGGATAAATTATATTGTGTAATATTGTACATATGCATCCTTAAACAAAGTGGATGATATGTACTCCTGATGTAATATAATTGTAACATGTGTTTTACAGAATAAACCATTAAGAACATACTTGTGTTAATAAACATGTACACTGTAGAACATACATATATTTAATTAAGTAGTTTTTACTTTTACAAGTTATGCCAAGGATGAGTCATTTTTTCAGAATATTGTTTGATTTTATTGTGAAACTTTTATTGTGCAATTTGTAAAATGGATAGATCATATGACATTTTACCAATTTGTTATTGTATGTGTCGATTAACAGACATTTATAGTACTAATTCGCAGTACTTATTCACACTGTGGTACTAATTCATAGTTGTAACAGTTACTTCCTTCCTTATTAACCCAATATCAACATATTTGGATCAGTTAAAATTCAGAAATAATATTTGGCTAATCTACTTCCATTGTCGTTATCTACTTGGATTAGTTCTTATCCTATATAGATTGTTTAATTGAAAAGATATGGTCTAAATCATTGTGGCAATAGAATGGTATTGCGCTTCACATTCAAATGCCATTTTGCTTAACACCAATATAAACATACTGGATCAGAAAAAATATTTGGCTAAATATTTGATTGTCATTACCTGCATGTATCATTTCCTTAGATTTAAAACTAATACTAATAATAATATTGTGTGATATGTGATCAAATGTATCATTAAGTCTAAATAGCCAACTTAGACATTGATTCCAACATAATATGTTTATGTTCTACAACAACAAAGCTTAATAGTACTTATTAGATTGTTTAATTAAAAGATATAGGTTTAAATCATAGAATAATATTTGTTTTACATTCAAAAACAATCTCCTTAATGATATTGTGTTTTACATTCAAATGCCATTTGTTCAACGATATTGTGCTTTACATTCAAATGCCATTTCTTCAACGATATTGTGCTTTACATTCAATAGCCATTTTGCTTATAACATGTATAATATGGTATATTTATCTTAGTTAAGAAGTGATACTGTAACATGTAAGACTTTGGAGTTAGGGAACACCCAGACTCCAGACCACTTGTTACAAGAGGCCTAAGAGCAAAGAACTAGCTCATAACTCATAAATTATGTCAATATGATATAGAATTTCATATGAATTGTATCTAACAGGAAAATATTTCGCAAATACCATGCTGGACATGTCTATTCCATTTTCAGTAATTATGTTTAAAAGAACATTTCAAAATATTGTGGAATGATTTTAAAAACTTAGATTAAATCATGCTTTAAGCCAGTCTGACAAACAGCTACAAAAATTATCCCATATACCAACTGGAAAACACATGGATTTTACATAGTTTTGTTGTCTGTGCACTGACTGGTTTTCCTAATAAACTTCATGTTGCAATTCAAATGCATACTTTAAGAAAAAGAAAAATTTTCCTTTGAACGGGGCAAGATAACTTTCCGACATATTTACATATACCCTGACCAACCAGTGAAATACCTGACCTCGCTAGCTTCTCATTTTGAAAACGTGAATCTATATGCAATGTTGTGTCCATCCAACTACATTCTAGTGAAAGATAACATTGGCAATATTAGTAATTCTTTATCTGATAACTGTAGACAGATCATATGTTTCCCATCAATAAATATGTATCTACATGTATATTTCTAACTGATTCATATAAGTAGATAAACTTGATACTGAATACCAATGCATCGCCATGCCTACAGCCATTAATTACTTGTATATTCAAAGCATGATCCACTGAAAAACATCTACAAGTTCAACTCGCCCTACTTTTTTTATCATATTTCAGTCAGATATAAATCCCAATCTAATGCACATTAATTTACAGAAAACACACCTAATTAGAAAATTTGTCCCTAATAATAACATAAAAGATCACATTAATTTGATGCATTCCTTGATGTACAGTATGCTGACTGTAGATAGGAATTCCTCTTAATAAAATAATTGAATTTTTTACTATTTATTAACCATGAACTTAGGTATGACATGTTCACGTCATAACATAGTCATTATCCTACGTGTAGTTCTTTAGTTTCTTACCTTTTGACTTAAGAGTTCTCGTATTCTATTGTCAATCTTATTGTTGTTATTGTTCAGATCTATTGTAAAATCCAAATGCATTTTTGCTTTAAAATGGTATATACATGCAGTACTTCCAAATGATATGCTCTGTTACAGTCCTTGTAATTCACAGGTTATCATGCATATCTATAGTTTTGACTTCCTAGCATCTCCAAAATTCCAAAACAGCATTTCATTTCAGCCTATGTTCAGTAATCCAAATTGTCAATGTAGAAAGTTATCATAATGTTAAGTAATGATAATATTGATTATATTAATGTAACCTTCTGGTCAGTTGGAATAGTTCTTTGGCTATGTTCGAGTTTTGCTCGTACCTTGAGTTCCCTTTACTCATGCTCAAAATGATATCTTTTAATCTTAAGTAACGCAACTAATTGCAATTAGAAACATTTGAAAACATAAAATAATGAAGCTGTTCTCCTTCTGGAATTTATATTTTAATCTTATATCCAGTAATCAAAGACAATACATAGAATTATAATGAATATATCCTTGTGGCTTCTTTGTATTCTCTATATGAACATGTCTTTGTCAAAAGAGCCTCATAGAACATCATGTGTTCAAGATATAAATACTAATGATGTAAAATACTTCCATGTTGTCAATATGAGGTAGAATTTCCATGTTTCATGAATGGGCATACAAATATATTGAATTACTAGCTAATATCTTCAATAAGTGGCTTTCCTACACACAATTGCTTATTTTCAAATGAGCAATAAGTGGTAATTTTCTTATGAAAGGATTTTCTGCCATAATAGCCAAATATTTTCACAATACTCTGCCCGCACATGTCTCTCAGATATACTGTGATTGGATGAAATGGATTTAAGTAAAAGTTCAAAGTTCAACTAAATAAACCCAGACAAGGACAACATAAAAACAGCTGTTTCCTCCATCTTTAAGATAAACATCTACACAAGCAACTTTTGTGTAAAATATAATCAAATATATATAAAAAAAATCAAGTTTGTATTATGATCAATACAATTACGCTGAATAACACCAGATGTTTTTTAATTGTTGGAATTATCTACAAATCTGTAAACCTAAAAAACTGATAGGTTATCAATTAAACTAAATGTGTAGTATTCAGGGACAAAATGGATGATGAAAAAGTATACAACTATTGACTCATCTAGAGGTCAACTGTTAAAATTATATTCTGACACCGTTAACTGACTATAGCTTGAGGTTCCTAGTAAAGGATCAATATAGCTATTGACCACTGCCTGACCAATCAGAATTGACTACTACAAGTGAGGCACTTACAATATCTATAACACCCAACCCCCAAGCGTTTTTTCTGGTGTAATTCCAGCAAATATCTATTACACCTCCCCCACCCGGGAGAAGTGCATGTATTTAGCTTGTGTCTTTCTGAATGAAAAACTCCTTGGAGTGATATACATTCAACAGGTGTAAGCCATGTTAAGTCTAACCTTTGCATACCTGTAACGCAACTCAGAGATCAAAGTAATATGGGAGGCTTAACAAATTAAAACCTGAAATTCAAACTACAGGTAGAAATACCTTTTCTATGATATATGTACTTTAAAGCATACCTAACAATCTAGCTGGCTTTGGAATTCCATGATCAAAACTCAGAGGCAAAAATAAGTATTGTAATTATATGTGAATAATCCTTATTATCTTTAGAATTAATCTAATATAACAGTACTTTACAGCTCTATCATAAAAATATATTTTTTAGACTTACCAGCTGATTCTGTGGCAGTTCAGACATTTTTCTAGCTGTTTTAATTTTGAAAAACTCTACCAGTATACAATGTGTGTAGCATATACTGCTTAATAGAAATAGACCAGTTATCATTCAGAGAACAAATTATATTTATTGCATGTTTTATTCATTTATATTAATACTTACAATGCAACCTGATGGTTCCCATAATTCACTATCCACAGTTAAGCTTGCGGGATTAGATCAATTCAATAGAAAATATGAAATATATAGATTAATATTATAAAACTTATTATACAGGTTTATGTTTGAATAGGTTAATAGATTGCCCTGGTATTTTTTCATTTGTATTTCCCTGGAGCTTAGGGTGTGAACTTATGGATTTTAAGAAAATCACAAAGAAATGGAGATATCTTAAACTGCCATCTTTAAAACTTTTTCAACATTACATTCATAATCAAGATTGCATTTCTATGTCAACTCATATCATGATAAACCATGACATCTCATTTCTTCTCAGCCCTGAGATAGAAAAATGAATTAAGTGTGGTTTATTAGAAATAGTATGATCGATTAACTTCTTTAGAATTGATGAAAACCTTAATTGAAAGTAACATCGGATAACCATCATTGTCTTGAACTTTTGTAAATGCCAGATATTAGGGGGTCTGGTAAACCAAGTGTTCATAACTCATTAAAAACTATTCAAGGCATAAACAAATTATATAAAGACACTTCTACTGATTTTAATTTCTCTTATACAGCTTCAATTTAATACTGTATACATTCACTATGCTTTGTGAAAGGCAGCAAAGACTGCCACGAATCCAAATTTCATTTTCAAATTCTTATACCTTTCTTGAAACTAATAACTTACAGCATACATAATTAAGTACTAACCCAGTCATTTTTTATCTTCCTTAGCTAACTAACATTCCACAAATTAAAATAAATCTTTTAACATATTCATTAATTTCCTTCAATAACAACACTATACAATGAAGTATATGCGGGAGTATATGTTCCGAAATTCAATAATTTTTGAAAGAATAATTTTTCAGTTCATGGTGAAATTATTTCGAACAAAACACCAGATGATGCAAAACTTGCATTTGTTGTTGCAAGTGATGAATGTCATTGATAACATAATAATCCCCATAGCAACCATCCTGCTTGAATCACTTATCAAATATTTCATAACAGTTAACTCCAATTATAGTTATAATACTGAACAAATATTTCACTCTATTGAGGTGAATACCTGTACATCTTTCACAAGTGATATTCCACGAAGCCCGAAGGGCAAGTGGAATATCACCTTGTGAAAGTGCTACAGGTATTCACCGAAAATAGAGTGAAATATTTGTTTTATTATATCACTGTCTAGCTAAACATCCCTAATATTATTAAGTCATAGGTTAACATTTAAATACATTGAATCTACTCGGTTCGTCTGCCATTTTGACTTACGCTGAACTAAATTATTTACACTGAACGAAAACAAATTCTTTGAAAATTCCCGGGAGCGTGGGATATTGCTAGATATCTCACGGTTGTCTTATCTGATTAGCATTGCCATTGAATATCGCCAGATATCCCATGACATGTGACCCAGTTTTGACCAATCATACTGTCGCTAGCTACATAGTGATATAATAATCATAAATATGTCATTCTCTGGTATTCCATAATACAAACAATTTATCTGGATGTTTCAAAACAACTACCCTTTGATAGAGCTCAACTGAGTGAAAACTCTTTCAATGAGTGATACTATTTTCTAAAAGTAAGAGAATGATGATAAAGACCTGACAGTGTGCTCAAGCAAGACATCATAAGAAGAACTCAATATCACATATCATCATTTTGTTTAAATTATAGACATGATAACTTTATGTATCTCAACATTCTACAATTTTGGCAAGGTGTATACACATTTTCAACTGTAAAACATGCATCGCGATAGCCGCGCCCCCTTTGTCTTTATCCTTCCAAAGTGAACGCAAATGGTAGATAAGAGGGGCTCTGGCATACTAGAATGTAAAACATGCAATTTTCCAATTTCTGACAGGGTATAGCACTAGTGAAATCACTGAAAATGCTGATCAAAATTTGAATTCCATATTTTTCACAAAATGGCCTAGATATGACTTTTGTATGACAGTTTGTTTCTCCTTATATGACTTCTGATGATATGTTAGTAGTCACAATAATAATACAAATTGATAAATACTCAATAAACATATCATATAAATGTCAAATAAGGAGCATTACAAGTTCAACCTTGGCACTTATCTGGCAGTTAGAGGGTGTATATGTACAACATATTTTTATGTTAAAATAATAGATTATGTCAATAGATATTATTATATAAAGTAAATCTGTATGCAAAGATAGAAGCTATACATATGTATATATAAGTTTTAACTTTATTCAAATAAATAAACCAACAAATTAAAGCTAGTTCAAAATGTTTGTTTATTGGAATAAAGTTAAAACTTATATACAGTGGATATCAATTTTGAGCTGAAGATACCGAGATAAGTTGATTTGAAATGATGCCATATCATAACCCTAGAAAACCCATACTTTATTTCTCTTAACATATATATTCAAAAAATTTCAAGTAGTTCTTTATAAATGCCTTCCTACCATTGCAAGTTAATGTTCCTTAAACGAACAGTTTAAAAAACCTTTATTTAGATGCATGCCTCACTTTTTCCCACACTTTTTATTAAGATCCAGGTATATAATGTTACTTTCATGTCAAACCAATGCACTGCTACAGATCAAATAATGAATGTAGAAGATGTTCATGAGTATGCATTTTACTTAATTAATGCATGGCAGAAAACTATAAATGAAATTTCCATAATTAGATCTTTGAACTGATTTATATTTGTCAAGATTCTGTGTATGTTGTATATGAGTTTTATTTATCTATCAGGTATAAATAATTTAATAGCTGAACTGAACACAATAAAGCCCCAAAATACAACCACCTTCACATACCCTGTCTTGTTTAATTGAGATATGGGAGACACATGGTCAAATTGTTCATGGCGAGTCTAGACTGACCAATAAAAACTGGTATGTTATATAGGAGAATATTTGTACATAAAATAAAATGCACATATGACATGCACATGTAAAATGCATGCGTATATGTATACTTACACCATTTCCACTGTTCATGTTGTTAATATATTCCCTCAGCCAAGTGATATTACTATTCAAGTTTTCGAAACTTGCTGCAGGATCATCACGAAATGACCGATCCCCAGCTGAATAGGTAAATGAGCGATCCCCGAAACTCTCCATTATTATTTCGTATATA